AATAGGCACCCTATTTATATTTCACCTGACTATCAAACATCCTGGGTTAGGTTAGGTTAGGTTAGGTTAAGAGTTCTTTGTATAAGTGAAACCTATGCCATTAATTAGCTCTTGGTTATTAAAACAGGCAAGTAAAGCAATCATTTTATAACCTAACCTAACCTAACCAGTGAATATTGCAAAGCCGCGTAAACATTAGCAAGTTATCGCCAAATATTAAACCTTCCACTGAGTATTTTTAATAATTTTACAACATACAGCACAAGTCAGTTCACGAGTGTCATAATGTTGTGTCAGGAGCGTTAATGTATGAACTGTGTGTGTGTGTGCGTGCGTGTGTGTGTGTGTGTGTGTGTGTGTGTGTGTGTGTGTGTGTGTGTGTGTGTGTGTGTGTGTGTGTGTGTGTGTGTGTGTGTGTCATCTTATCCTTATACCAACGCTCGTGATCATTTATACACCAGTAACAACATCCTTGAACGCACCAACTCACACAGTGGACAATGACCAACACAGTCAGTTAAATTTATTACCTTTTCCCTCCTAATCGTTCAATTTCTTTTATCTAAACATTTGCAAATCGTTAACTTAAGTCTGTTAAGGTAAACACCAGGCATTAGGTGGTTTAGTGGTGTGTCTGAGGAGATAGAGGAATGACGAGCACGTGGACAATGTTAAACGTGTTCAAAAAACAGCAGCCGAGGCTGGCAGAAGCAGTACAGCCTGGGCTAACACGATCACCACTGGCGATAATGGCGGTGAACATAATGTTTTTCTTGCTTCTCGTTCATTGCTTTTGACTCTTACAAGAGAGAGAGAGAGAGAGAGAGAGAGAGAGAGAGAGTTTCCTATTTTAGGAAATCTCAGTTCAACATCAAGCGGTGGATCACTGGAGTAACACAGACAACCACTCACGAACGCTGCCGACGTTGATGACCTGTAACACTGGCAGCCGTCGAGGACTGGACAAGGTTCTCGTTTCATGACTATTTTTTCTGACATGTACTGCACGTCCTCCTCAGTAACATATTTTGATAAACACACCACACTGTTCTTTATATCTCAAAGAACATGTAAGATACTCCAATAAGAACATTCACCCGGCGGGGGCAGAGTAAGAAGCGGTCAACTGTAATTTAAGACATTCTTAGGAATGCACAAGAGGGTGTCGACCCTCCTACTGTGGCCCTAGATGGGGGAGTATCAGTGTCCTGTGTGTAGGAACAACCTAATGGGCAATTCAGGTTAAGTTATCAGTTGACAACATCCCTTGACGAGACTCATTCAAGGCTGGTGAGTTAGATTTTGCCTTACGTTCGTGTACTGAATATTAATATTACAATTTCATCCTGTTTAGTCTTGATGATGTTAACAGTACATCATGAATGTTATACTTACGATTATTCTTTATATCGTTTAAAGGTCAAACAAAAAACTGGTTAAGGATTTCAGTCTCAACAGCACATGAAGGAAGATAAACCCAGTAACACCTCCCTGCTGTAGTGTCTACCACTCACTGCTAACACATACCGGCTCTTGCCACTCATGTGTGTGTGTGTGTGTGTGTGTGTGTGTGTGTGTGTGTGTGTGTGTGCGTGTGTGTGTGTGTACTGCTATTTTATTATTTTATAAAAGATTAAACAAAAATACTGAAAAAGAATAATTCACATTTACACTAAACTTTACTTGAGGACGCTGTTCTGTTCTTTATACAGAACAGTTTATCGGACTTACATGGTGACAGCAATTCCTCCTCTGTACTGTGGTGAGCGTGTGGGCGGGGTGAGGGAGATGGTGGTCCACAACAGGAAGAGAAGACTTCACGGGCCTGACATACACGTGGTATGCAAATCATCGCGTAACGTTCATTGTTCAGTACGCTCTGCAGTTGTTTTTGGAAATGTATGTGTATGTGTGTGTGTGTGTGTGTGTGTGTGTGTGTGTGTGTGTGTGTGTATGTGTGTGTGTGGGCGGGAAGCTGCTAATGTCCACCTGCAGAAGACGTCTGGCCCGGAAGCGTTCAGGCACACACCTAGGAAGGGGTTTATCAACTGCCGCCGGGGAAGAAGTGAGTGGGGGTAGGGTAGGACTACGTGTGTGGTGGGGAATGAGGGGGTGTTGTGAGGAAGGTGATGGGGAGTGGGGGAGGGGTGATGGGGGTGGAGGTGTGAGGACAGCACGGTCGTCCACAGCACTTGGGGTCCTGGCACCTGCATCCCTTACCCATGTTGCTTCATATACATGTGTTGACTTAACCTATAGTTCACCTCCCAATACCACCAGCCTACCACACCACCACCACCACACATAACACCACACACACCACCACCACCACCACACCACCACCAGCCTACCACACCACCACACCACCACCACCACCAGCCTACCACACCACCACCACCACCACCACCATAACACTACCAGCCTACCACACCACTATAACACTACCAGCCTACCACACCACCACGACACCATCCTACCACACCACCACGACACCATCCTATCACACCACCATGGCACCATCCTACCACACCACCATAACACTACCATCCTACCACACCACCATAACACCAGCCTACCACACTACCATACCAGCCTACCACACTACCATCAACAGCAATCACCACACCATCATCGTACCCCCACCATCACTACATCCACCACCATCACTCTCACCACCATCATCACCACTACCATCACCACTAATACTACCCTCAACACCGCTCCTATCACCATCACTATAGCCTCCTATCACCACCATCACACCAACCACCACCATCATTACCATCATGGACACCACTCCCACTACAACCACCATCACCATTATTACTACCACCACTACCACCACCAATCACCGTGAACCATTAACACCAACACCACCGTCACCATCAACCTAAACAACCATCACAGCAACCACCATTATATCACCACCACCACCACCATCACACCCACCAACACCATTATCACATCCACCAACACCATTATCACCACAACCATCACACCCACCAACACCATTATCACATCCACCAACACCATTATCACCACCACCATCACACCCACCAACACCATTATCAACACCATCATCATCATCATCACCACCACACACCCTTGGACACCTGAAAGTCAAATGAACACACTGAATAAAAACTGGATCATAAACGCGGGGAAGATAATGTACTGTTAATGCGTCTTGACTGTGTCGAACGAACACTCCCCTGTCAGAAGTACAGCGCTACGACACTCATCATCCTGCTGTTGTTGTTACATTAAAACCAAGTGTCTTATCTCGTGTAGCTTTATAATATTAACTCCTTCACTACGGGGACGCTATTCTTAATCTTTGACTAACGCTATACGATTTTATTCAGCTCCGAGGGGAACCCGTATACGCGCAGGGGGTAACGTTAGCAAAAAGAGTGTAGAAGGTTAGAACTTATTACCCTTCAAGTTGTTTACCGCGGCACTGGAGGAAGTTGTCACATATGCGTGGTGGCAACTGGTTTGTATGTCAATGGGATCAACTTAACGCATTCTTCTCCTTGACTGTCATCATAATTTTACTTAGGAACTCGATACAATTGCTAACTCGATTATAAGAGCTCGATGAACCAAACGAAAGACCAGTAATGAAGATATATCATACCAGGACTATAGTGTTGAACGGGTGTAAAAATTCCCAACCTTTAGCGATCAATAATTTAAATGGGAAGAAAGCCGTGCCACGTATGCATTTAAGACAGTCTACCGTAGAGTCACTTTATGATTTTTGTTTTAAGTGTAACAAAAAGACAAATCGAATGTGTGATGATGTGCTTTTAGAAGACAATTTTATGGAAGACCCTGGATATGAAAGATGGCGGCTAAATAAAAAAAAGCACACTTTTAAAACTTTCCCGAGAACATAGCAACATGTGTGTGTGTCATAACCCAGCGAGAAGGTTTGAGAAATAAATGAGTCTGCCCTGAGACTCATTTATGATCCTATTTCAAGAGCTTTACGAGAAATAGAGACGGCAGTGGGCAGACCTTCATCAGATCAACAGTGGAACAAACAAATACTTGATTGGATCTCACAGGACAGAAAAAAACCGGGGTAGATGAAGTCAGGATACCTTGACGTACTTATCTGGTGATAGGGGGAGGGGGCAGAAACCTATTGCAGGATGGTGGCAGCAGGTGAGGGTGGCCTTCAGTTCTTTAGCATCCTGAAAACAGCGGCCTTTGGGGCAGGGGGAAGATGGACAAGTTGTTCAAATCCTATCGCAGCCTAACCTAACCTAACCTAATCTAACCACTGCTCGAGGCCATAATCTTGCCAGCAAAATGCTTGATTATATTTTACTTAGGGATCAGAAAGTTTGCGTGTTTCCATTGCTTGGATTCCATCTTCGACTCGGGTCCCACTGATAAATCCCTATCTCACCTTCCATCACCAATCAGGAAAGAAAGTTGAGTGGATTGGTTTTGTCCCGTTCAAGGGGGTCACAACTTGAAGCCTTTCTGTGGTGTCGTTACTGAGCGCTGCTGTTTCAGGGAACTGATTTGACAGAAAACTTGAGACATCCTCAACAATTCATGATTGGTGACCACAATACTTTCAAGGTAAATGCCAACCTTAGTGTTTATGTGATGGAAAAATTAAGGCTTAAAACCCTTTGGGAATTCATTAGTATATTCGTTTTTATACTTCTTTTCAGATCTGCAGATTTTTGGTATAAGTAGCATTATTATTATTGTTATTATTATCATCATCAACGCCCTGTAATCCCACTTACAGTAAATAATATTTTAGATTATAGTTCTTGTAGCTTTTCCTTCTTATATAATCTTTCTTTCCCTAACCAATTGTATTATTTATATTGCAATTTCGTTGCCACCATTATCAGAAACACATAATTATTAATCACTAAAATGGTGTTGTATTGCGCCACCACCATCGTTCTACACACAGGGTGATGGTGGAGGAGAACTGGCAATATTATTGAAGATGTTCTCTCCGACAGGCGCCACCGGGACACGGAGTGGTTGTGGAAGTAGTCCGTCTCAGGCTGCGTCGTTCACGTCGCTGCGCCGTCAGCCGGGTACAGATCCTTCCTGGACTGTCCGTGGACCAGACCCGCACCAGACCGCTGGCCAAGTAAGTATCCAGAAGTAAGTTTGGCTGGTTGTCATACCCGCCTCACCTTCACAAGTAATAGACTTTATTGATCCTGTGTGTAGTCTATATGAACACACACACATGCGGTATACAACAATCGACTTCTCCAGTCACACCATTATTATTTAAACCGTAACCAGTAATTCTGCCTTAACAAGAATTGGCTTATCCAGAAGAGTAAAGATAGAAAATAAAAATTCAGTGAGACGTGAGAAATATTTTCATATACTGTACAATAAAAAAAAAATTCTGGAAGATGGCGAATAAGAAGAAAAAGTGATAATACTGAAACAAGAATATATTAAAATGTAATAGGATGTTGGTAAAAGAGGGTGTTTAGGGTAGTGTAAGGATTAATCTGGGTTGACGACGTTAGGGGTACTGAGAGAACACTTACAAGGTGATAGGGTGGCGTGTCAACAACATCCACTAATGTTAAAATATACGTCATTAAAGCGGCCAGCAGTTATACCGCCTCGACTATTGTCACAGTAACTGAACAAAATCATGTCATTTATCGCACCCGTACTATCAATTAACACCTCTTAAAGTCTTCTTGTCTGAATAATATTACCTGGTAGGCGTTCAAATTAAACCATGAGAAAATTAATGATTTCTTTTGTCTATTGGCTACAAAAGATCCTTCATGTCTACTGTACACTGGTCTTATCACTCAAGAAACAAAATGATGATCACGTACTCTATTTCCCTGGCTCCGACTCGTGAGGGGGTTAGGGGCAGTGTGAATTCAACACCCTGCATATTAACCCTTGTGGTACGTAAAGAGGCAGCACGCCGGCACTGCACTTGACTTCCTTCATTTCTCCAACAATCGAACCAGCGGGCCCTAAGACAAGGAGACAAGAGGCGAGCGTTATATCCACTTATCCACCGCTTCACCCTCAAACAGTTAGCACTCAAGGTAAACACGCCCTGTGTCGCTCTCCAGTAACATACAATGTGTCGTAGCTCTGGACTGTGATGACAGGAAATATTGATTACTGAGCCTTGAGACCTTCTGGTGATACATCCACGACCCAAGTTTGGTTAAAGTCCATCGTTCTTTTACCATATTCACAACTCCTGGGTGGACGTACAGTAAATATGCATTCCCTTCGAGTATTTAATTTCACCCCCCAGAAAACCTACGATAAACAAGAAAACCAGGAAAGGGAAACAAATTGAAAACAAAAAACAATCAAGCCGAATATTTATGGTAATAAAATCCCCGATGGCGTTCTCCGTCGGTAATTGATTACAAAGACCGGAATCACAAATTTATAGTTTAAGAGGACACGAGAACACGCGACACCACAATAAATGTATCAGAGGAATATTAAAGCGCCATTGTCCCTTGGAGGAGGGACCACCTGGTGTGGTGTGGCACTAGGCCTGGGGGCTGCGCGTTACTTCCCAGTAGTGGGAGGCACTTCCGTAGGCGTGGTCTCCCGCTTGTTCAATGGTTAGTTTCTTACGCTGCTGTCCCCACTTGAGATGCTTTTAATGATTGGCCAACTACGAAGCCCAGGTGCTCCCCTTATTACAGGAGCCAGCACATTATTGTTAATATAGTAATTGTGCTGTTGATTTATGTGACTCGTATGAAAAATAAATATTCAACATTTTCTATATTTCTATTTTTTATACTTTCTATATTTACCAGTTATTCGACCACTTGGAAAGTTCGTGCAGATCATGTGTGTATGTGTGTGTGTGTGTGTGTGTGTGTGTGTGTGTGTGTGTGTGTGTGTGTGTGTGTGTGTGTGTGTGTGTGTGTGTGTGTGTGTGTGTGTTATATAAACTGACAGTTGTTTTGATAACCTGTGTATAATTGCAGGTATTGTGGACAAACGCCCAGAATCAAATTATGGAAAACTACATTCTCTGAGGTTGATATAGAATATAAAAATGGCAAGAGCGACCGACTGAAGGTGAAGAACAGTCAACAGGACAGAAAAGTGACGAGACCCCAACAGCAAGACCCAGACACTAGAAACAGATCACCCTCTTCAACATCTCGTTCAGAGTCTAGGCACTCATCAGGTTCTACCAGAGCCGAGAAATTAGCGCGGATCAAGGCACTCCGACGATTGTATCAACTCAAAAACCAAGGAAATAAGCATTCTCAATCACTGAGAAGCCGCGAGCATTCCCCCCAGAGCAGACAACGCATCTACCGTTTCCGAGAGACAAACAGTCGTCGATTTTACAGGCACTCAAATGGCTCTACAGATGACTCCTCAGACCTTCCGATCAATGATAACTTGTTGGTGGACGGTGATCGTTTAGTGTTCGATGTGGAGAACAACATCTACGGGACTGTGTCAGACTACCCCAGGATGCAAACTGTCAGACTCCTCAGCGTCGGTGAACCATCATGGATTAATTCCAACTTTATCATCCATGACGGATTGAACTACACAGATTCAGAAGTTACACACTACATGGATGACTTGGCAACAGTGCAAGACCTTTCATCAAAACGAAAAAGGAAAAGACTTTCGACTAAAAGTAACAAATCTAACCGAAATAAATTTTTGGGAGAGTTGATGAGCGACATCGATGTGAAGCCAAATGAGTCGACTGAGAGACACCCAAGGTCCCCTCGGGTAGTACAGGAGACCAGTAACAATGGAAACACCCGCCGCAAGTATCACCGCACGCGGTATTACACAGTATCACGTGGCCGTCACACTCCCAGCGTAAACCAGTACCGGGTTACCATCACCAATCATGAACGACCCAACTCCAATGGTGACGTCTCCAAACCACCTCGCAGGGCTCTTGATACCAGTCATCATCGCTCACGAGGACACAACGAAATCATCCCCCATAAACCCTCCAAACCCGGTCACCAACACGGATCTAAACAAACATATTCTCCCACCAAGAACTTCGGGTATAAACACCCCAAATTTGCTCCACAGAAACCAGCGGTGCCAACACCTCCAGTGAACGGTAACAGGAGACGAAGACCGAAGGAATTCTTTGTGTTTAAGGTAAGCTGTAAATTTACCTTAATATGAGGAGGGTCTCAGCTATGCTATCCCTTTAACTTTTTTTTATTTGTATTTTTTCATTTTTTATTTATTCTTTGTGGGGCTGTCACAACCACAGCTAACTTACTTCCTCAGGTCACCCATCCAAGGTGTCAATGTATGTATGTGTGTGTGTGTGTGTGTGTGTGTGTGTGTGTGTGTGTGTGTGTGTGTGTGTGTGTGTGTGTGTGTGTGTGTGTGTGTGTGTGTGTGTTTTGTACAGAAAACAGGAAAAAATATTTTCAAATGAAGTGGCCTAAGACAGTAAAGGATCAAACTTACTTACTGTACATAATCAGAATTAGCTCTGAGGTCATGCGGGACGTGAGAGGTAGAAGTTTCTCTGAAGACGTTAGCAAATAGAGATAAGTTTTGTTCTCCATACTACAGTACTTTTTGACTGCGGGGAAAAGCATCAACGACATCGTTTCATAGCAGATATAGACGTGTCTGAGTGAGTGAGTGAATCTGCTACTACCTGTTAGTGCAATGCATCTAAGATGATATGTCGCTACAATACAGCTTTAATTTCGCACTTCTATGCCTCACAGTTATATTTCCTGATGTTTATAATCCACAGTTAAGCATTCCTTCATTTGTTTACCATTTTTCTAAGCCCCAAGCTAAGGTTTCTACTGCTTACACACTCAACTAAGCTTTCCCAAGACCTCCTAAAAGTTGATCCACCCAAGCCTTTTCTCCTCCCTCATCTGCCTTACCTGTTGGCATCGAGATCATATTTTATGCTCTCTCAGCTATATCTCCCTCATATATAGTTTATCATAAACCTTTCATTTAAGTTTGCTACGTCCCTTCTGATAGGATAGACTACCCCCCCCCCCCTATCCTCTTTTCGTCATTCCGTGTTCCTTTCATCTCAGTCTTCCAGTCTCCCCAGAGGTGTGTTTTAACGAAGGTGCAATGACGACGGGCCCCTCAAATTGCGGGCCCCTCAAATTAACGTCGATGTGGGAAGATTTGAACGCTGTGGTTTTTCTTTGTCTTATGTTCAATACAGTGGGAATCAAAGGTGCTGTGGGTCCTGGCGTATGGTACGTATACACATAAGTATTTATTGATTTTACACAGAATTATTGCATGAACTACCGCACGGAAAACTGCACCAAGTAATTTTGAAGTCATAAACACGCCTCTGAGTCTCTCCTTCAGTAAGTTGTTATGTTGTCCCAATCAAGTAAGTCTCCGATTGTCCTTCACCTGTTGGCGTCTTATCTTTCAGCTACACTTTCCAAATTTCCTCCCACTAGACCTTAAACCATTACACCTAAAATTAAACCATTCAGATCCTCCTGGAGTAAACCAAATCAGATCTTCATGAAATAAGGGGATCTATGTTGCCCCGAAATTAAACTTTCCCTTGGTTGCAGGTGTCAGCGTTCCGAAGTGGATGTGGCGGCCAGCTGGAAGAAGAACGAGGGAGGATCACCAGCCCCAATTACCCACACAAGACAGGCGGCAAGAGCTCTTGTTTCTGGAGGTTCAAGGTAAGAATTTCAACAGAGTAGCAACAAGGATGACTTATTACCTCCTTACAGTGTGCAGGGAGAGTTTGTGACGGGGAAGTTATGGTTACCTTCTCGTCTCAGCTCATTCTCTCATTTCAGTTTACACCCTCATCTCATCTTAGCTCACTTAATTAGTCATCCTAGCTCACTCAATCACCCCAGCCCACTCCATCACCCTTAATCACTCAATCACCCTAGCTCACTCAATCACCCCAGCCCACTCAATCACCCTAAATCACTCAATCACCCTAACCCACTCCATCACCCTTAATCACTCAATCACCCTAGCTCACTCAATCACCCCAGCCCACTCCATCACCCTTAATCACTCAATCACCCTAACCCACTCCATCACCCCCAGCCCATTCTGTAACTTCAGCTTCATCACCCCGTCTCTCTCTCTCTCTCAGACCCCCGTCGGGAGCCACTGGAAGCTGGAATGTCAGGACTTCAGAATCCGAAAATCGCAGCAGTGTCGGCGTGATCATCTCGCCATCAGGATTAATGATGCAGACTGGTCCAGGTGTGTTTAGTGTTCTGTTCGTGTTTGTGTTTGTTCTAATTTGGTCTTGTTGTTTGTGTCCGATAATGTTTATATCTGGTAATGTTTATGTCTAGTAATGTTTGGTAGAGGGAGTTGAACGGGTGTCTGCCAAGGATCGCTAGAACACACGGACATATAACTAGTGCCTATATACAGTGAAATATAAAGGTAAGAAAGACATCTTTGACATACTTCTCCATTGCCAGGTACTGCGGCCGTGAGGGACCAAGCCTAGCTCTCACGTCCTCCCATGAAGCTTCCGTTGATGTGGTTCTCAACACCTTCAGGAACAAGTCTGCCAAAGTCTACTGCTCTTGGGAGACAACCAGAATCGGTAGGTGTAATTACAAGATTGTAAGGTAAGAGGAGGTACTGGTGATGATTGTTTATACCTGTCTACCTACACATTCCTCTAGTCCTCTCGTAAGTGTTGACGTTAAATCCCGGACTGTTCCTCAGGGGAGACCAGCGAGCAGTATCACAACTACGGGAGATACTGGAGCTACAACCTGACGCGCGCCACCACCACAACCACCACTACTACTACCACCACCACAACCACTCTGCCGCCACCCGTGGCCTCACAAACTAGGTTAGTGGACAATTCCTTGAGACAAACTGGTGGAGGATGTGGGAAACCGCTGCCAGGAGGTCCCTTTCTCTACGCCTGGCATCAACTACCACTAGAAATGACGTTAAGATAATAAAAAGCAACTAACTGTACCGCTGTCACGAAACATTTTATAAATGTATAGGATAATAGTGAACTAATAAATTAATGAAATCTTAGTAATCACGAATGTGTGTGTGTGTGTGTGTGTGTGTGTGTGTGTGTGTGTGTGTGGTGAAGAAATATTGCTGATGTACTGTTGCGTGAGGTAAGTGCAAATGGCACTACTTACTGAGCACGTTAAGACAATCGTGGTCTGTTGATATTTTTAACTTTATTTCATGAACAAAAATTCTGGTTATTTAACAGAGAACTTCTCCTTCTGTCTGTCGCTATTCATAAATAATTTATATTCTACTTGTTAACTTGACATGCATTTTCTCACCTGATTCTAGAACTACAGTTATTAATTTCTGTAACTCTCGTTTAAAGAAAGATCTATAAAAAGAGAAAAGTAACATCGAATTGATTTAATATTTCTGTGATTTTGTATTAAATATAGAACTTACTAAGGCCTATGACAGTTAACATACAGAAGGTATTGATGAGGCTACCTTGTCTTAACCTTCTTCTGCTCTCTAGAAACTCAGGCAGTGACCCCTCTCTTCTCAATACCTCTTTGTGGTAACTTCTCCCTGGTCCTCAAATGGTACGACCCCCTTACGACTCCTCCACTATTAAGACTACCTTACGCCTTCAGGTGGAGTTGCCGGGACTACACCCATCTCAGCTCGGACCACACCATGTGTCGGCCGACGCCCTCCACCTGCGCCATCTACCATGAGGGCATAACGAGAAGCGACAAAGCTGCCATTCTAGAGTCACACAATAGGTACCGCGCTAAGGTGGCCCGCGGAGAGGAAAGCGAGGGGCTGCCTGGGCCACAGTATTCCTCCTCTGACATGCAGCAGCTGGCGTGGAACGATGAGCTGGCACAGGTGGCTCAGGCTTGGGCCTCCGCCTGCCCCGACTACCACGACTGCCATGACTGTCGTCGTTTGGTCTCCAGTAAGACCATCTTATTTCTTAATATTCCCCATTGCCTTCCCTCCTACCTAGTAACTGCCCCCTTTTTTTACGGGGATTAGCCCACCCGGGCACAGGTCACTGACCCACATAAGGGCGTGGAGGGTGAAAATGTAATAATAATAATAATAATAATAATAATAATAATAATAATAATAATAATAATAATAATAATAATAATTAATAACAATAATAATAATAATAGTAATGATAATGATAATAATAATAATAATAATAATAATAATAATAATAATAATAATAATAATAATAATAATAATAATAATAATAATAATAATAATAATAATAATAATAATAATAATAATAATAATAATAATTAATAAAAATTAATAAAAATTATAATGAATAAAACAATAATAAAAGTATAAATAATAACAATAAATAATAGCCTACAAAAATAAAAATAAATCAAGAGTGAGAAACGACATACATTATGTACAGTATGTTGTGTTGTTAAAGTAAAAGAAACAATTGAGACCCTGCAATTGTGAGTAAATGAGGCAGAAAGTCAGATCAACAACCTGGGTCTTGGTCACAATTTTTGTGGTGCCATATGGCAGCAGGGTCTACCACTAGACAGTACATTATGCTTCCAATATCTTCCCAGGCGGTAGTACCTCCCCATTTGATAGCTGCCTACTGCCTATTTCTTGACCACATATACAGTCTTCTGTGAAAATGGAACACTCCAATACTCTTTAAGTCCAGTTATAACATGACTTGTACGTTATACAGTATATCTAGCCCTCTGTTAAAAGAGGGTGGATAATGCTATAGCAACATTGCCTCACCAGGAACTCGTCTTACTGTTCAGCACCACTCACTCCTCTTGTCTCCTGCAGGGGACTACTACGTGGGACAGAACATCTTTTATGAATGGAGCAGCAGCAACTCCGGCTCAGTGTGGGACACGGCCGTTAGGCTCTGGTACGAGGAGGTCAAGTATGTCCCTAACCACCTTATCAAAAGCTTTAGGTAAGTCAAGCCTCCACATCACACCTCTCACGTCTTATTCAGTTAATTGTGCAAAAAAGTTCCTGTTATTATTATGGAATTATATTATATAATATATTTTATATCACCAACAATATCTTAATCTTCCAGACTACAAACTGTCCCCACTCGTCCTGTTCTCATTAACTGATGATTTAGAGGACAAGTGACAATGATCTATATTAAAGCGACAGTAATATCGCCTAGTACACCAGGGGTAAGCAGGGATTTAGCTGGGTAGTGAGAAAGTGTTGAACGCCATTGATTCATGCATGTAAGTTATAGGTAGATGAAGAACCATGAAAAAAATATAAAAGTGAAAGAAGAAAATTCAACGCGGTGGTTCTTGAGTGTGAGTGGCATGATAAAGAATGGCGTGTGTTATGACTGGGGATGGAAAAGAAAGGGGGAATGATAGATGAGATCTCACTAACACACTGACCATAGAAACAGTGGCACAGAAAAAAAATGGGGGGGGGGGCAGATCATCTAGCATCAAGATGATATATGGAAGAAGTTATTGGGACTGGTCGTTGATGAGGAAAACAAAAATAATAACTAAAATTATGATGTAGTAAGTTATGAAGGAACCCGAAAAGTAGACCTACTTTTCTTACAGACATTTATTTGCAATATTTAAAAATATAGGGATTCAAAGAGTTTATTAGCTGTATGCAAAACTAAGGATGCTACGATACTGACTGATGTAATAGAGGCGCTACTGTATATAAAAGGAGACTGAAAAAAGATCTTGTTTTGTGAGTCAGTGAAAGCTTGTGTGTTTGGTGGTTTACAAAGATGAATGGGTCCTCCCATGTTGTGAACTCTTTAGGTGATCAACTGGGTGAGATGGGGCTGAACATGGACGATAGAGCGATAGTAGATAGCCTTTTGTGCTGCAGGTTAGTGTCATGGGCAAAGAAGGAAGAGAAGGACAAGAGTATGGGCATGAGTCTTTTAAAACACTTCATTGTTGAGAGGAAAATAATGCAAATGCCAACAGTCCGTGTCTTAATGGTTATAGCTGCCTAATACAATAATAATCGTTTCACATCTTTTGTCTGCCGAACACTTCTCCCAAACTGACATTCCACCTTTTAATATCTCCACAAACTATGCCGTCTTGTTTATCCTAGTGAATTGTTTATTTTTTACTGTACATGATTATCTTATTTGCCCAGCAGAAGGTGGTAGTGGCAGAGGGTCGGTAAGTACAGGAAGGTATAGAGAGGTATTTGCTATTTGCTAGAGTCTCGCCGTGAGAGATTTCTGGTTTCTCGCGCCACAAAATGGACAACAGTGCGCTTCCATGAACTTGACTTTCTGTCTTTTTCTTCCTCTTGAAACTCTTGAGCTCGTTCAGTATCTTAACATTAAAGATAATGAAGCAAGTCAGACCAATCCCTCCACTTCTGCAGAATGATGAACCACGCTGTCATCGGCCACTACACGCAGTTAGTGTGGGCCGATACCCGTGAGGTAGGCTGTGGCGCCACCTACCATGATTGCTCCAAGGTCTTCAAGGGCCGCTCATGGAAGCTTAAATGCAAGATCTATGTCTGCAACTACGGCCCCACGTTAGTATTACCTGTGTTCGTGAGTGTTTAAACATTGTCCTTCGAATTTTCCAGGTAACATATTGTCATTAGTAAAAAAAAATCATGGTAAAGAAAAAATCTATACCTTGATTGTAACTGTTATTTCTTTCTTAAAACTTTTATTAGAAACTGTCAAGGTAATAGTAACTATACCACCTATATAACGTACTACTATAGAAGATAAATACTTTCTTATCTCGTTAGTATACCAAAAAGTGTACGAGGAATACTGTACTTTGGGTGTAGTATTATTTTTTATTTTTTTTTTACGTGTGGAAGGTGAGGACGAGAAGCTTCCTTGTGTACTCCCTGTTAGTCTCTATATTCTATAATAAATCGTTCATAAAATGTACCAAACTAACCTAACCTAACCCAAAATAATATAGTTATCTTGAATTCTAATGTCATTAAAAGCAAAAAAAAACTTGCTAAGAGGCTGTCAAAAGTTTACTCACGGAAACCAAACCCTGGCGGACAGTGAGAGCTCATATTTTGCCTCCCTGGTGTATGTAAATACTGTATTCGTAAATGTGATATTAAGTAAAATATATTCCTCGTGCACATTTTGGTAAGAAAACATTTATCGTCTACGACTCTACGATGATAAGTTCTACCGTTATTAAATATTCTAGCATTTAAAAAAAAAAAAAAGAGAGACTCGCATTTACACAAGTTATGGTACACACTCGGTATCGTCCCCCAAAATGTTTCTTCACTCTCACCTCTTTTCGATTAACCCACGAATCAGCTTTAATTTGTGCATCCACGTCATTTGCCATTAGTCATTTTACCAATTTACAGAATTACATTTTTCAGGCAGACTTGCGCAACAATTCATTTCTCTTTACTCCCCATTTTTGTTATGGCTTAAAGTGTCCTATTTTACTTGCAGTGGTAACTACCTCAAGAAACCCATGTACAACATAGGACCAGCTGCCTCTGCTTGCCCAAGTGACTCTCGTCCCTCACAGGAGTACCCTGGCCTCTGTACCTCCCACTGATGAGCGTTTCGACTCAGGACTTCCACTCGCGACTGTACTTGTACTAACGATCGTCTGCTTAGCCCGTTTGAACACAGGTCTTCCAGTTTCTGCACTGCGACAATCCACATCCCTGCGGACATCCACCAGTGTGCTGGCGGGTGATGCGCGCAGCTAAACAACCACTACCTTTCTTCACCCTCCCTACAGACGCGAATTACTGACAGTGGCTTTCATGCCTTTCAGGTTGCACACTTAGATAAAGAACGGTGGCAGTATTTTCCCTGTGCATGGTTGCGGGTGTGTGTGCACTTTAAGCATGCACCGTGCACTGTATAAGGGAGAAATAGGAATTATATCAAAGTGTAAACTGTGACTCAATGACTGAAAAGCCAGGAGTGGTTTAACTAGTACTGTGTTTGTTATTAGGAAAAGACAGACTGAAAATGCTTGTTCTTATTTCACCGTATTTGTGTGAAACAGTCCGATCGCTGTACTACTTCCTTCAGGTTATGGCTGAAGTGTTCAATCCTGAGTGACAAGGTTATGGCTGAAGTGTTCTTTTACTGAGACAGTGTTGAAGTGATCACAGAACAGAGAAATATATTAGTAAAATATTGATATATTGAAAGTTCGAGAACTAAGAACTATTTGGTACTCTAGTCTTGTATCGTGTGGTTGTTGCTCAGTTACCTAAAGTGTTGGTAACTGGATGTTCGCTGACTGAAATGACTACAATATAAGTGATTAAGTAACTTAGCGAGAAAGTTACCCGAGACGTACTCTATTGTAGGAGAGATTAGTATTACGAAGATGTTCCCTCGCTGGGAAGCTCATTATTGATGTACTGACTGATCAGTGAGGTACAGTAAACACGTTACTCAACTGTATACCGACTGAAAAGGTTATTACTGAAGTGTTCCCTATTACAGATAACACATACTGCCGTTCTCTCTAACAGGTCGTGATCCTCCCCCCAGTGAATGGTATCTATCCCGCTCCCTCTCAGCAAAAAAATTATGAAAAAATACTTAGAAATAGCCAGGAGTTTATATTTATCTTAGGTGTATCGTGTGAACTCTTTAAGCTGATTGTAAGAGCGGCTTTCTATAAGTTATACGGCATCTAGTGCTTAAGGACGACAGTTTTGACACACTGGTTTAGTTGAAGCCTCGACCTGTGGCACGGGACGTCTGCGACTGTGATATTGTTTTTGTTTTGTTTTGTTTTTTTATGAAAAGAAGAAAAAACACAGCATGTTCTCCACCGCCGTGGTCGACTGGTCTTCTTGTGGCTCTATAGTGGTAAGGATTAATTACTCCTTAGCACCAAAACAAAATACAATATGAAAACATCCACCTCTTGTTTATTTATCAGATCAGCACAATCCAGTGTTAAAAAAAAGAAATATATATATATATATATATATATATATATATATATATATATATATATATATATATATATATATATATATATATATATACTGTATATATATTGTCGTTCCCTGGAGCTACAGATCACGACCTTACACCCTCAAGATATAATTGTTGTCCATTATCGCTGCCAGGAAGGCTGCTGGAGTGACGTAATGCAACACTGTAACACGTGTTCAAGCGCTCACGGAGACAGGTTCTCACACAATACTGTAAATACTTGATCAATTAACTAACTTTCACTCTATATGTTTCTTTCTTTCCACACAAGTTACACCACAATGAATTGTATCACCACTAGGAAATAAAAATTAAAACCATAACACACCTAATTGGTCTCATCAGAAAGAGAAGATTAACTTGTACAAATAATAAACATTAAAATAAACTGTATATAAAGATGTGGATTTATTAATCTTTTTAGACCTTATGATTTTTATTCATAACTTGAACCTAACTATACTAATTTAAGGAGTGACGACGACGACCATGTATAATATTATAGTGTAAGTGAACATAACACTGAGCTCTGGGTAGTGGGTGTTAATACTCGTGTTATCAACCTCACACAAGCGATTTACAGTGTTTCTTACATTTAAGAGTCTCTGTATTAGCCGCTATCAATTAATATTATATAAATATGAGCTAAGGACATATATTCATTATATACATTCTATCACCCAGACTATTGAGCATACAGCTACATTAAGCATTTGTTCTGTCACACCTCCGAGGGTGGACGGCCTATAAACATTTGTTGTGTCACACCTCAGGTATACAACCCATAAACTTACTCCTCAGCCCTCCGTGTGTGAGTAGGCCTGTTTAGATCCTATGTCCGTGTTGACGTATAGCTTACTCTCCAACAAACAGACTCAGAGAGGTCAGCCAGTTTCCCCAGTTCTCACGAGTTCACGGCCAGACACGATACCATAGAGACGTGTTGTGAGCCTAGCTCTCCAGGCTGTACCTCTCTCTAATTATATCAGCTAATTACAAGCTAATAGCTAATGCTCATTAGTCTGTCAACAATCAACCTTGTAAAAATCAGACTACCCAATATAACTAGAAAATCGCCACGTGTGTTTACATTAAACCAGGGAACAACAAGTGAAGATAACATAACTTGTGTAACTTACAAGCTAACATAATTACAAGTGCAACCCAGGGCGGCTGTGACGATTTCAACTATAAGTAATTAAATAATACATAAATTGAATGAGGGTGTAGTATTGTACTCAGGCGTGTTTGTACTGTAAAAAGTAATTACTATTAACCTCAGAATAACTCCTAATATCAAGTGGATATGCCTTCAAAATGTCCTCAAAATGCCCATGATATTGGTCAGATTAAAAAAAAAAAAATAATATATATATATATATATATATATATATATATATATATATATATATATATATATATATATATATATATATATATATATATATATATATATATATATATATATATATATATATAGCTGGTTGGGCTAGTTGTGCTTGCCTTGTTTCCCCATCCACAATTTCTTGGACCCCCTTTGATATTCCTGGATCCGCCCTGCGTGGATGTTTCAGTATGAGAACGTAAATTAAACTATTAACATCGATGTTTCGTGAGGATAATTAGCCAATGACAACCTAGGTTTATCTTTTCGTCCAATAAGAATGTTGCTTGCTATGTAACATTGTTTTTTTTCAGTATATTCTTGTTACAAATTATAAATAATTGCTCAAACCCTTGAATAAATGTAGATATGTTGAACGCTAATACTTAACGGAGAGTGAGAATCCAGTACAGAGCTTAGTAAGTAATAAATTAAATAGAAGACGGAAAATTAAACAGTGACTTCCGACCAATCTGAGCCGACATCTTGGCAAGACGGTCAGGGTCGAGGGAGGTCAGTCGAGCAGAAGTGTCCACGAGTGTACCTGGGATTCCCAACATGGCTTCGCAAGCAGGCGTTCATGTTTAACTAATCCATTAACATTCTTTTCAGCTGTTTTCGAATCAGCGGACGAGGGGCACGACTATGATGTGGTATATCTTGACTTTAGCAAAGCCTTCGACAGGGTCCCCCACGAAAGACTAATAAGAAAAGTGGAGGCTCAAGGCATTGGAGGAGATATTCTAAAATGGATTAGTGCGTGGTTACAGGACAGGAAACAGCGATTGCAGTAACGTCACAAGTGGAGTACCCCAAGGCTCAGTACTTGGACCATTATTATTTAGTATATACATGAACGACATAGATATCGGCATAGACAGCAACATTAGTAAATTTGCTGATGACACTAAAATAGGACGTGTAATTAAATCTGGCGAGGACTCCGCAAAACTACAGGAAGATCTGGACAAATTTTTCGAATGGTCTGAAAAATAGCAGATGAAATTCAATGTGGACAAATGTAAAGTACTCAGTATAGGAGATGTAAACAGACAAACCAGATATCAGATGACCAACGATGTTATAGAGAAATCCGAATGTGAGAAATATTTAGGAGTAATGATAAGTAGGATTCTTAAGCCAAGTAAACAATGTGTATTTGCTCGAAACAAGGCTAATAAAGTACTTGGGTACATACAAAGGAGTGTAAGTTAAAAAATACTGGAGAGGTCATCCTAAAACTATATCTTGCGCTTGTGAGACCTCACTTGGATTACGCAGTTCAATTCTGGTCACCGTATTACAGAATGGATATATAATCCATAGGAAGAATTCAGAGGAGAATGACAAGATTAATCCCGGGCATTAGGAACCTCGAGTGCAGAGACAGGTTAAAGCATCTTAATTTGCACTCCCTCGAGAGACGTAGAGTGAGGGGCGATATGATAGAGGTGTATAAATGGGAGTCATGGCTAAACAAAGGGGACATAACAAAGGTACTCAAACTATCCAACCAGGAGGGAACTCGTAACAATGGTTTTAAATTAGACAAATTTAGATTTAGGGGTGAAATAGGTAAACATTAGTTTGGAAATAGAGTAGTGGATGAATGGAACAAGTTACCAAACATCATTATTGACTCGAATACGATGGATAGCTTCAAACATAGGTTGGATGGATATATGAGCAATAGGGGTTGGGTGTAAATGGGACTGTTCAGTATGGGCCAATAGGCCCGCTGCAGTTTCCTCCATTCTTATGTTCTTAAATACACATACTGTACACAACAACACAAAAACCTGATAGAAATGGCAGTTCAGGTAGCAAGTCTCGGTTGCGATGGCCAACCACAAGGAACCAGGGATTAGCGCCGTAGTCCACTATCATCAAACCACCACAACACCACTGGCAGTTGTCCTTAATACATTTCGTCGTCCACACCCCGGGAGAAGGGAAACGCCGAAGAGTGCAGAGAAGCGACTCTCCGCCTGTATTATTAAACAACATCTTCCCTTGAAGAGGGTCGTCGTGTTTCAACCCGAGTTTAAAAAGAAAAAAAAAAGAATCCTGAAGGACACTGCAGTACAGTACTTGACGGGCTGATGTGGCGGTAAAATTAACTATTTCCAATATTATAAATTAATTTTATTGGAATTAATTAATTTTACCGCCACACCACCCCGTCAAGTACTGTACTGCGGTGTCCCTCGGGACTCCCTTTTTTTCCTTTTTAACTCGGGTTGAAACACGACGACCCTCTTCAACGGATGTTTAAAACTCCGGGCGTTGGCCTACCAGGAAGATACACTTGCCTGGATACCTCGGTCTCATAGTCAGATGGGAAACGGGTCTCATAGTCGGATAGGAAACTGGTTCTGAAACGGTGCTCACTGGGGTCGAGTAGCTTCGTGAAGCAGTTTTTTCTCCTGGTGTAAAGTTGGAGCAAGTGATGGTTATGGCGGTAGAGTGAGGAGGGGACAGAGTTGTCACAAGCTCAATACTTAGTACAGTTTACCAGTAACACAAAATATCATAATTCTCTGGTATCATTTTCCAGTGTCTATAATTTTAACTGTTAAGTCAGTAGATCTGAAGAGAGTATTATGAGCTATCCTCCTCTTGAGAGTCTTATAAAACATACCATCACTTGTTACTGTTGTATTAGTTGTGATGTCTCATCTGCTTCCAAATCGACTTGAAACATAGATATCGTTGGTGACAGAATCTCCGGGTCGGGCCACTAAGTTGTTTTTAGAATCTGAAAAGTGTATTATTATTCTTGCTAATAATAATAATAATATTATTATTATTATTATTATTATTATTATTATTATTATTATTATTATTATTATTATTATTATTATTATTATTATTATTATTATTATTATGATGATAGTGAAGATAAATACTGTACTAAGATAGGCATGTGCAGATGCCTTAACTTGTTTTTTCCCTGTTATCAGTGTGAGCTTTTTTGTACCATTCCTTTTGTTTTCGGGGAACTTTTATGATATGACAGTCAGTGGTGGACAGAGGTGACTGCCAGATGCCAGATTCTAAATTTCTCCCCAATTGGTGATGTGAAAACGTATCATCCTGGTTTATTTAATATCTAGGAAAACTATAGTGGTCTGAGTGCCATTAAAATTACACTAGCATTCTATCATCACCCGGTCTACGTTTTCCCATTCTTCGTTTCGAGATAAAAAAACAAAAACAAAAAGAAGTGCGCAAGAATCCGTGGTGATGCAAAAATTTGACTTACACTGAAACTCTACAAGCACATTGTTATAGCAAGAGAAAGAGACAAATGGTTCCAAAGAGAGAAACATGGTGAGCAGGTTATAGTTCATATATACACGAACTTCACAACAGGATGTAAATATTCTTACATTAACAGGAAGGCTCTGTCACGTGTTCTATTGATGTCACTCACTATCTCCAACTGTTATCATTGACTTTCCGCTTGACGGTGTTCGCTATCATCCTGCGTCTCTCTTGCTCTTTCTCTTTTCTCCTTCATCATGTCTATCTCTCTCGTTCTCATTCTACCCTTTGGCTCATTCTACCAAGTGGGTACAGCGCTCGCCTTCAGTCTTAAGAGTAGTTGGTTTCTTTCCCCTGATTATTCAGCTGCAAAACAGGCTAAGTGAAGATGGCCAAGTGTAGTGCCGGCCACACTGCCTTCTTGTGTACTGTACAAGTGTACTGTATCCACACGGTTTATGGGAACCTCTTTTATTTAAATCCTGCCCCTCCTCATGGCGTCATCATTATCCATTCTCATATTATCTTTCACTCAACCTCACCTCATGTTTCTCTCACATTACCTTTCTCTATATACTTTTCCCCCATCCAGATAGAACCACAGCCGACTACACACACCCCGCCCTTGTCACTATGTGTCATGGTAAAAAATAGGTAGACGGAGATGGGAAGGGAAGATTAGGAGGAGTTGGGGAGGTTAGGGGGAGAAGGAAAACATCTGGTTATGAATCACAACTTACGAGCTGGCTCAGAATAACCTAACTAACAGCCACTTTCACAGTTGCTTTATTTGTGAACACCAAAAGTACGGCTCAGGAAAGTTGTCAACGCCAGCGCAATGTTTTGATTGATATGTGTAATATAATCCCGATACTTGTATACAGAAAATTCAATCACCTTCCACAGATAGACTTACAGTAGACGGTCCTAATCACACGCATAAATACTACACATTGATGACGGTAACGTGCTTATCCCTCACCAGTGCGTCATGGTTTCTTTCCATAGAAATAAGAGACAACGTGAAGGCCAAAAATGTATATGTATTAATTGTTGTTGCTTTTGTCATGTGGCAAACCCTTAGTAAAATTTCATGTATTTATTTTCTACCTTTCTAGTGAACCAGTATTTTCATGTACGTCATATGAGTAACTTAGGTAAATTAAAAATGTTGTGTAGTTACAATTCATTTTATAATAATGTTATAAAAAAGGGATGGCAGTTGTTTGCCCACAGCGACCCCACAACCAGCACCACAGCACCCCCACCCCTCACACGCTCTTGATAAAAGGATCCGGCGGACGTGACAATATGTCAAACCGGAGCTGAAATGAACAGTACAGTACAGTACAGTACAGTACAGTACAGTACAGTACAGTGCAGTACAGTACAGTACAGTGCAGAAATATAACTTAAAGGAATTGGCTTAACTAGGGATTTCAAGTAATCCCTTTAAATGTTCTAGTAATCACTGCAATGGTCGGCTGACCTAACGTATACAACCTGATCATTAGCCAAGTTAGGTTAGGTTAGAATAAGTTAGCTGAGGGTTGCAACGATTACAAGAAATTTTTAAAATTTTTAGGGATTACATAAAATTCCTGAACATTAAGTTTGTATTACAATAGATATGTGCTGCCCACTTCTGACTGTTTGATTGCTAATTAATCCCTTCACTATGACGTGGATAAGATAAATCTTGATAAACTCGCACAGGAAAAGGGAAACAATGGAGCACCTTAGCTTTCGTCTTTTTATTCAAGACGAAAGCTAAGGTGCTCCATTGTTTCCCTTTTCCTGTGTGAGTTTATCAAGATATATATATATATATATATATATATATATATAGTATATATAACTTTGGGATTCCAAATAGGATATTTAGGTTAGGTAAGATTTGGGTTGGGTTAGGTTACGTTAAGTTAGGTTATTTGTTTTCCCCCAAAAATTATTATCACCACAAGAAACGGTCTAGACTCTGGAAAAGTCGCGTTTTACGCTAAAACCATCCGCCGGTGTCATTTGGATTGTTGCCTTATATATAGTTACACTTATACTTAGTAGCCACGTAAATCTGGCTGATACTCGTAAAAAGTACTGTGTTACAGACCAAACTCCTGACAGACAATGTTCATGGAGACCCTTCAGTTTCTCCCCAATTGGTAGTCCTGAAAACCATTCCTTTTTTCCCAGTGGTTCCCAGTGTTGTTGTTTAGGTTCCGCTTGATTTAGGGGACATAATAATACACTAAAGAAGATCTAAATACAAACTAAAGACAGAGTACACAGCGCAGCAAGAAACACCTGGGATTTGGGAATTGACACTAAATGCCTCAGCCTACTGCTGCCTCACGTTAACTCCCCCCACCCCCCTATAAGCCAGAGCCTCGTCCGACTTATGGGGGCTTTCGACTTACGGAAGTTCCGACTTTGAGAGGTCTTTACTACTATCAAAATTATGGGCACGAGATAACATTTATATATTTCCTACCACACTCCAAAGGGTTTTTTATATGCACCTTACAATGTGCATGAGGCAAATCATTTAATAATGTTGCACTTTTTAGTAGATCCTCTGGTGTAATTTTACATTTTGCTGGATCTTTGAACCCTTCAAAAGAATGTGAGTACAGTCAGTATAGCCACTACTGTGACTCGGGTGCAGGAGATACCATCAATTCGTCATAGGACTCATATACGTCGTTTTCAGTACACACTCCCTCATGAGTGTTGGCGGGAGGTTGTGTAGACGTGTCCCGGGAGATGAGTGAATGACCTGTGTAGAGGCCGATTATTATTATTATTATTATTATTATTATTATGACATGGCATAAATATTTTTTTTGTATCACTTATATACAAGCATCCTTTTGAAATAACTGTTCCTGAACTAGTACCAACACCTTTGCAACTAAATTAACAAAATGTAAAATGGAGATATAATTTAATTATTGTTTAGATTGTCATTGTGCAGCCTATAAGTTATTGTGTCAATAAGAATTTTTTATCTTTTAGCAACAAATGACTTTGAATATCTTAAAGAACATGTAAGATAAGGTGAGATACTAAATTATCTCCAAAAGTCTCTTGGTTAGAAAGAAAGATGACTAAGGTCAGTGAACAGGTCTTCGAACACTGTCACAACTCAGTTCTCAAGCAACACTTATAATGCTTAAAACAGCGTCAGTTATGGTGATATAAAAACTTTCTTCTCTTGATGCACCATGACTTTTAATCATACAAAGAAGCTTGACAAGCACACTCTTACACACACGAGAAATAGAGACATACAACGGAGGAGAAAGACACACAGTCCACAGATAAAGCACAAGAAAAAGAAAACAAAGAGTGATCACAGCTTTGTAATCAGTAGCATTTACATTTTAGACCTAGTCAATCTTCTATGCTCAACATCGAGGCGACAGTGACAGAAAGAAGGGCTAAGGGGAATGCTTGGTGGGTAGAGGAAGTTGGTGCAGAAGTTAATAACATTGCCTTGCCCGCCATGAAGTATATCTTCCACATGTGAAGGACAGGGTTGGGTTGGTTGTAAACGGGGCTCATTAGTATGGGCCAATTGTCCAGCTGCAGTTTCCTCTATTATTATGTTAAGACATAGGAAGTTTTTATTAAATATGTATAAGACGGTAATTAGAACTATCTCTGAGCGTCGGCGAGGAACACCACGATATCCAAAGTTGTCTTGATGAACAACCGAGGCTTCTGCATCAGTCTCGAAGCCCTTATATATACTAAAAAAATTATTGACAGTAAAGGCTAATACACTTCCTCTACACCTATGGCCTGATACTGACCATCCGTGAGGGAACTTCATACAGGTCCATCTCCACGCCTTATGTTTCTCTACAAGAGTGCAACTATAAAACATTGTACGCTCCTTTGTCCATCCAACAGCGGACAACAGTTCGCCTCCGTGTAGCGGCTTCATGGTGGGGAAAAAAAATCCTGAAGTTGAGATCTACTCACCCAAAGTGATCATGACAAAGCCAAACTTCCTGTCATATCATCTAACAACTTCAACTTCATACAAAAATAAATATAGAAATGAGCAACATCGCCAATAATCTAAAGTTAATCCCCCCAAAAATGAACAGGTCACCTCGTCACTACAACACCCTTAGCCACTCACTCAGTCTGAGAAGCTATTCATAGTTACCTACAGCAGCTAAAAATATCACTTCCTTAGTGAATAGAACCAGCAGTATGACGAAATGGCGGTGTTTATCTCAAAGTTTATCCACTTCCGTAAATTATCCTCTGTTACTTTCCGCCTGTCTTTTTCCACCCGTGTCTCACCATGTCTCTTACCTTGCATGTATCTCACACGTGTCTCTCACTCTACTGCTCATTCATACTGACTCCCGTACGCAAGAGAGTTTACTAACACACTAACTGTTAGATGCGGCGAATCGGAGAGCTCCCTCCAACACGATGCTATACTCTACTATCTTCTATTTAACATATCTTTCATCCTCTATATCCTCTATATCTCTTCCTACCCATCTCTCATACCGCTCACTCTTATTATGTCACTTTACATCGCAGTCGCCTGTCTTTCCCTAACTCTACATTTTCTTAATTTGTTAAGTTGGTGATCAATTGGTTCTCTAATTCTACCTTTTTATCATTAAGAAAGAATAAGCTCAGGCAAAGCATCTGATACATGACACGATAATTGATAACTTGATGCGACAGAAAACTTTGCCAACCTTTAAAATGACAAGATTCGAAGGTTTCACTTGACAAAGAAAGAGGAAGCGTATCAGCAGCAACAGAAAGTAGAGCAGCTGCAAGAACACCAGAAATAGTAACAGCAGCAGAAACAAAACGCCCGTGATGGCACGATGCCTCACCTGTTCGGTGGTCTGGTTGATTTATGTCATTTTGACCAGTGTTCCCATATCGCACCTGAGGGTACACAACCTCTCATTAATTAATGCGCTATGTGCTGTTTTGAAGATGAGAGTGAGACAGAAGACGGGCATAAACGATATATATATATATATATATATATATATATATATATATATATATATATATATATATATATATATATATATATATATATATATATATATATATATATATGTGTGTGTGTGTGTGTGTGTGTCTGTGTGTGTGTGTGTGTGTGTGTGTGTGTGTGTGTGTGTGTGTGTGTGTGTGTGTGTGTGTTTCTTCAATACAGCGCATGTGAGGGAGGAAGTGAGTTCAGGAAATAGAAACAGATAAATAAAGACGTTTCCCAGTCTCTCAGAGTTTCTGACGGGACATCCTCCACTCAGGCTGAACTAATAGCCCTCCTTGCTGCCCTTCTCGCTGAGGAAGAAGCAGATGGTTTCTGCCCCTTGCTTGTCTGCTGCGATTCCAGGTCTGCTCTCGACGGGATCGCATTTGGATCAGGGGAAAATAAGGACTTCATCCTCCTAATACGAGGGTTAACATCCACACTTCAGGATGCAGGCCGTCCTGTGATATTCCTATGGATACCCAGTCATGTCGGTATCTTGGGGAATGAGGCAGCAGATGGCCTTGCCAAGACTGGCTGCAACAAGGCCACACCTGACTACGTTGTTCCTCGAACACTTGTTCCTCGAGCTTAGGACCCAAATTCGCCGCAAACAGAGAGAAGCTCGGGAAGCAGCCATCCCCCTGGACTCCCCGCCCACCTGGTACGATGTCCTCCGCTTCCTCTATCAAGGAATAAACAATTGTAATTGAATTGAATTGACTTTTCCCTGTGTAAATTTCCTGGAGACATCAGCCACAACACAACGCCGCCCTGCTTACAGGAAGTAAGATACAGATACTGTATATGACAACTGAAATATCACGATGTGGGTCCTCTCTTTGTTGAGAAATATCACATGTACACGTTATAAAGCCTTGTGCAGACACAAAATATATAGTGGCAACACTTCCCTCTGTAGTTTTTGGATTTAGCATTGAAAGGCAAGAATTATAATTGCCAGACGCCTCCCGGCGACGAGCACATACTATAGTACAGTGTACAGTACAGTATATAGATTTAGACAATATTCGTTACATAAGAGAGTCTTTGTAAAGAACAGTATATTGTAAACAAACCAGGTGAGGATTAAGCACTTCAGTATATTTCACTTAATATTTAAAACACCCGCGCGCTACTTATGTTAAGTTAGCGTTAGGTTACCATGAGTTGATGTTAGGTTTGATTCGTGTTTGTTATGATGTATGTTGTTATGTGGTATGTTGTTATGTGTTGTGTTGTTATGCGTTGTGTTGTTATATGTTGTGTTGGTATGTGTTGTGTTACGTTTTGTTTTGTTAGGTTAGGTTAATATTAAAGGCGAAATGAGCTGGGGTGCCTTACCTTCACACACTCCCAGTAAACAATTAAATTGCAGCAGAGTGGAAACAGCTGGTGGGTGAAGTCTGGTGATAAGAATTCAAGAGTTACGCAAACAGTATACATATAATGATCCCCCTCACCTATCAATAAGGCACTTATCTGATGCCTCACCCTCACACCTCTCTATGAGCCTCTCCTGGTGACTCAAGTAGAGATGAAGACAATATCTAGAGACTTCAACAGATGTAGACTCAATTTGTGGAAGTGGTGAGGGAAATAAGAGTTAGACTCAGAGAGGGTCATAATATCCGGAGTCTTAAGATAAACAGAAAAACTCTCTTGAGTCTCACAGAAACTAAGGCAATACCTTGAGTCTCCGAGGGAGGTCGATGACGATAATGAAGAGGATGACGGCGATGGCGGCGAAGATGCCCAGGAAAATATTACTGAGAGTACAGTTGTGGCCACAGTTTATTGGTGGTGAGGATGTAAGGCCTGTTTGGGAGACACCGTCAAGTAAATTTAATGTGCCTGAATATATTTTTATACTGTATTTATATGATTCAGGTGACACACACACACACACCACCCCTCCCTCACCCCATGCTGTGTCCCTAGCCTCTCGCATTCTCTCAGTCCTAACCTTCTGTCGCTTCTGTCGTCTGTGAGAATTCTGGAGAGGTAATATCATCTGTACCTTTCTTCTTGTAGCTCTCGATGCACTGGGCGATATATAATGTTCCTGCCAAGTTCTCGGGAGAAAACTTGAGTGTCATTTCACCAGAGAGCGTCAAGTTGTCCAGGAGTTCCTCTCCAGACAGGATCTGTGCAACAAATTGCAATTCTGACTCGTTGTTGTGACAGATGATCATTATAATTAGATTTTCGCTGAGCTCATACTGGTGAAAAAAAAAATTTTAATTTAAATTTTTCTTGCTCACTTGCCGAAGCTATTTCCAAGTTCACACTCATGATTTATTATCAGGAAGCCGAAGCCAAGGCTTTAAGCCTTTAAGGGATACACCAAACTTTATCACCATTATTTATATAGTATACCGTATTACCTTACATGTTGATGGGAAAATACTGTATATGATATTCTAAGTTACAGTTAGAATTTGAGACAAACTGATTTTAAGCTGATTGTTCTTAGGGTAAGTTTACACAGCGTAGGACAAAAAGAGATTGCACACACACACACACACACACACACACACACACACACACACACACACACACACATATATATATATATATATATATATATATATATATATATATATATATATATATATATATATATATATATATATATATATATATATATATATATATATATCAACGCTATTATTAAACATACTACCTACCTTAACTGTGTCTTCCTCCGTATTCTTCATAAACTGGAGTTGGACGGGAGTGTTTCTGGTTAAGTTGCCACATTGCTGTCCTTCGTCTTGGTCCATCACTGTCACTCTCGAGTTGTTCAGACACAAAATCCTGTTAGCCTCTGACACTGAAAACTGTACCTTAGTGTCCTGGGTGGGTGTGAGTACCAGAGTCTCTCCTTCATTGCCAGAGGAGGGAATTTCTTGAGCACTTGCCAAGGCTTGACTCAATTCTCGATTCAGCCATCCTGAAAAAATATATATTTACCTTCTTTACTTAATGGCCACCCACTAGACGTAGCCATGCCGAGGGAAGGTGGCCAGTGGCAATGGGAAGGATACCTCCATTATTCTGGGCTGTTTAGAAGATCACTAATGTTTTCTATTCCACAGCTTGGTCTGGTAGACCGTTCTATAGGTCTACCACCCTCTGTGTGAAGAAGTATTTCGTAATGTTCATTCTGCACGATAACTTGGCATGTTATGTCCCCTCGTGTTGGTGGTGTGTAACACAGCAAAGAAATACCCAGGGCTCAAGTTTTCTATTCCTTTCAAGATTTGGAGATCTGCCCAATTGTGCCGTCTGAAGGGTTGTTAGTTCTAAGGCCCCAGTACATATAAAAACATATACAAACCATAAATTGAGCTAAAAAAACTAGCCCAACTCATCATTTACGTCACTAACGCGACAAAAGCCATTTACCTTACTTGACCCATTTGATCGATAAATATATACCCAAGACCAAATCCAGTGCTTCTAGGAATACGAGGGGATCCCTACACATGAACCATGCGGCGGTCGACAAAATTAAGAAGAAAACCCAGAAATTCAAGTCGTGGGTTGGGTCAAACGATGAGCAAGACAGGAGGATGTATGCAAGAGCCAGAAACCAAGCAAAGATAGAGTGTAGGAGGGCTGAAAAGGAGTTCCAGAGGCTGGTTGCAAGCGAGGTCAAGTCAAACCCAAATGCGTTTTACCGCTATGCAAAGTCGAAATTGAAAACGCGAGTAGGAGTATCAGACCTGAGGCTGGTGGATGGTAGTTACGCAGATTCTGACCAGGATAAAGCCGAGGCATTGAACAACTTCTTTTCCTCGGTGTTCACAAGAGAGGATGCAACTAACCTTTCTGCGTTTGAGGACAGACGGTTCGACACAGCACTGACCTACATTGTGTTCACAGAAGAGGGTATTAGAAATAAACTGTCAAAGCTAAAGGTCCATAAACGCCCCGGACCTGACATGGTGCATCCTAGAGTGCTAAGAGAGCTGTGCAACGAGCTTGCCGAGCCCCTGAAGATCCTGCTTTGTAAAGGCCTGGATGAACAAAAGGTCCCCAGTGAATGGATAGTGGCTTATGTGAGTCCTATCTTCAAGAAGGGCGATCGTCACTCCACGAAACACTATAGACCGGTGAGCCTGACCAGCATAATATGTAAAGTACTTGAGAATATTATCAGAGATGCCACAATGGAACATCTACTACGAAACAACCTTGTAAAGGATTGCCAACACGGTTTTATGCCGGGACGCTCCTGCTTAACACAATTGCTCAAGGTATTGGATATTTGGACCCATATTCTGGAACGGGGTGGTAATATCGACAATATTTACCTAGATTTTGCCAAGGCTTTCGACAGTGTACCCCACGAAAGGCTGAAAATCAAACTGGAAGGGTACGTAATTCGGGGAAATGTCCTAGCGTGGATAGAAGACTTTCTACATGGCCGCAAGCAGTGTGTGGTGATTAATGGCACGAAATCGTCAACTGTACCTGTCACAAGTGGGGTACCGCAGGGCAGTGTATTGGGCCCGCTGTTGTTTGTTTGTTTCATAAATGACATGCCTGACGTTGTACACTCCTCCATACAAATGTTTGCCGATGACACCAAGTTATTTCGAGAAATTAAGAACCAAGCGGATTGTGAAGAGCTGCAGAAGGACCTCTGTGGGCTCCAGGAATGGTCGAAGAAATGGCTGCTGAGATTCAATGTCACGAAGTGTAAGAGGATGCACCTGGGGCGTACCAACGGTAAGGAGGCGTATCATATGTCCCAACGGGATGAAGAAACTGCACTAGTTGAGACTGATTGTGAGAAGGACCTAGGTATGTATGTTGACAATGAGCTGAAGTTCTCGGGCCATTGCGAGAAGAAGGTAAATCAGGCAAATAAATTATTGGGTTTTATAAGAAGGTCGTTCAGATATCTAGACGGTTCGTCCCTCTTAACGATCTTCAGGAGTGAAGTGCTTCCCCATCTGGAGTACTGTCACCCCCATCTGGTCCCCGAGATATGCTAGGGACTGTCAGTTGGTTGAAAATGTTCAAAGGAGGGCCACCAGACTGGTGCCTGCACTTCGGCACCTCAGCTACCCTGAGAGATTGGAGCGCCTGAACTTGCATAGCTTATACTACAGACGGGCAAGGGGGGACCTAGTTGAGGTGTATAAGCATCTCAGGGGGCACTACTCAGTTGAGTGTCCTTACTTGGAGCTGGCGGACGCTCGCCCCACGAGGGGTCACAGCTCAAGATTGAAGAAGCCGCAAGTCCAGAAAACTGTGAGGGCCAACTTTTTCGGAGTGAGGGTTGTAAACTCTTGGAACAATCTACCAGAGAGTGTTGTGACGGCACCGAGTGTGAGCTCTTTCAAGACAAGACTTGACCAACACTGGAGCGGGTTCAGGTACATTCAGGAGCCGGTGCAATGCCCAGTATTTGCCAACAGTGCGTGACAGAGACGTGACCGATCGCTCAAGCGGCTAACGAGCCGATCAGTGGCGAAGAGGATAAAAGTAAAAAGTAAAGGTAAAAATATTAATTCAGAGGAAAAGTCATAGAGCAAACGCATTATTAACTCCAAATTTGAATCAATGAAGCTGAGCGTTGTAGAGATTGTAGAAACTATGTTCATAAAAGAAAATGCCATGTACATACAGAAGACTACTTACTGAAATAGCTACAAGGAGTCAACAACAGAATATAACGTTATAACAAAGTTCTTTCCTCTCTGAAGGGAATCTACCGAAGCATTCGCTTACACACGTTTAGTTCTATAAGGAAATTATCACCAAAAAAGAACAACAAACCGACTGATGAAATGGAAAAAAGTGGTCCAAAGTTGACGCAAATTGGTTCAAACTTTATCAATATTCCCGGAAACAATAACCAACACTGGCGCAGCCAATACGTGCCCAGCATTTGATAAGGTGCGTAAGAGACGTGACCGGCCGCCCATGAGATGAAGATGAATAAGTAAATAAAGCTAGTCTACTAAAGATAATACAGTTTATATATATATATATATATATATATATATATATATATATATATATATATATATATACAGTAAACACACATATTGGTCAGTGTTTACATTAACATTCATTTCATTATCCATTGTTTGTTTTAATATATTTCATTAAAAAAACTAACATTTCCAAGAGAATATTGTATCCGTGGAAGCAGTCAATTGATATACTGACCTCGAGTACATCCTAATACAATGCGAACTTCATTGTCAACAATGATTGTTTTCTTGGTTCCTTTTCTGATACTTGGTTTACCGGTAAATGATTCATTCCGGCCTTGAAGCTGCAGCTGTGGAAGACCGGTCATGTTCAGTACACCAGACATCCATTTATCTTTAGAAATATTTTTTATCGTGTGCTTATATTCCTCTCCGTCCTGCTGCACTGTCACTTCCACTTGTTTTTCTTCGCCACCTACGACGCTAAGATTGATGGAATCTTTAAATGTCTCAAGTTTCAAGCTGCTTCCCTTCTTAATGATACACTCTGAAATATTTCAGTTAACTTTAGAGTAAGTTAAAGATATGTTCTTATTCTATGTAAATTATCTCAATATTTTCTTTTTCTCCAAAGTTAATTTTAGGTCCTGTTAACTAGACTTACACCAGATACACTAAGCGAAAATAGTACAAGAATCCTATTATTTTACATATTATCTATACACCATTACTAGATATTTACTATAAAAACGAAGGGAAACAGGATGAAGCTCACATATCTTTGGTCAGCTATAAGTCATAACAGAAGTGGCCTTTAATCCAAAGTGATAGAACGAAAATAACAAATAAGAGCCATCTTGAAAAGTGTTTTAACTTTGGGAGTTGTCGAACACAAACCCTCGTGTTCTTCATCGTCACATTAGTGGTGAATATTCCTTGACAGAAGTTGTTCTACATCTTACTGAGTTGCTGCAGTAATAGTTTATCTAAAAAAATTACATAAGTCCTGAAGCTGATAAACTTAACACAAGCACGAATGGTCAGTGATTGTCTCCGAGGGGGCACTCGCCATCATATAAGGAGTGACAGTGACTGGGGACAGGACTTACTATCATCTACAGTAAGCAGGAGTACCAGTAACTAGAGAAGTACTTACCACCATACAGGTGAGTTGAGTCAGACACAGCCAGGCCCACCGCTACTTGAGTCACCATCAACACCACCACGACCACCCTCTTCATAATGGGCACCTCAATCCTGATGTAAACTTAAACCTTTATACCTTACGTTATAAAATGCTACAGAGAGTAATATATGGGCACGTATTATCTAATCAAATGTTCAATAGAATTAAAAAGATTTTATATGGCTTCTATTATAAAATGCTCACAATCACAGCTTACATTATACCTTCTATTTGCACACAAGCCAGCTGGAACATATCTTGACTTTGCTAATAAAAAGTCTAATTTATAGGATTTCTATTTAATTAGTGGTGCCAAATTGTTCGTCAGATATGTGAAAACTTAATAACACATTTTCCCCTTCCCCTAATTCACAAACTAGATCTGTTTCTAGAGCTGATGTCATTACATCTGAAGAAAAAATTTACAATTATAGCAAAATAAAAAAAATAAAAAAAACATGCCACATGACTCAGAGAAAATCATCCATCTTCTCCTAACCTTTTCTCCATTAGCAAGCTTTCGGGAAAAAATGCCTTATTTAAGTACCTGGTTCTTCCATCATCATAAGTTTTAGCTGGGGTTTTCAGGTTTAGTGCATCCAAGTCCTGTTCAAGCTTTTTCTGAGAAAGGTAACCACATAATTCATGTGTAATGTCAGTCCACAGTGCGGGATCCTCAGAAAATGTCACTGTTTGTCCTCCAAAAGACTCCCTCCTAAACGAAATGATTCCGGGACTTAGAAACCTTCCATATCAGGATAGGTTAAAGAAACTAAACTTGCATTCCCTAGAAAGACGAAGAGTGCGGGGAGATATGATAGAAGTATTTAAGTGGGTGAAAGGAATCAATAAAGGGGATATAGATAAAGTTCTTATAATATCCGAGCAGGATAGGACTCGTAACAACGGATTTAAGTTGGATAAGTTCAGGTTTAGGAGGGAGATAGGAAGGAACTGGTTCACAAATAGGGTGGTGGACGAGTGGAACAAGCTTAGCAACTTTGTAGTAAATGCTGGAACGCTGGAAAGTTTCAAAAGGAGGCTGGATAGATTCATGGATGATAGAGAGTGGTAGTAACTCTCGACAGGAGCTGCCATGCACAGGCCAACCGGCCTATTGCAGACTCCTTATTTTCTTATGTTCTTATGTTCTTAAAGGGAACACTTAGCTAGGTCTCATAAGGGGCGCAAAATTTTCACTGTACGACTTCAGAACATGTAATGCATATGCTGATAAAGTATACTATTTAGTTTGTAACCGTTATAATAATCCTCTTAGAATACATATTTCACAAAGGATTTCATCCATTTTTATACAGGCATATTTTCTGAGGGCCACGTTCATCACAGTAAATTCGGCCCTGATCGCGGGGCCCCTTGAGTCGCGGGGCCCTGGGCCATGGCCTTGCCTTAATCCGGCTCTGGCCACTAGACAACACATTATGATTCCAATATCTTCTCAGGTGGTAGTACCACCCTTTTTGACAGCTGCCTACTAATCAATCAGTCCAGTCCTACTTTACTTTACTTACATTTATCCTCTTCACCACTGATCAGCTCATTAGCCGCTTGGGCGTAGTGTAGTGTGAAACTCCGTTTCCCAGCTGAGAAGAGATCATACTAATACTCCGACCAAATCACGGGAAGCGCGCGAGGGCGCGGGGGTTGCCGTTTATCACTCAACTCTATGACGTCATTTTTCATCACGTTTTCTTTTGGTATTAATGGGCATTACAAAGCATGTATTTTAGGTATAACTATTGTAATGTCTTGACAAAATATATATATGCACATACAAAAACCCTACAATCAAATAACATTATAACATAACATGGGAAAATTAAACACTAATTGAACAAAAAATATCAAACACAAGTTAACATCCTCAGATTTGGCGTAAAATTTATACATCCACCCTGGAATTTCACAACCTCGGACAAGGCTATTAATGAATTAATAGAGGGAATTTGTAGAGCGTTTCTGGATTTTGTTTTCATTAAATTTAATTTATAAAATATTCTCTCTGCATCTGCATTGGATGTTGGAAGAGACAATACCTGCAAAGCAAATGTACAAAGGTCCTTAAATTGGGAAACACCTACACTGTCCTTAAGTTCCCCTAGTTTTGTATAAACGTCCATTATGTCATTTCTGTCCTTAATCTCGGGTGGTATAGCAATCACATCTAAGTCTCTCCATTGACCATCTAAAACTTGTATACTGCCACTGTATATATGGGGCACCGCCTTCACAAAGTCGTATAAGGATGGCATCTCCTTCCTGGATTTATTATCAAATACCCTATTTGATGACATAAATGAGCAGATCCATAAAAACCTACTCCCAAACTCAAATCTTTGACGGAATTGCACACAAAGGTTTATCATGAAGATACGACATCTGAATTGTACATCCTTGACCATATTCGGGAGTTCTCTATGGTGTTCACTTTGCAGAAGGCCATGTATTGTTGCTCCCACGTATATTTGGCCTATTGGGAGGTGATTTTCTTAATTTCTGGTGTAATGACCACGGTCATACACGCCAGTTTACGTAAAATCAGACGATTCATATTACGCTCAATAGCCCACAAAACATGTAGCTATGCCTTCTTATTAAAGTTACCCATCTGAGGAGTACGTTTTCTCATCGCTTCAAGACGCCCGAGTCCTTCGTTTTCTTTCAATCTTGAGTGTACCCGAGACTTCATTATTCCTTAGTAATGACAGAATTTTAAATTGCAACTGTGGTTGCAATTGGTGAGGCAACCTAGATATGTCTGTTTACAGTTGGAACTTTCAAGATCCATTGTGAGTGGTGTTGAAAGCTTCAACTGTCTTTATTGTTAGTAAAACTTGTCAAGTAAGTGAGTGTCGAGTTTGTCAGTTAGAGTGGCCTATTTTATGTCGTTCGTAGGGACATCCTGGATTTACGATCGCTACTGAAGTTATATTATTTTGTCGCCCAAACCTCAGGGAATCTGATGGTTGTAGTTTAGTTAGTGTCAGTTGTCTATTTTAGAAAGGCATTAATCTACTGAACAGTTTCTGTCAAACTCAAAATCTCCAAGACTTAACGGCTGTTTCGGCCTGGGCTGTGGTCTGCGGTCAGGCCAGTAGAGTTGTTAGTGTATATATAACTCTATTTCACCTCTTTCCTGACAAACTCATTCTCTGATTTGATCATAAAGATAGACGTAGAAAATTAGCCTGATCTGTGACACTGACGGTCACAGCTAGGTGTCCAGCGACCACTTTGAATAGAAGGTCTATTGTTAGTAAGATTAGTCTTTCTTGGAGGCATATGCCCCAGGCTCGTATATACTGTATACCGATGCACGAGAAAAATCACTCTCTTATGATTTCTCCTCAAACGCATCTCCAGGTATGTGTGATTGTTTCTCGCCGTCATGTTAATTCAGTTTAACTTAGTCGATTTTTGTGAATACCAGTGTTCATGTTTTAACCTATTAAAATATTCTGTGCCAAATAAGTCGAGTAACGTAGATATCGTCTGTACCGTTGCCAGACGTATGTTTTGTATAGTTGAAGTTAAACATTCACACCCTTGTGATTTCTCCTCGACGCATCTCCAGACGCTGTTTGTGAGTTGGCAACACTACTGAGGTTCGGGAGTCGCCTATGGGCAAGATGGCTCTCGAAGGATGTCTTTAAAGTGGCGAGATTAGAATCCCATGGCGAGATTAGAATCCCATGGCGAGATTCCTAGACAGACGCCAGGGCCGACCCACTGCCACGACAAGTCAACCCTCCCCGGGCCGGGCGCTCCTAGGAGCGAGCGAGCCTGTAAATAACTTTGGCCCCCTGACTCCGTCTTGTGATGGTGGTCCATCTAATGATCTTGGCTATATATATGGAGCCGTATTAATATCTATTGTTGGGGATGACTAGCAGAAATATAGTCATCCCAGGTTAAGTATTGAATCAATGAATGTTGGTGGTACCCGGGTTATTGTTATTCTCGGAGTTGAGTCCACCAAACCACTGAATACTATGGAAGTTAAAGTGTCACGTTAGTCATTCCGAAATAACATGTTATAAAGAATATTTTAATTCGGGATAGTGTCAAGTGTGTCATAATACCCATTTGCAGTGACAATTGAATAATATATTGATTGTTAAATATTGTAACCAAGAATTGAAGATGTAATTTGTTGCTTATAGAAAGTAAGACCTGAGGGTCCAGTGTTATCTGACCGTGTGTAGTAATTCCTGGATCTTACTTGTCAGAGAAATAATACAACAGTTGTCTAATGAAGAAATGAGTAATTGAAGTAGTTGACCTCCGTAATGTATAGCGGCGCTGGTTGACCCAGACCACGAGGCACACACTGTTGAATTCGCGGGGTCGTCTACTCAGCGACAAACAGCGTTTGTAGGGGAGAAATCCACTACAATACTCCCTCCTTCCCTCCAGGCGGTGTAGGAGACTTGTTGTCTGCAGGGTTGCATGGCACATGTGAGGCAGAACGGGCGGTGCATGCCTCATGTGAAACATAACGGCGATGGCGTGGATGAGCCGGCCGTTAGTGGAGGCAACTGTCTAGATACACAAGATCTGTGGGAGAAGAGAGGGAGAAAAAGGGTTGTGGAGGCGATGAATGTTGTGCTTCCCTCACGGCAGGTACAGAGTCGTCAGATGCGCCTGCTGGGGTGTGTGGGCCTGGGTCAGGAGCAGGGGCTGCATCAGCAGAAGCGGATGAGGGCTCGTGACAGCAGCTGGGTCCACGACAGCAGCAGGGTGCAGGACATTAGCAGGGAGTACCTGAGGGAGAAAAGAGGGGTGTGTGGGTCCGCACTCAGGAGCAGGGGCCGCGTCAGGAGAAGCGGCAGGGGGTACTGCTGGGCCGGGGCAGCGTCTGAGGCAAGACGGGTGTGTTGGGGTCGGTAGGACGTGGTGCTTGGGGCAGGAAGAGGAGCTGGTGTCTGCTTAGAGAAGCAGTGCTGCTCTAGGGTGTCTAACCTGCGGTGTAGAGACATTAGTTGTAGAGCCGATGAGAGCTGCTTCTGTGTGGATAAGCCAGTCTTCCAAGTTACTTGAAGACTGGGAGCGTGATCAGCTTCTCCTCCATCCTGTGTGAGTGCGAATCTCCGGGGGTCACCATTTGTGGGGTATGGGTTTGTGTTCACACTCAGGATGGGTTGGAGAAAGGAAACTCACAATGTGCTCTCTGTATACATGTTGTATTGGATGTACAATGCAGCTTGGTGCTGGGATGTGGCAGCATGGTTACAAGCGTGATGTAGAGAGAGCTGGTTGGTGAGGGTGCTCAGAGGAGGACAGCTTGTGGATCGCCATGCTCGCCGGCGGGAGCGAGGACCGCCAGGCAGGGGGAGGAGGAGGAGGTGTTGCTGGCTGGTTGGTGTAGGTAGAAAGAGCGAGATCACCACGAGGTCAGGTCTTAAATAGCAGGGGTAGGCGTGGCTTAGTAGTTGACCTCCGTAATGTATGGCGGCGCTGGTTGACCCAGACCACGAGGCATACACTGTGGAATTCGCGGGGTCGGCTACTCAGCGCAAACAGCGTTTGTAGGGGAGAAATCCACTACAGTAGCGTCTTTGCAGCCTCCGAAGCGCATAAGTGAATATAATGACAAATACATTTCAATATGGTTATACCAGGAATAGTGATACGTAGTCTGCTGCTCACAGAATTGTGTTCTCCCATAATGTTACTAGTGCCGTCAGCAGCAAAGCCAATCAGGTTCTCATGTGGAATTCGGTGTGTTTCTAATGTTTTCATAATTAAATTATACAAAATTTTCCCCTGTTGACCCTGTAGATGATTCATCACCATATACATTGATCACCTCTAATAACCCAGATTTAATGCTGTTTGTGGTTGAATCCTCAAATCTTACAAGAACAGAGGATGCTTTCACCGTACTAACGTCTGTTGTTTCGTCAACGATAATGGACAATTTATTTTCTCTAAGTTTATCTACTAATCCTCGGTGACACACCGTCCTAACGTCCTCACAACCTCTGTACATTTTGTTCTTTTCATGTTCATGCCTTGAGCAATTGCAGAATCAGGAAACATCCTCTTCATGAGGCCTACTAGATGATCAGCAGTGGTAAATGGCAAGTTGTGCTCGGCTATAAAGCAAGCAAAAAGAATTGTTGCTATGGCTACTCCATATGCTGCATAGTTCCCATGGTGGACCGGGATCCTCTCCTGCTGGACCTCCTGTGTTCCGAGGCCTCATAAACTGCATGCATCTTTGTCGCTGTGTGACGTTTGATGGCTGTCAACTCTGCACTCACTTCCCTCTTGCATATTTTGCAAAAGGCCCTAGATGGATTGTCTTCAACACGGGACAACCAGGGCTGGAAATCATTGTTCAGCCACGCATCTCTGAAGCTCCGCTTCGCAGCCATCACCACCTGCAATAGGAGATTTGATCAACTTTTGTGTAGGCTTTCCTGCAAACCCAAGGTATTATATGTCAAAGAGCATTGTAAAAAGTTTGATATTGATATTGAAAGTTTACTTAGCCAGAAAAATTACAGATACAGAGTCGATAATAATAGCAATATTAATATGGCTTAGCCAGTTGAGAGCCTGAGTTCTCCTGAAGGCACTTGATATACAGTACACTGTACATGTATCTCAAGTATTAGGTAACGTGAGGTCATTGGATTCAAGGTAGGTATCTACCTACCTTGATTGGATTAGGTTAGGGTAGGTTAGATTCGGTATCAGAAAATTATTAAAAAAAAATTACCGCGATACCCAACAATAAACCACTTGCTTTTGAAATAACTACTTCGCCATCCCATTACAAAACGCACTAAGCGTTATCTGTTTAGTTATAATGGAATTTTTATTGCACATTAATATTTATTTTATTATACTGTAGGTAGAGCGCCCTCACGCCTCCCGCCCGTCACTCACCGCTGCTTCACCTCAGCTGGTTGATAACATTTGAACGTCGCTCGTCTCAACAACACACATAAGGTATTAATGAAATAAAAGGATTGCATGCTTAATTCACTGTGCTTTTAAGGAACCTTTAGCACCTAATCAAAATAGTTTAAAGGTAAAATGAAACGGATATCAGTGGATTACTTAATATTACGCAGATAAACCATAAATACATTGGAAATAATACCAGGCTAACTTATCCTCTTTACCAGTGATCGGGGTCTTATAGATGATTAATTGATTTGGCAAGTATTGCAGTAGTGGACATGTACTAGTTCTAAAATGTTCTTGAATATGAGCCAGTTTTGTCAAGTGTTAAATGAACTCACGCGTGGCACTCTTTAAGGGGGTCTGCCCATTTCGTCACCTCGTTCACTCCCATCAATATATACACTAAAGAAACTGTTGCCTGGGATAGAAAATGGTAATTATATAGGACTAACCCGCAAGCGAAATTGATTGAAAACAATTATAAGAACCGGATTTTCATTGTTATATTACAGTGGACACTGTTGTAGTTTGTGGAAATATGTTAAAAAATTGATATTTTAAAAATAAATGCTACTTTACACTTGTGAGTGTGAAGAACATACCTAACCAACCTAAACCTACCTAACCTTACCTTAACTTCCCCTGGGTAAAGGTGTAGAAGAGGGTGACCACCAGAAGGAATTGTCCAACTTGGTTGAAATTTTTTCTACACACTAAAATGATATTAAACACCAAATGGAAACGACAATGCATAGAACCTACTAACACCTGACCTAACATACCCGTAGGTTGGGTGTGTTAGGTCAGGTTCTATGCATTATTGTTTCCAATTTGTGCTTAAATATCATATTAGTGTATTGAAAAATTTTCAATCAATTTGGACAATTCCTTCTGGTGGTCACCCTCTTCTACACCTTTACTCTTTCCTGGTATATTAAACGGAAAACTTACTATGATATGGTGAAATTTGAGGCATTTTCTGGACGTGAGATGATATGGCCCCATCGGTGTTATGCAGCCGGTTTTGAATTGAGCAATGTGTTTTTCCAATGGTTTGATGTGTTTTATCCAATTTTTATATTGATTTTTGTTGGAAATCACTTTTTTGGTAGTGGGAGGGCTATCTCAAAAACAAGTGATTGCCGACAAAACTCAATATCAAAATTGAATATAAAACATCAAAAACAATCGAAAAAACATTGTTCAAGATTCACATGGAAATTTACAGAAACAAAAATAGGTTTTCCTAGTCTATTATGTGTTTCAAGCGAATCATCCCTAATACGAATCTTTACCCATCCACTAGCTCAAGATGTGAACAATAGATTAAATTGTCTTTTTTTTCCTTTTCTTCTTACATCTGACCGTGCTATCGTATTATCATTTATGACTAAACTGATCTCTATATATGTTCAGTTTGGATCATCTCCCATAGGCTGTGTCATAACAGGAGGAAACTGTGGCGTAATACATTAGGACACCATCCATTAAGAACCAGCAGCTCTACAAAAATTTCCAATAAATATTTGGTAGTGTACATGAGAAGAAACTACTAAAATATTGATTTTATGTAGGGCGAGAGAGGGAAAGAAACTTGGTGGATGCGAGTACGGCAGCCGTATTGATCGTATAATTATTGGACTGTGTTTTTAATGGTTAGATTAGGTTACAGGGTTGGTGAGATTATGTTAGGTTTGTTTAGGATATGTTAGATTAGTCAGAGAGATGGCCATCTTAGTAATTATTTTTGTATAGTCTACCCACCACACAGTGCATTAGCTGGCGTACCAGTTGACATTGACGTTTCACATACGGCTGCCGTACCTCTATCCTGTGCCAAGAAAGAGAATACTTAACAGTAAAATTTTAGTTTCCATCATCCCTGTACTGTATTTAGATATCCAAACTACAGTACTATATATGTCAAAACACGTCAAAAGCCATTGGAAAAACATAGTTTGGATATCTAACCTAACCTAACCTAAGATTCCCCGGATGACCGAGACAACTTTATAGCATCTCCATTGGAAATTTATAGTTTTCAAGTTATTTTGACCTATTTCACTTTAAGAGAGTACAAGTTTGTGGGGATATACATTGTTTTACCTCTTACTCAGCCAATCAGCAGAAGCTCTGGAACTTGAATTGCGTACTGTCGAGCTGCAAGATGGAGTCTCTGTGAAGGTTGCTCATGAGGAGATTGGTGTGTAATTCAATGAATATTTGAGAATAAAGTCACAGCTGTTGACATCTTTAGATCTCATGGTTTTCTTCTTGGTTCAGTAAAGTGGCCAAGGTGTAATTTATATTTTTATCTTTTATTAAAAATTTTACAATTTACATTTACTGTATTCATAAATGTTACATATTAATATATTTGTCTGTGACTGTCTGTATTGTCAAGATCTTTCTCCATCTATTAATTAAGGTAAGTTTGGTAGGTAAAGTAAGCTTAGGTTAGGTTTACAGTGGGGTATGCTATAACGAATCTAATTGGTTCTAGAACCTTGTTCGTTATAGCATTCGTTTGTTATAGGATTAATCCGTTCCAGGCCCCCAAATACAACCACTTAACACTGAAAAATATAATATAAAATTGTAAAAAAGTGCATAAATATACATCTAAACCCCTGAAATAAAGAATATCATTAATACTTGTAATAAAAAAACAATAAATTAGTAAAAAAAATAAAAAAAAATAAAATTTTAAATAATGTTCGTTGTAGGAGTTTCGTTCGTTATAGCATTCTTAATTTTATAGGTAAAACCGTTCGTTATAGGAATATTCGTAGTAGGATCCGTTCGTTATAGCATACCCCACTGTACACACTGGGAGGTCCAAGGGGTGGAGACCTCCTCGGGTCCTTCTGATTGATTTCTTTGGTTAGGTGAAGTTAGATATGTATACAATACTGATATTTGAGTAATTTTTGCTTGTTATCTCCCCATAATGTTGGTAATTAGGGCAGGTCAGATCTGCATAACTGTTCATTTCTGACGGAAATGAAGGTCAAATTCGCGTGAAAAATGCGATAACAACCAATTTTCCATAGTACATATCTGTGCATGGTAACTACCAAACATTTACCAAAATCAAGGATGGATCCATGGGGGGTCCTGGAGTCCAGACCCCCTCCTCTCCCCCCTTTCATCAGAAAATCCCAATACTTTTTCTTTAATGTAGTATTGTACTTGGGCATTTTTGTATAGTAAAAGGTAATTAATGTTGACATCAGAATATCTCCTAATATCAAGTGCGCATGGGTTTAAATGGCTGGGTGGGCTCACTGTGCTCGCCATGTTTCCCCACCCACAACTTCTTGGACCCCCCTTTTGATATTCCTGGATCCGCCCCTGAAAATGGGTTTTCATGGTGTTACAATCGAATCTGACCTTCATTTATGTTGGAAATGAGCAGTTATGGAGATATGACCCCACCCTTCACTACAGTACAAGTACTGTACAGTACAGTACTTACAATTTGGGGTCCCTAGAAATGGGCAAAGTTTTGAAGTATGTAGAGGGAATTTGTGGGGTAAAAACATGCCTAACCTCACCTAACCTTGAAAATGTTAATTGTAGCAGCATTTATTTTCAAAAACACATTGAATGGCTTACCATTCTGACTGGGAACATCCTGGAAGACACCTTGTGAGTAACAAAATTTAAATTCAAAAGCTTGAGCATGCACAGGTGTAACCCGTGACGGCATAACTTCCACTGAAAGGTGGAACATCATCGCATAAGTAGAAGTCAACAATATACAGTAGTAGGTATTCCGCAAACTTATTTGAGCGAACTTAAATCCCTCCAAATTGTACTTTCATAAATACTGTAAATTTGAAATGACAAAATATAAATTTAAATTTGCAGTGTAAATGCTGTAAAGTATTATTATTATTATGTATTATTACTACTCTATCCCTCTATTAATCAATACAGTATGGAGTTGAGTTCAGGTACACTACATAATCTTAACCAATTCCTACACAGTATAGTGAGTATCATTTTATTCACAAGTTCCAAGTGCTGTACAGTGCAGTACTTTATATCACTTGCTTCAAATATTGGTGGTACAGAGGTAACATGTGTGCCTCTCAACTTGTGCCCCCAGTTTGATCCCTGGCCCACATCACCTCTGAGAGGGATTTTATCCAATGTGACCTTTCCAAACATATCAGGTTTGCTCTGGGTACTCCAGTTTTCTCTAGTACTGTACTAACACTGGACAAAAAAGTTTATAGCAAAGAACTTATGTACTGTATGACCTTAATGGCTAGTAAGCTGATGCAGTACAGTATCTGGTTGAAAGACAAGTTAAAATTTAATTACTCTTGTTTTTTCTTTTACTTTTTTTAATTTCTTGTGAAAGAAGGGTAAATTTAAATAATAGCTATTGTTTGTACTTTGATTTCAGAGTAAGCAAATCTGGATGGTGTGGGTAAACCTAGCATCATGATATCATGTGGAGACGCCCAAGAATATGTTCCTTTTGGGCGGGAATATCTCGGCTATCACCCAGGAGATGTGGGACTGCCTCCACCACGACCAAATCCAGCACCTCCACACATAGATCTTTTAAGACAGCTCGATACAGTCTCCATTAATGGCTCCAAGGTGCAGTATACTTGCCGTGTCTTTCAAAATTATTTAATTATTTTTTTTAATGTAAATCTGTTTATGGCCTATGAATTATGCGAGTGACTTCTTAAAGGGCTTTGTCTCTGTGATGGACACCTTCCTGTGTGGGTCTGTGAAAATGTTGCATAATATCACATGCCCAACTGATATAGTGGTTAGTGACTGATGAACATAAGCCATAATTCAATGGAGTTCTAAAAAACCTGCAAGCCAATAGAGTCATTGAAAAGAATCCTTTACTGATGAGACCACCCTGTCATTAATGTGGGTTTCTGAAGTTTCAATCCTTTGCATCTTTCTTCACCTACAAACACACAGGACAATTATTTCGTATTTTAAAACTTAATTCAAAAGAGACTGAATTTAATACAGAATATTTAACCCCATGACAGATCGTCATTATTATTGTCTGTGCTCTTTACACTTCAATATGTCATCAAATGCCACCATCCATGTTATCATTTCTATCATCATCTTTTTGAGAAATATGAATTTAGAATAGGCAAGGTCAGATGAAATTAGTCATTGAATGAGTTTATTAATGTTTTGAAAACCTGCAGTATGAGTCAATGAATTAAGTTAGTACAGTATTTCTAGTTTGCTTTGTGTGACTGCCTAATCCCACTTTGTGAGGTACAGTACCATCGGTGAACCAGAGGAGTTCTACTGTAGCTGGCATTGTATTGTAGTTTATGATAGCAGTCTAGGAGATACAGTATTACAGAACAATTGTAAAAATTCCATTACAGGTTTTCCTATTTATTTTGACAGAACCATACAGAACTATAATACCCCATACATGTTTTTGTTTTTTCTGGACTATTTTACCCATGATTATCCACACCCACATTAAGAGCTCTGTATGAGATAGTCAGATATCTAATGAATTAGAAAGTTTGTGTTTGAGAGAGAGAGAAATGGAAGATTGTGTATCAGTAAAATTACATTTTGCATAATGGAAAATACTAGTAATCCCAAAATTATTTCATACACATGAAAACATGTAAAGCGGGAGCGCGCATAGTGAGAACTGCTTGTAATTTGCATTTGTCTGTCTCCATTTATTTGAAAGATATATTCATTCTAATGCTGTAATTGAATTATCCAATGGTTACATTTCAGGATTGGTGGGAAATTCGTCACAGCACTGATGGCTTGACAGAAGAAGAGTTATATGTGTGCGGACCAACAGTAGTATGGTCACGAGGACAAGCTGGGAATGCAGGGTCTCGTCAGGTCATTAAGTGTATGACCTGTGATTCTTCAGTGCAGTATGTAATGTTTGCTACATTCTACACTTATCCTGACCAGCCTCCATTGCTTGGGGAACCTGTCCCAGAGGAGCCAACAGGTAAGAATGTATTTACTAATGTGAATTACAGTACACTGTACAGTTCTAGTTTTTGCTCTGCATTGGGGAGACAGTATATCCCTGGACTGTATTGATGAGTTCTGTTACAGTACTTAGGTGACGGGTGGAAGGGATGGTTGTAAAGATATAACTGCTTGAAAACATTAAATTTCAATATATGAGTGAAAAAAAAAGTTTGAAATAAAAAATATTTACTGTCAAAGCTACAAACAAATTCATGCTTTTGGAGAATACATTTAACACTTCTCCTTTCACTCATTCTTATGTACAGTACTTGTATATCAAGACAAAAGACACCAAACATATAAAGCAATGGATAATAATGACCTTTTGATAAATAGTAGAAATATTGTATACTGTATACAGTACTATAAATGTGTTGGAAATGTTTGGAATCTTTTTTTTTATCTTCACAACACCTGGTTTCTAAGTACAGTATATAATATTTCTATGTTACTCCCAAGGCCTCAGGTTGGCTTTTTAGGTCTGGCAATTCCCCTCTGTACTGTTTTGGTGGAAACAGTACTCATTTGGGTCAAGTTAGTATGAGATAATTGAGGTAGCCACAGCAGAAATTTTCTAGGCACAGTCTATGTTATTTATTTATTTAGAGTTTTAACATTATTTTATTTCATATTTTCTTTTTCAGAAAAATATTTTACAATACTTTTAACATGATGAATGTTTTTATTTTTATTTATTTGTTTTTATTATAAAAGGAACAATTCAGAAGGATCAAGGGGGTTTCAAAAACTCATTGCTGAAAGTGTGATCAGTCTACTGTTTTCAAGGCATTTGTGTATGGAGTCTACAATACAGTGCGTATAAGTATTGTTGTAATTCAAAGTGCAGTACAGTATCTGTTGTCAGGTATTTACTTATCCAAAGTGAGCTGATAGGGTAAACAGAATGCACCTGCATGGTTAGGAGTGGTTTGGGTTATCAGTACGTTAGTTGGTGAATTTTTTTAAGTTTGTCTATTGCTTACCTGATTGTCAAATTAATGTTAAGCAGTATCTTAGTCTCCATACTTTTTTCAGGTGAACTCTTACCTAGTATCTGTGTCGTGGAGAGTGACAGTTTGAATGTCTTTACTGAAGATGGGGATGACTACTCTGTGGCCTTGCCATTTCCGGTGAGTTGAGAAAACCTGAATTATTTTTTTCAATCTCTTTCTAGTAAAGAAAATATCTTTTTTGTTTCCCACAAAATCGAGCATTAAATAGGCTGCTAGCAAGGGAAATAGACCTACTTTAAACCAGCCTAGTTCGTCCCAGTCCAATTCATTGCAATTGATCCTGATCCAGCCCAAGATAAATTAACATAGCTAATCTCATATACCCAACTTTTACGAGGTACTGAAGGTGATACAACTCGGAATTCAGCTTTGAACAAAAATACTATAACTGGTCATTTTGGTGGCATTGACTGGTTGTATGATTCCATTGAAGGTAATAAATATTTTATGTTGCACAATATGCAGTGTTTTATTAGGTCTTTAGCTTCAGCTTTGAACTTTAGGCTTTAGGTTAAAAATCAAGGTAACACACACAAACACTCTGACATACCTCCCAAGATGATCTGGTAGAGTAATTATTTATATACTGTATTAATGTTACTCTGATTATATGATGATAAGGTAATGCGTATATATTTCAGGTTCGGAAAGTGTGGCCGGTAAAGTATGGGATACTTCTTGAACGTCAGGTTCCATCAGCTGAAATAGCGTCTCCAAAACCAGAAGGAGAGCGACTGCCAACATTCTACAGTTTACTGCATCCACTAGATGAAATAAATCCTCTTCTCTACAGAGCTGGTTAGACTGGAAAGCCCTTCCTTATTATCATAAACTTAAACTTTTGAGGATATGCGAAGAAAATTATGTAATGTCACTTACCAGTCATAGCTATAGTGTTTGTTAAAAAAATTCATCCAAACAACTTATCACATACTAAAACAAACTTACCAAGACACCACACCTAAACAATAGATTACAGTACAGTACTGTTCTTCACTTTTCTTTTTTTATGTCTCACCTCACTTCTGAGAGCTCTTGTTCAGGCATCAATCATTTATATCCAAGTGATATGATTACACTAACAACACCTCCTTCACCACAATAATCACACCTTCTCACTCTACATCACTTTCATGTTTTCTTGTTGCTCCTCACCACCTCATTTTTAACTATTACACCTCCATATAAAGAGATCCTCTTTTTCATACATAATAATATTCCACCATACTCACTTCCTTATTACCAGATCATTTCATTTTTGCATGTTTATTGTTTTTTGCTTCGACACTTTTTTTGGTTTATCAACATATTTTTTGCATCCACACTCTTCTTTAAATATTACAAGCACTTAAAGATATGTATAGTACTGTATTGGGTCATCTTTTCCTGATGTTACTTATACTGTACAGTACTTACTTCATTAAGCTGAAATATACTGATGCATCATTAAACATCTACAGGTTACAGTGGCACTGCTCGACCTGCCTACATGAGTGACTTGTCTCAACAAGCTGTGTTCATGTCAACAGATCCTTCCATATGTATTCTCTACAACTCCAACAACAACAGCCATACTATATGGAAAATACGTAGAGCAAAACTGGAGGTACAGTAATTATGATTGCTTTTGAGTTTATTTGAGGGAGAAATCTGTTATTCATTTATTATTAGGTACTTTTTTGGGTGATTCTTAATGCTGAAGATGAGTCAGGGATGTGTTAATCAGAGTAAAAGTATTTAAATCACTGATATACATTGTCAGCTAAATTAAATCAGTACGTGTAGTAAAAACCAGGTCGATCATTGACTTTCTGTGTGACACCCAGTTATATTGTGGACATTTTTTGGGGGGATATTTATCATTTCAATTGTGGTATTACCGGTAGATAAAATGCAAATGATAGAAGCCCCATACACCAAGTGAGAGTGAGAAAACTGTTCACTGTTTTGTTCTGTAAAAGGAGAAGTAAGCGAGGATATCATTAAACGTACAGTGCAATATGATTTCTGACTTTTCATATTTTTTCATCCTATTTTTATTTTGTTTGATTTTATTTTTTCTATCTATATTTCTCTCTCTCTCTTTTTCTCTTTTTATTTCTCTCTTTCGTTCTATCTTCCTCTCTCTTTGAATCATCTTCAACATTTGTTTTGCTTCCCAACTAAGGTTTGTGCTTATACCACTGAATAATGAAGTTTGACTCCAGCTCCACAGTCATGAAAAATGAGAATAATTTAGGTTTCTGCGTTATATTGAAAGCATAATACTGTATTGAATCTTGTTGTATATTGAGGATTTACTCCGGGTGTGTTTGTGTACGTGTGTAATTAAGATAGCCAAGATCTGTTTCAGAGAGTTTTCTGACCTCAGATTGTACAGTAAATATCCCTTTACCCTGGGAAGGTTCTATTAGTGAGTTACGAGTTGGCTGTGTCATAAGTCACTTCCTGACAGCTATAAAATGAGATTTCCTTTTTCTTTTTTTTTCTTTATTTTTAACCCATAATTCTCCAAAGTTGTTTAACATGGTTTTTCATTTCAGGAAAATAACTTGGTACTTCAAAGCAGTGTTCAAGCCAGTTTAAGTAATACTCCAGTGTCCTCTGTACTCTCCAACCCTGGGTCATTTGCACAACTGCATTCCTATTCACACAGTCATTCTCTTTCTCAAAGCCACTCCCATGTTACTTCTCCTGCTGCTCAAATATCTTCCCATTCACCAACTCCAACAAGTTCTCGTACAAGATCTAGCATATTCCCCAATATGCTGACCACGCCGAAGACACAGCATTCTCAGACACCCAGGAACCATATGGCAACCCTCAGGTAAGTCTACAAATATGATTTTTTTTTTGGCATGGATGGTTTACATTGCTTTGATATTGTACTAGAAAACTTACTGTATCACCCATGAGACTCCCTGGATAAGACTCTTGGAGTAGTTTCTTTAATTTATAATGTACTGTTCTAGAAGGCTTCAGGTTACAGTACATACAGGAGGTCCACGACTTACGAACGTCCGCTGATACAAACGGGGTTAAACTTGAAATTTACAGTATTTTATTTACTTGATGACTTATTTTTTACTTTCATTTACTGTATTTTGTCATTCTATTTCTTCTTTTGTCTTAAATTAATTGATTTTAGCTGTATATAAGGAGGAGCCTCTAAAAATTTGTAGAGGCTGTAATTCAGACAAGATTTAGCATATTCCCCAATATGCTTTCTGCTTATCTACACTACTACCTCCCATATTTTGTTTTACTTAATCATGTCACTTTACCCATCTGAGCTGAATAAAATCATCTGGCATTAGTCAAGTAAAATATTAAAAGTGCTTTCCCTGTAGTGAAGGGGTTAAGCTTGTGGATTAAAGATTAGACAGGAAAAGGTTATATGCCTTTGTGTGTGCATCAAATGTACTGTAAGTGTTGCTGTCTTCATTATTATATGTTTATTGCATTTTTAAATAATTTATTCTTCTTGAAATTTAGTTATTTTTGTGCATCCCTTTTTCCAGAAACACTTAATGTCATTATCAACAGTTTTACCATTTGTGGTGATCTCAGATATATAACCCCCGCAAATACCTCGGGTCTCTTGTACAAACGGTGTTGCAAAGTACCAAGATTAACTTAATTACCATTGAGAGAATGGTGAAGTTTTGTGTAGGGGCAGGCTGAGATGGTTTGGGCATATGGAGAGAATGGATGAGACCAATTGGGTCAAGAGGTTCATGAGTCTAAATGTAGAGGGGGAGGAGAGCCAAGGTTAGGCCAAGAATGGCATGGGAGAGGCTTTAAGAAATGACATGAGAGTTAAGAAACATAATTACAGGTAATTACAGCTTACCCATGCAATTGTGGAAAATGGCCGTGAAACATTGATGATGTAAGTTATTAAAGTAGGTAATAAAAACATAGATTTTATGAAACACTGGGAGTTGTTGGTTTTAAAAAATTAATATATTTCTTATATATTTTCAGCCGAACTCAGTCACCATCATTGTTTGGAGGACAGCATTTAAGGCTAGCTATGAGTCCTTCTCCAGCTCGATCACCTGGACCACGCACACCCCGAACATCACAGCATACTTTTCTTAATGAGACCTTAGTTGAGCCAGAACCCTTGGTGCCTGATATATGTTTAGATCACCTATGGACAGATCATTCACTTGCCCGAGCCACTAAGGCTTTCCTGACAGAGGACAGTGTTGGTCAAAGATATCTTTGTTTAATGCTGTCCCAGGCAGGAATGCTTCGCTGCATTAAATATGATTATACCAATGATCAATCTAGTTTGGTCTTTGGTTCTGTATGTTCTATACCTGCCAAAGATGCATTACCAATTAAAGCCCTCAAAATGATGATTGTTGTGGATGGAAGTAGCAGTCTATCCCTCTACACAGGTTCTGTCCATGTGAGTCGTATTAATCTTTGCGGATTACCAACCTTTAACTCCTCACTCTTCAAAGATTTTTCATCATTAAACATATCATCTAGGCTTCAGAGTCCAGCCACTACACCACTTCGTCGATCAAGTCTTCTCACGTCAAGCAGGCCAACTTCAGCTGCGGATGCAAAGTTTGAAATAGGTCTTTCTCCAGTTGTTACTGAAAGGTCCCACATGGATGGCTCCTTCAGTGATGATCCAAATTTACCAGTGTCTTCTGCCATTGTGTCCCTAAGAGATCCAACTGATACTCGGGTTACATTAGAGCATGCCAATGGAAATTTTTATAGAATAACTCTCCCTGACGTTACATCCTCTCCGGTGGTGAAGCAATCTTTAGCTGCACTCAAACATGTTCTTCCCCGAGATGCAGCTCTTCAGTTGGTCAACAAGTGGTATGCAACCAGGAATGCCCCAGGGTCTGGTGACTTTTCCCCTCAAGGGGAATGGACTATGTTTTCAATGATGCTGTTATCCATGATAGGCTATGACACAGACAAACTAGCTCTAACATGTCCAGTAGAAGCCTCTGACTCATGTAGTACTCTTGTGGCTACTAAGAAGTTTCGTGCTGCTGAGAGTGGTTCAGATAATGATTGGGAGTATATGTTATCTTCGTCATTTCACATGGCTGCTGGAAATAGTCTGAGTGAAGTTTTAGGTTTACAGAAAGTTGGTGTGATGCAAAAGCCAAAAGAAGTTAATAGGGGTACAGTACATACAAATGCACCTCTGTTTTCCCATTTCCCATCAATTCTTTTTGCTCTTCATTTGGTTTATGAAGACTTCAAGTTAAATACTTTACATTGGGAGTTTTGTAGTTTACTGGTTACATGTCTGGATCAACTAGCCTCAGATTTACGACTTAATCAGTATCTCCACCACTATTGGAGAGATTTTCCCACTGTGTGCCCTTTACATGGTCCACCCTCACAGGTACCACTGCAAGAGTCACAAAAGCTGACATACCCAGGTTACTTCACTGAGAACCCCCCTAATGTACTAGCTCACTTATACACAATAATGGGAAGCATTGAACCCGAGCCTTTTCCATTCATCCCACAAGTCTGCACTACAACCAAAAACTTGATTCTGCTATACTCAGTAGCAGCAGCAGATTGTGGCTTACAGAATATACCCTTGGAGCGATTTTTGAGGCACATCAACCCAAATAATCCAAAACCATTTGTGTCAGCTAATCTGACACTGAATTTTCAGTTTTGTTGTGAAGCTATTCCCAAAATTCATGAAAAGATTGTTCTCTTAACAGATCAACTTGGATTAACAGTCCGAGACATTCAACTACTCTCTCCCGGGGTATCATTAGTTCTAATGAATGCACAGCACATGTGTCGCACTTGTCCCCCACAGGACTGGCCTGCCTCAGCTTACCACCTTATCCACAGACCTGATCTTGTTGCTCACAGGGAAGAAGCTGCGAAAAACGAAAGTGTCAGTGGAAAAAAGTCAAGAGATCCATTTAATATAAAAGTGAGAATGCAAGAGGAAAAGAAAGTGTCACAGGCATCTAAAGAAGAAGAAGATGGAATGGAAACCTTGGATATGGACATGCTGGCACTTAGGTGGCGCGAAGATCAACGCATAACTGAAGTACAACGCATGTTTTGCTCGTCCCGTGCCGTTACGATTAACATTGTTCAGCGACCAGAAGTATCAGATCATGATTTCCTTGAAGAACAAGAAAGACATTTATATGCCCTCTGCATCAGGACAATGTCACTTCCTATTGGTCGAGGTATGTTCACTCTATTCACCTCTGCTCCAGTAATTACAGAAACTCTTCCAATACCTAAACTCAACCTATCTGGTAGAGCTCCACCAAGAGGAACAACCATTGATCTTTCTAATATTGAAGTGCCTCCAAACATGGATATGTGGCCACATTTCCACAATGGTGTTGCAGCTGGACTCAAAATTGCTCCTAACTGTGGAGAAATAGATTCAACTTGGATTGTATACAATAAACCTAAGGGATCTTTGGATAGCCCAACTGAACATGCAGGCTTTCTCATGGCCCTTGGACTGAATGGTCACCTTCGGAACCTTGCAACTGTTAATATGCACGATTACCTAGCTCGTGGACATGAAATGACTTGTGTTGGTCTTCTGCTTGGGATATCTGTAGCTAAACGAGGAACAATGGATATCCAAACTACAAAACTACTCAGTGTACACTTAGAATGTCTTTTGCCACCCACATCAACTGAGCTGGATGTTCCTCACACTGTTCAGGTGCGTCAGGTGTTTCAAGAAGTCATTTTTTATAATGTGGTATACTTTATCTACCTATATAGATGTTTTGAAAGTTTACATTTTGTATAGTATATTCTTATGATTTAAATTTTTTTCTCTGCTGGAAGCCTTAATATATTGTGAACATTGTATGTATGTGTGTGCGTGCGCAAAGGTACTCGCTGCTTAAAGTAAATCCAGTTTGGTTGATGTTCCTTCTTTTACTGTGACATTGGTGACATTATCTTAGATTTATTTAGAGTAGTGCCGTGTTTTGTTATAACATCATCTGCATGTAAGTCACTACTTTTTGATGGAGAGGGTGGGATGTGTGGAGTACTTAAGTGATGCTCCCACCTTGCCAGTGGTCCTGCTGTGTTAATTGTTTATATTATGGCTCCCTTACTACACTTATATTTTGGTCTGCAGATGACATTGCTCTGGTAGATAGCTTAGAAAAAAAATTAATTGTTAGTGAGTGAGTTTGGAAGATTGTGTATTAGGAGAAAATTAGTTGATTTTGAACAAAACTAAAGTTGTGAAAATAAATGAAGAGAGACTGGGAGAAATATATGATTCTTGAATAAAGATAGATAAGAAGAATGTTTCAGATATTTGGGAATGGATTTGTTATTGTGAAATGATTAGAAAAGAACCATGTAGCAATAAAACCTAGGACATAATACAAAGTCATTGATTGCTATCATGCATTATGCCAATTTCATGGAGGACATAATTCTTATGAATCAGGCCATTTTTTTTTGTTGATTATGAGGTGAACTGACCAGTGTATAGCTAAACTCTTGCAGAATGATAATCTGCTAAATAATCTCTGTGGTGTTGAATGATTTTTGGAGAAAGACATGGTGCTGATAGCCTTGTGATGCTGGCTTGTGTCAAACAATGGGTAAACTATTGTAGGTTTGCAGGCTTGTTGTGGAGGGGAAGTGACAAAACGGAATGGATCTATAACACTGTAGTGGTAACAATGATTGAATGTCATTTATTTTAGGAAAGGAGTAAGTGGATGTGTTTGTTTCTTATTATGGCAACCCTGCATTATAACAGGAAAAGGACTGAAAGAATTAGGAATAATTATACTAATTCAGACTCTTTTATATCCCTTTGCATTGTCTTATAGGTTGCAGCCATAATTGGAGTTGGTTTAGTCTACCAGGATACAGCTCATCGTCATATGGCAGAAGTTCTCTTGCAAGAAATTGGTCGCCCTCCCGGTCCTGAAATGGAAAATTCAAATGACCGAGAATCCTATTCCTTGGCAGCTGGGCTTGCACTTGGTTTAGTGCTATTTGGGAGAGGTGGGGAAGCTGCAGGGTTTACTGATCTGAACATTGCTGGAGAACTGTATCACTATATTGAAGGAGGGCATAAGAAACCACTTTTTGGCATCCACAAAGATAAATATAAATCACCAAGTTATCAAATAAAGGTGAGTTTGATATTAATGGATGAGTCATGTATACAGATGTGGGAAGGAAATTTTTTTGATAAATACAATAGAAAAACAGTAATGCTGTATTAATGGAAGCAAGTTCCCTACAACTTGTATGTGTTGGGGAGATTAAATCTTAAATACAGTAAAGCCTCCGATGACAACGGTTCGACCAACAACTTTTCATATTTAAAACCCTAGTTAATTTATGGCTCAATTCAATTTACGTCCTTATTTCAATCGTATATACGACCAAAATATAATAAAAGTAAAATAAAATTACATTTTCATATAAATAATACCCAAATCCTGATATGTATTATTAAAAAAAAATTACTCAAAAAAAATGAAGAGCGCCTTGCGCAAAGAAGCTGTCTTGTTAATGAGTGGTAAACAACAGTCGGAGCTTGGCGGGCCTTTTGTTTTCACGCATCTGGAACAGGAGAAAAACTTTCTCGGGTTTCTAACAGCTTTTTTGCATCCCTATTCAACATGAGCAAGTGATGGTAGTGTTGTTTCAAAAGCTAATAGAAAGTGTCTAAGCTTAGCCGAGAAACTAGATTTGTTAAAACGATATGAAAAAGGTGAGAGGTCTGTGGATATTATATGGAGTAAGCATTGAACATATTTTCTTAAGTGGATCCATTAACAGAACAAAGCATTAAAATTTAAGTAAATGCAAATGACCTCTACATAAAGATGTATAATGAGAAAAGAAAGCAGCTGGGCAAGGTTCTTTTGACACCTTTATTATTCGAAGGCTTAAACCATCAACTTCAGCTACACCATCAAATTCAGCATCATAAGCAGCCTCAACAACAACTTCAGGTTCAGTAACAGTTTCAGCAACAGCTTTATGGAAAGCTACAGCTTCAGCCAGAGTTGAACCTGATGACTTTGTCATCTGAGTAAAAACTCACAATATTCATTGGCTGTCCTTATGTTTTAGACTTTACCACCATTGGTGAATAGAATTTTAGTTTTACTTTGGTAAATATTATTTAAAACATATATGAACAGTAAATAAGTGTTGCTTTCATATTCATATGTAGAGAAATGACGATATGTTTTCACCTGTACTCACTTACTGTTCATCCGTTGGCGTTCCCAATCGTCTCGCCTTATTTCTTTACCATGAGTGGTTAGCTGCTTCTAGTGTTCCATTTATTAACATGAAATAGCATTACTTAAAACATACATACAGGTATTCATTTTTTTAAAATTAAGTTCACTACAGCTGCAACCAGGGTCTTATTTTCTTCAGTTTCTTATGTAGAACCATCGTCACTCATGAAAACAATGCTTTCTTGTCTCCTCTTGTATGTTTTAATATTCTACATATTATTAATGAATTGCATTATTCATTTCACATATATAAACATTAATTCAATCAAATACATATTCAGTAATAAACAATGATGAATCTTTTGTACATATTCTTAAGATAAATAACTATGTTTCCTTGAGTGCTCACGTATACATTGGGTGTAAACACTGACAACAACGTCATCTCTTATCCTCTTGTGTGTTTTAATATACTGTACTACGTATTAATGAATTGTATTGTTCATTTCGCATATTTAAAGATTAATTAAATCAAATACATATTCAGTAATAAACAATAATGAATCTTTTGTACATATTCTTAAGATAAATGACGTGGTATCCTTAAATGCGCACGTATATGATGGCGTTCCCAATCCATCTCTTTTTTTTTTCTTTGCCATTAGTGGTTAGCTACTTCGATTGTTCCATTTATTAACATTAAATAACATTACTTAAAACATATATATTAATTTTTTACATTAAATTTACTACAGCTACAACCAGGTTCTTAATTTTCTCGTGTAGAACTATCGTCCCGGACTCCCGGCTGTAAACACAAACGAAAACAGTGGCGTCCCATCTCCTTTTGTGTGACCATATTATTATTCATTTATATTATATAAAGTGCATTCAGAAACATTATTTAAAGAAAATAGTTTGCAATTGTCATTAATTACATTGTTTTGGGGGGAAAAGAGGGTAAAAAACTACACAAAAGATATGAAAAGGTCACACTTGGGAACGCATCTCATTATTATTGCTTTATTTTAATGGTAATTAATGATTCCCGATAAGACGATTCACCTTACACTGCAATATTGGAGGACACATTAACGTCGTTATTCGAGGCTTTACTGTACAGGATAAGGAAACAATTCTGTTCTTCACCTCAATGGGTAGGAGTAGTTACTGGTACTTGCAAAATATACCAGTTATATAAAATTTGTGCCGTTTAAAGTAGAAACAATTTATAAAGGATGAGGGGTAGCACATCCAACGACTTGCCTGAAGTCATAGAGTACTGTATTAGGAACTTGTACAATAATATGAAGTGTAAATGTTGTGTATAGTAATTTATTCTCCTTTCCACCAATAGGAAGGTGATTGTGTGAACATCGATGTTACTGCTCCAGGAGCCACCTTAGCTTTGGGGATGATATATTTTCAAAGTAATAATAAAGCCATTGCAGAATGGATGGTTTCACCGAGCACGCCCTACCTATTAGACCAGGTAAGTCTTGTACCTCTTTAGTTTGTAGTGATGATGTTTATTGTTACTTCACTACATTGGGTAACTAAGCAAATTAGAAGAGATATGTGTATTTTGATGAATTAGTGTACATCAGTTTACAATACAGTCCACAAGTTTTCTTAATTAAAATGGAGAGCAAAACAGTTTGTCAGTCATTTACTGTAGTGTAAAATTGCATCAATTCTTCCTGACATAGTGAGTTTATTTTTGTGTGGTATCTTATACTATATCTAAGTTGTATGTACCACTGATGAAGTATTCTAAGTAAGGTGTATTCTAAGCAACCTTATATATATATATATATATATATATCCTTCCATACTTATAATGTATCTCTCACTTCCTTCACTTTTCTCCCCGTAAATATTTTTCTTTCACTGGTTTTTTATTTTGCCTGTTACAGTACAGTATTAAAACTATTTGTCCTCTCCTGTATGAATTAAACTTAAAGTAGAGTGCCTCAAGTTTTTTAATAACATGATTACTGCGCTGTATTTAGAAAGACTTTTTCACTTAAGTGTGTTTATGAAAATTTTAAGAAGGTTTTTATGCTTGTACAGTATATCCAACCCCAGCAGTCCAGCTTTTGGGATGGGAAGTTTACTGTATATTGTACAGGCAGTCCCTGGTTTATGAACATAATGTGTTCCTGAAAATGCATTTGTAAACCACATCAATAAGTCTCATTGAAAAAAAAATATATATATATAAATAAATAATTGGTCACAAATGCAAGTGAAAACCATTTTTTTTAATAAAAACATTAATTAATACACATTTATGAAAACATGGTCTCTGGTACTGTACTTGCATTATGCTTATTGTGGTGTAATGATCAGCATGCTCGCCTCGCAAGCGAGTGGACCCAGGTTCAATCCCTGGACAGGGTGAAATTATGGAAAAGTTTCTTTATACCATTTGCCTCTGTCTACCCAGCAGTAATTGGGAACCTGCGGATTGTGTTCACGGTTAATACCACAAAATTGGAGAAATAGTGAGCAAAAATTGCGTTACAGCAAACAAGCGTTTGCGTTATACAATTATCGTTCCTCCATTCATAAATCGTGTTAGAGCCAATTAGCGTTGTCAAAACACGCGTTATAGCAGAACTCACTGTACTGTGCAGTGCCTTGTATTGTAGGGTTATGCAAGAAAATAGCTCTTCTCATCCATGTACCTGCTATAGTGCAGGATGGTGGAGTCGACATGAAGATGTACTCTGCCACAGTATAAATCACTGTCTTTAATTCTCCTTAACTACCTTGAATAGTTTAAGTATATAATTGAAGGTAATTTTTATCATTCTAGGTACGACCTGATTTCTTGCTCCTGCGCACAGTTGCTCTTGGCCTTATCATGTGGGATGCAGTGATGCCAACATCTCACTGGATTGAGAGCCATGTGCCTATGACTGTTCTTACTCATGTTCATCGAGGTGGAAATCACTCCACACCGGGAATAGATTATGAATCTATGCATCAGGTTTGTGTGACTACATGACTGCTCCACTCTCACTAGGCCAGCACATATAGTTTTCTTGAAGCTTTTCTGGAACAAATTATCTCTACTTTTGCAGTGATATAATATTCTATAATAATTTTTTAACAATTAGTTAAAGGAACTCTGTATTTTGATAGAGTATTGTTAGCAAATGAATGAACCAGGTCACCACTACATAAATTCAGAAATAGTATTGAGAAGATTGAGGACTGCCACAGTAGCCTTGGGTTATTTTGGAATTTATTTGTTTATTTATTTGATTTTTTTGTGGCTACCTCAGTTATTTAGATACATTTCCACTGAACTTTATCAGACTGACTTTACAGACAGACCCTTGATCTCAGGATGATGCCAATTTGTTGTCATCACATAGTCTCATTTTACTTTTATTACAATAGTAAATGCAGTTAAGAATGTGTCTGTTGAGATTGTGTCATATTTCTACTAGGCCTACTACAACATACTAGCTGGTGCTTGTATGGTCATAGGATTGAAGTTTGCTGGGTCTGGCAACAGTGAGGCTTTCCAAATTTTGTGGAAGTATACAAGAATGTTCACCAATTTCACTAAGAGGTAAGCCCCCCCCCAAAAAAAACTAAATGTTCTAGCATGATGTTAGGTACAGGGGTATATTGCATTCATGTTCCTTTGGGTTTTCTATAAGTGAATGTTTTTTAATTAGTCAACTTATGCTTTCATGCAGTTTTCATCTGAGTACTTAATCTTTATAATATTAAACTATTTTTTCATAGTTTTCATAATTATTATTTTTTAAATATATAATAAGTTTTGATAAAAAAATTGAAAATGAAACAATTCATGTTTCAAAAAGCATAATGTTAATACAGTATTTTTAATTCATTGTTTGTATTCAGCATATGACATCTTATCAACATTTTTCCTTTACTTTGACTTCCACTGATATTAAGATATTTCTTTATTAATGAAGTTCTCAAAATTATTTCTCCAGACACACTTTACTATAGACCAAGCAACTTCTTCCTCATTTTAGGAGTGTAGCAGAACTTGCGGGGAAATCAACCATAGAAACTTGTCTTAATGTGATTCTACTAAGCCTCTCCATGGTAATGGCTGGAACAGGGGACCTCGATGTACTTCGTATCATCCGGTACCTCCGCTCCAGGGTGGGGCCGTCTAACTCCACTGTTGGGTATGTAGGGGTCGATGTTGTATCAAGAGTGATGATGATTAATATTGTACAAAATAAACTGTATGAATCTAGAATTATTATTTATCAAAGTCTTTCAGAAATGACTGCCATTTTCTCAGATATATTAGCTATAAAGTGTATGTTCTGTATTTCTTCCTATTTGTTTTATAAGATGAATATTAGAGGAATAATCCTGAAGAAAGTGTTGTTGGTAATAGCAGAGGAGATTGTTAAAAGACAAGTATAGAAAGAGCTGAAACAGGTATCATAGACATAGACTTCCTGCACCCATGCTACCCTACCTTCTCAGTTTGCATACAATATATCAATATATTCATAGGGAATCTTTAACTGCCACATAGATTTACAATGCATCAGACCGATTCAATATGCGCACTAAATTATTGAGTAAATCTCTAGAATTGCTTTTCCAATTTTCTTAAACAATGATGGCAGCATTGTTAGGTTGAGCTTGTGTAGTCTCTGCTCATATTGGAATATACAAAAGGGTTCATGTGTAGTATACTGTTCTACACAAATTTACCTTCATTTTGGAGCATGCATTTCATAATAGTTTTTAATACCGTATATGTCGGCGTATAAGATGGAATTTGGGTATAAAATCCGAACCTCTACATCCTGTGGTTTAGTGTGTCACCAGTGGTGATGGAAAACATCGTAAAACACTCGCCTTAATCCCACGGTCCTACCACTAATTATTTTCTACTGAAACTTACGTTTGGGAAGCTGGATTAAAAATAAGATTACCGGAATATTAAAGTAATGAAAATGTATTATAAACCTGTCTAACATACTGTAAATACCAAGGTGAATTTAATAGCATCATGGTGAAAAGGTGAACTAAAAATGATTAGGGAGGAAGAAAGGAGATTGAAATTTGGACAGGATAATGACTTTTTTTCCCTTTTACCTCATTCTTTCTGCAGGTGTCATGCAAAGTGTAGTTAGTGTACAGTATATTGTTGAACCTATTACTATTTGTTCTGATATGTATAATAAACAACAGACCCATTTAGATTATATATGTATTAATGTTATTTGTTGCAGATATGGTTCCCACTTGACAATCCATATGGCATTAGGCTTCCTGTTTCTGGGTGGCGGTCGCTTCTCCTTAGGAACTTCTAACATGGCCATTGCTGCTCTCCTCATTGCGTGTTTTCCCAAATTCCCAACACATTCAAATGATAATCGTTATCATTTACAAGTAAGTTTACGTATACTGTACAGTGTATTATTGTGTAAATCCAGTATGGGGTGAAGAAATTATGAAAGTACAAAGTTTTATATTTTTATACAAAGTTTTATGTAGCCATGCTGATATCGTCATATCAACTCTTCCCTTACGTACAGTAGGGTAGCGTATGCAAAATATTTTAAAGATATTTGAGGTACAGGAGACCCTCGATAAAGTGAAAGAATGGGACTGAGAACCGTCGAGCAATAACAAATCTTTCTTTGTATTTTAACATGAAGTACAGAATAGGGTACAGTAGGACTGCAACCCCCCAAAACATACACCAAAAACTTCCTTTAAAACATCAGTTTTTCTTACATTAACACTAATTCCGTTATTTCAAAACACTTTCTAGGACAATATAATTCTCCTTGAGTCTGAACAAATCAACACTGCACTGCATTATATATTGTCAATATGTAAAATAAATTTCAAAATGACCAATAATTTGCTTGGAAACACAGAAAAAAAGCATTTAGTTGAAGAGAGTCTCAAGCAAGATGTTACCTCCAGTGAAAAGAGAGAGAGACTAACGCCTGTTTCTTGTGTTGCCAGGCTGGATGGCATGCCAGAAACTAGTTTCTTTACCTTCAATTATGTTCAATAATTGTTAAAATGACTAAAAAATTTAATATTAAACTTTTAAAATTATTGAATAGTATAAACTTCTTGATATTTACTAAAATGGTAAGGAATATAAGCCTTAGAACCGATTACTGTATTGGCAGACTAATACTACAGCTGGTGGACCGCCAAATGCAAGCGAAAAAATGTTGAGGTCGGCTCGTAAGAAACTCGTTAATCGAGGGATTGCTCGTTAACCGAAGTTAAGAATCTTATGGAAGGTAACTCGTTAACCGAATTCTCGTTAACCGAGGCGCTCGTTAACCGAGGGACCACTGTATATAGAAAATCTAAAATGGGCGTCTCTTTTTCTTCTCAGCACCACGAGAACTCTCACTTTTACGCTTGCCAGTCATTTTAAAGGGAATTACAAACAAAAATTTTGTCAGTACACAGCGCGATCACTAACGTCGGGACTCGAAAATACGCAATTTGAAAAATATTTTATACGACTGCGGCGGTCGTATGCCCTGGTGGTCGTAAGTGGAGGAGTACCTGTACTTCACTTTATGCAGTGTCATTACAGACATGCTTCTAAAAAAAAATTTTTTTACCTGTGCTTATTTTATTCATTGTAACAATAATACTATTTCTGCTAGTGGCTTATTGTGAATGTAGTATAAAAGAAAACCCACGAATTTATTATATACTGGTAGTGTGTCACTCTTCATATTTTTAGGCTCTGAGGCACCTCTATGTTTTAGCAGCCGAGCCAAGGCTACTGATGCCTGTTGATGTAGATACTGGAAGACTCTGCCAAGTTAATGTTACAGTCAGGTGAGGTCATTGTTTTGTTTTTGCTTCTTATCATTTCACAGTTGGATAAAAATAGATAGTTATATACAGTGCCAGTGATGTAGTTGAGACCATGAAAGAGGCCATTTGCAAATATAACTTTTAAATACTACCTGAAGATTAGCACCCCCCCCCCCCTCTCCTACAGACATTTTTGGGGTGGTAAAATTTCAGGCTGGATAAACTGAAGGGTGAAACTTCAAGTGAAAGTTTTGGGGGACTGATCTTAGGGTGTTTCTAAAAAGCTAAAATTGCAAAGGGTCTTGTTGACATCACTGCTACAGTATGTACGTTTAGGTCTATCAGGTGATTTTATTTATATTTGCTTTACTGTCCTTAAAGATAAGGAATCACAACCCTGAAATACACTTGTCAAATTCCAGATTTTTTTTCATGCAAATGTCTGACTAAAATAGTTTGAAGTTAACAAAGCATTTTAAGAAGTAAGCTCTTGATGTCTTAAATAATTTGATGCCTGAATTGATAATCCTTTCTCCATTATCTAGGTTCAGTGACACGCATCAGTACAAGAATCAATCATATGATGCCATGGCTCCAATTATGTTACCAGAATTATCAAAACTGTCTCAAGTTATCATAGAAGGTGACACCAGTAGCCATCGTTATTGGCCCGTCAGGTATGGGTAATTTACAGTACTGTACTGTATGTTAATTTTGATTGTTTTTATTTCTTACCTGAAGATTAGACACCCCAGCTTATTTCACATGATTAAACTTCCTAATGCTTACCTAACCTAAACTATTAACCAAATCAAACTTGACCTAATATGTATAACAATGGCTAACCAAACCAAATCTACTTTAACCTAGCCTGGTTACAGGGTTTCAAGATCAGTCCTCTAATTTTTACTTTTGTTGGCAGCAGCTTAGATGACCCAGTTTAAAAGACTACTAAAGCCTTCTATCATTTTTTTGTCTTTCTTTCTTTCCTCATTCTACCTCAAATGAGCAGTAGATGTGAATTATATCATCATTTCAATTCATTATTTTAATTTTGTTTATTTGATTATTTTTTTCTCTCTAAGGTTTTCTGCACATAATAGAACCTGGTCTGTCCTGGAAACAATATTATGTTCGGGGGAAGGCTTAGCAGTTAAGTTAAAAGATGGTCGTTACCCATACGGTGATGCTCCTTCAGGCTTCCAAGTTCAGCTGGCCCACCTGCTCACACAAGACAAGTCTGCTCGTTGGACAATTAAGGTAAATGGCCTGACATCTTATTTGTATTATCATTTGTAGAAATAAAATGTTGGTAAGTGGTCATAGATAAGAACTAATGCAGGGTTTTTATGTAAAGATTGTTTTTGTTTATTTAATATTGTGTCCCAGGATATGCATGTCTTTGTTATCTTTGCATTTTGAAAGCAGTTGAATATTTACCAGACTCAACACATCCCAAGTCAAGGCATACTGGGTGTCATTCTGATTTAAAGCTAGTCCTCTGTTTTCTTCTCAGTGTTTGGTTGACAGCCTGAACACTGTTGCAGCTGATGGACTGGTTGACAGTCTGAACACTGTTGCAGCAGATGGACAACACCTGTTTTGCCTGCATTTTGCAAAAGATAAATATCAGCTAATTTAGACACTTTAGGTATCTGTTGACTTGAGTTACCGCAGTCTGGGTCATAATGTTAAAGTGGATAGCCTTAGCACTGTCATTTATTGATTAATTCGTACAAATACCTTACTTCAGTCCAGCTTATGGTGAGTAAATTAATATTTATTAAAAGAATAATCCTCCCACACAATTCGTTACTGTTTCATCACCCAAGAGTAAGTACAGTAACTACGAAAATGTAACTTTTATACAGTACAGTATACAGGTATACCCTGTAGGTGCTGTAATAAAAAAATGCCCATTGGACATAATAATGGTGCCAAATTCATTCACTAATCATATTCAACATCAGATGCATACACAATTGAGCAGACACCGTCTGTCCTTGACCCGTGTGTGCGTGTGCGTTAATTCACCTACCCTCACAAATATATTGACCCAGTATTAATGGGAAAATTACATGAGATGAAATTTTTTTATGTTATCTCACTCAGGGGTCACTGCTGGAGGAGGTGAGTGGGTGTTCAGCAAGACTTGTTCGCACCCTGGTTGGTGGTTCTTCTCCTGTGCCATCCTCCTCTTCCACTACCTCCTCCTCCTCTCCTACCTCTTCATCATCCAAGGTTTCTTCTACTTTGTCAACTGCTGCCCCAGCATCATCTACCAGACCAGATGAGGGAGAGGCAGCATTTACTCAGGCATTAGTTACAATTATATATGAGTATCTGTCTGTAGGCAAGCCTCAAGCTATCACCAACTGGCTAGCAGCTCTACAGGTGAGAATGTGTTCTGTATTATTCTGTAAGTTCGAATGTGCCATATTTCTGTTATACATATGGAACTGATCCTCCATTGTCTTAATGGTTCTAGGTGTGAATTCATAATGACCTATTAATAGTCCTGTATGGTAATTTTCATCCATTAATTATAAGAAATGAAAAATAGGAATAATTCTTCATGTTAAAATTCACTTAACAAGCTAGCATGTGCAATCATGCTCACACAGTACTGTACTGTATATGCATTACTGGGTCACTGGAGAAGGTTATCCTTACATTCATTATACTGTAAATGTATAAATAATTTGTCTGCTGATTTTGGCATGCCTTGTCATTGCAGGGTGTTAGGCGAGTGTCAGTTCTTAGTCAAAGAGCAGGACTGTTACTGTGGCAAGTTAAATTAATAGCCCGTGCTGCTCATTTCCTTCATTGCCTCTCTCGCATATCAACGGAAACATCTCCATCAATTGAGGAGAACAATAGCGGAGAACCCAGTCCTCTGGTGTCAGCAGAGCAAGCATTATCACTTAATAAGCGGCTAGAGTTACTTACTGATACCTGGCTTGAAGGTAAGTTTTGCAGGGTTTATAAAGTTCCCATTTTATTGAAGTACATTACTCGTATGAGATGATAATGGTCAGTGGTTGTACTGATAGTACACGCATTTACATTATTGTGCAGTACAGTATACAGTATTATACAATCTAGAGCTAACAAAATTTACAACCAGTTATACTTTGTCTCCCTCAGTACAGTATACTTATTTTTGAACTACTATATAATACAAATGTATTCATTTCTGAACTACAGGTTGACAACCCTTTTTACGAAATCCCGAAAACCTCTGAAAACCGAAAGTTTTTTTTTTTCTTCAGGGATTAGCCCACCCGGGCATAGATCACTGACCCACATCAGGGCCTGGGGGGGTGAATGTAATAGTAATAATAATTATAATAATAATAATTATTCATAGTAAATAAAATTTTTAATAAAAATACACCAAAATAAAATAATATAACATTAATAATAATAATAATAATAAAATATAATAATAAAATTAATAAAAATAACTAATACAGGAGTACTGTAATAGTAAGATAATAATAACAAAGAAATACAAGAATGAAAAAAGATCAAAAATGAGAAACACAACCTAGACCTATGAATTATTATTATTATTATTATTATTATTATATTTTTTATTATATTTTCGCCCCTCAGGCCCTGACGTGGGTCAGTGATCTATGCCCGGGTGGGCTAATACACATTAAAAAACTAACCATTCTGAAAACCGAAAAATTACGAAATGCCTCTGGTCCCAAGGATTTCGGATAACGGATTGTCAACCTGTACTATACTGTACTATATAATACAAATGTATTCTTATTTAGTTATCATTTAACCTAAGTGTAACCAACATCTTGGGATAGATTTTAGATACTGGTATGTATAAGTATAGCTCTGCAAATATGTATCTAAGATAAGCACTTTTTTTTTATCCCAGTATAATTATAGTAAAACCTTGCTAGTCCAGATTAAATGTGGGGTAGTCGGAGTCTGAATTTTAGCCCAAATTCCAGACTATCCAGCCTACTGTAAAGTACTGTACTGTATTTATAAAATAATGCATTACACATGTAAATGAAGCACAAGAAATCTGTAAAATCCAAAATTAATGCCACAACCACCCACTGCTGTCAACAAAACTAGGATTACCTAAATGTTTAGCGAGACTTTTGGTTGCAAACCGAAGCTCAACACCGCTTGAACGATGATACATATATACTGTACAGTACCTGTACCAATTGTAACTACCTTCTTTCAGTTGTGGATTAGTCATTTGTTTCAGTCATTCTTGTTGACACAGTAATGTTCCTGTACTACCAGCACTGACATCAAACTATAGTACACCCACCTCTCGTTTTAGGTAGGGGGTTACGTTCTTCAAAAACACTGCTTAATTAAAAAACGCGTAAATTAAACATAATTTTCCCATAAGAATACATGTAAATGGTACAGGTTAGGGGAACCATCATATACCGCACAGGGTCTGAACAGTGCTCTCACTTAACCAGGCACGCGGCCAACCTACGACACACGCTCTCCTCTCTGAAGGCGGGTGATCACATTTAATTTTACGTCCATTGCGATTGTTTTTCGTGCCTTTTTAGCTTTAGGCGCCCCAGAGGAGGCAGATGGGTATTTTCCAGACATGCTTAATGGGGAAAACGATGTTTAACATTAAAAAGGTACGTGATAAACACACAATGCAAATAAGAGCACAGAAAAAATAGTGCTGGTGTGAACTGAGAAATCAATACGCGGGAAGCTTGCTGGACGTGGTCACAGTTATGGAAAGAATACTTCATTATCATCATTATCTTCATCATTAGTAGTAATAATCTTTATTGTTACATTATAATATTTATTATTACCTGGGGTAATAATAATATTAAAATCGTTGATGTTGATATGACTGCAACTTTATAGTAATAACTTACAAGCACCTCACCAGGCATCACACTTAACTCCACTGCCAGGCGAATACGCGTGGCAAATTTAAACTGTCTTGAACGCGTTATTTAAAAAATAGGTGCGCGTAAATAAGCTTTTGGTGTTAATTGAACAATCGCGTTATTCCAAAAAATGCTTAAATCAAACTCGCGTAAAATGCGAGTTATCTGTACTGTATAATGTAAACTGTTTTTCATAATATCAGACTACAGTTTGTTAGATATGCCATACTCCTTCGTGATCTTTTCTCCACCCACTTCTTTCAGCTTTCTTTATTATTTTTCACTTTTCTGCAACAGTTATGGAGACATGTTTCTTTTCTATCTATAGACCCACCTTTAAACATTGTATTGGGTACTAAAACTTAGAAAAAAAAGAAAAGGTTTATAATACAGTTTCTCAAACCTGTACAGCCTCCATGGATAAACACTAACACTATGTGGTTATGCCAGGTTGGAGGCTCCAGCATCATTTTCTTTTAAAACTGGGTCTTCTTAAGGCATGAGCATTAATAGCATTGGGCTCAATCTTCATTTTCCCTTAAAATGGGTTTTTATTAGAACATGAGGCCCAGCCCCACATCTTAATGGGAACCAAACTTGATACCACACACACAAAGATTACATATTGGTATCAAGACCAAGGTTCTCAAAAACTCTCTCTCTCTCTTGCCACCAGATAGGGTTTACTGTACGGTACTGTCAATGATGACTGACAGTTTCTCATTAGAATTCATGTAAGGTAAGCTAACTTGCAACAACAGCAGTATGGAATCAGTTGAACATTATAGGAATTGTGTCAGGATAGATTTAAGGGTTTTTAAATTAACATCACTATGAATAAACATTAATGTTGCAGAAATAGTATGTGATGTGCTGTGTAACAAGGGTACAGTATTGTATTTGAATACAGTATACTGTACTGTACACTGGACCCTCACTGAAGAATGATACAGGTATTGAATTCTTGAAAAACCTTGATCATTTGCAATATGTCCTTTATCACACTTTACTTTTTATGGGAAATAGGGGGTTAAGTTCTTGAACAGGCACAACTTGACCCTTTTCACCTGTACAGTATTTACAAAAAAGAAGGGATAAGATGAGAAGGGGAAACACAAAGACAGAACCATTTATTTTCCTCCTTCACCCTTAGCAACTACTGCATTCATATACAAATTAATTTTCTCTCAGTTTTAGGTAAAATCCAAATTTTAACATGCCTCACACAGAACTAAAAATCAAGTTTTTCAGAAAATATGAACAAGCATTCTCATTTCAGAAGTATGTGAAGAAATTGTGCGTTACCTGCGAGGAGATACAGAAAAGCAGTATTCAGCAAAATGTGCATTTACACTTGTAATGCGAGATCTTCCCTCTCCTGTTAATATTCAAGGGATTGAAGGTAAGGAATATACCCTACGGTAATTATTTATCTGATTGTACAGTTGCAGAAATGTGTTTCTATGCCCCCTGTGGTCACTCATGTCTCCAAAAGGCAACGCTGCAGTAGTAGCATCATTGTATATGAATGATTGGGTATTGGTTGTGTAACAATGGATGTGATTGGTAGATAGGTTTCCAATAGGTCAAGCATGGGCAACTTTTCCTCAGTCATGGGTTGTATTCTGATTGAGGAATTTTTCTGCAGGCTTACCCACCAAAATTTATATCCTATCTAACCCAAAAGTAATGTTAATATTGTATTAACACGGACAGTGGAACAGTTTATCGTCCATTCACCTTACAATATTTTCAGTCTACAATCGCAGTCTTCTTCCCATTTATGAAACAAATCAATCATAATAATTTTTTAAGTCATATGTTAATGTTTCTAGGCACTCAACAGAAGATGAGTGAAACATTCTATGAATATTAGATTTTTTCTACAGTTACAGCATTTTTCATACTTATGTGACACACCCACCAGAAAAATGCCAATGTTAATCTTGGCATACGAGGAACTACAATGAAACAACCTATAGGCACATCTATCTCTCTCTTTTCTCAATTTAACGAACTAATACAGTCTCTCCTCGACTTACAACGGGGTTCCGTCCCGACAACCAGGTCGTAAGTCGAAAATATGAAAATAATACATAGAAATTCTAAAATGGGTGTCTCTGTTTCTTGTCAGCACCACGAGAACTCTCACTTTTACGCTTGCCAGCCATTTTAAAGGGAATTATAAATGAAAATTTTGTCAGTACAGGAAAGGAGTTGTTCGTACAGTACAGGTACTCATCGACTTAAGACATACTCGACTTACGACAACCCAGACATAGGACGGCCATGGTCGTATAAAATATTTTTCACATTAAGTATTTTCGAGTCCCGACATTAGTGATCGTGCTGTGTACTGACAAAATTTTCGTTTGTAATTCCCTTTAAAATGGCTGGCAAGCGTAAAAGTGAGAGTTCTCGTGGTGCTGACAAGAAAAAGAGAAACCCATTTTAGAATTTCTATGTATTATTTTCGCCTTTTCGACTTACGACTTGGTCATCGGGACGGAACCCCGTCGTAAGTCGAGGAGAGACTGTACTTTCTTTTGATTGTTTTATCATTTAAAAAGGTTAAAAATTATTTTTGGAAAACTTTTGATTTTTCTCAATTTACCCCCGTGTGGGGGAACACGGCCAGCGGCACCCTAGCCCGGGGTGTAGGGGTTAAAGTAAACCATGGATAATATTTCTAATGGTTCTATGTGCATATTATGTGTCTGAAGTGTCTCTTTAGGTGTGAATGTATTAACGGAATTAATCTCAATTTGGCGAACTAGTTCACGAAATTGGGCTAAAAATAATGGAAAAAACTCCTTCCGCTAAATCGATAGTTTGTTACATTGGGTTCTGTTAAATCAAGAGTATACTGAACATACTGATTCTGAATCTATGATTCACGGTTCGATTGCAGGGAAATTAGTGGTCATAATGAGGCTTGGAAGATTTTAATTACATTATTTCAGTGTTAATTACTCGCCAACTATGGGTTTCCGAGGTGCAGTCTTGGTGTTATTCTGGAAGGATTTAATTCGTTAAACCCTTTAAATTCCAATTTCAAGAGAAAAATATATTTTGGTCAAAATATTACCAAGACATAGGGCTTAATATTTTGGCGGTTTTGGCCAAAAATTAGATCTCGTTGAAAATCTCATTATAGGTACTCCTGAGCATGCTGATTACGAATCTATGGTCCACGATTCGATCGCGGGGTAATTAATGGTCATAATGATGCTTGGGTGATTTTAATTACATTATATCAATGTTAATTAATCACCAACTATGAGTGAACAAATCCTAGCTCATTTAGAAATTTTTATTTTAGCATTACAGTAGTTTCTAATGTGTCCAAGCAAAAAAGAAAAGTTACCGATACTCTCTCATTAATCCCTTGGTTGGTTTTCCTGTCAATAAGAAAATGTGAGGATTGATATTTGGAAACCAGGTTTAAGACCAAGAGGTTTGAGTAAAGCAAAATAGTTTGTCTCGGTGTATCTGTTGGTTTGCTCATTTTGAAGTATGGTAACCATGGAGATGGGATTGGAGCTTACTTCACAAACTCTTGTTTGGTTGGGAATCAGTTGTTCATATAGTATTAACACTACTCTTAGCAGGACAGTATCCCCATCTCCAGAATACAGATATCCCAGTAAATGAGGCAGGCTCTGCCAGTGTTGTTTGGGCTGGGTATTCACATACAGTTTGTCACTTAGTCTCGTTCTTAGAATGGGATTTCATAGGCAATTCTTTACTTTGGGAGAGGGTTTTATTGAATCCTGGATTCCAACAGAAAAAGAATTAGCATCAATCACTTCCATTCATGTAGTCCTTGTTTTGGCAGGTGACTGGCTCAACTTAAAGAGCCTGTAGAAAAACATTCACAGAAAGTTTTTATTTTTACTCCGGCATTATCATATTATGTCAACATTTTGACTATTTTTAAAGGTACTAATTAGAGCATTTTGGAAAGATATTACAATACAGTATTATACTAATTATGCCAATACTTTCAGTACTGTACTGTATTATTTTTTACTTACAAAAAATATAGATTGTTAGACAGTCAGAATTTGTATTCCGATACACCATCAGCTTATAAAATATGACATAGCAGTTGTATGTTAGTGGTATTGAATCACCTTTAATGACACTCAGTATAATATTTCTGTCGTGACCATTTGTATCATACTAATTTATTCATGTTTATCCATAGGATGCTCAGATCCACTGTCTTTACTTGGCATTTTGCACAAAGCCAAGGTACCAGCTGTTGCAATATCTGCACTTGCAAAGATACTCTTCCAGTCTTGTACGTAATCTTCATTTCAGTAAGTGTAACATATTTTATTTTGTGATGTATCATTTTATTCTAAAATTTTATAAAATCAGTAATAACATCACTGACATTAATTGATAAGTCAAAACAGTGGTTGATACACCAATTAAGCTCTCTTGTTATTATGCTTCATAGTTTATAAAGTATATACTGTACTGTAGTATTGTACCTTCATTATACATTACTGTAGTGTGAAGGTACAGTATTACAGTTCAAAGAATAAACTTCAAGGCATAAGCTCATTGATAAATGGAGACATTTTAAGCATTGTGAGATGTAATTTCACAGATTTATTGCAAAGAAGTATTAAAAAATAACTTTAAAAAAGCCATTTTGTCATTAACTGAGGTTTAAAAAAAAAGTACAGTATAATGTAAAATTTTGAATAAGTTTAAGACCATTTGGTGTGTAATGTAAAATATGTTTACATTACATTGTTGAATTGCTTATACAGGTATTAAATGTGAGATGCTGTTATAATTTTCTATACTTTTTATAATTAAATGCTAATTTAAATAATTCATTTTTATAAACCCAAGTCTATTAACTTGATTTTTAAAAATCTACATCTCCAAAATAATGTAGATCACATTAGCCCACCTTCTGCTAAGAATACCCAAACTTCCCTTTGATGAACAAGTACTGTATCCTTATAAAAGGTTGGAATAGCACAGTTGCTCCAGCACCAAATTTCAAATTTCCTGCTGTGCCTAGGTTGGTGAGTTTTAGGAAACACAAGTGATAAACCCATTAGCCAGAACAACTGGTGCAAAGTTCTTCTGGAGATGAGAGATTTCTGGGTAACGAGACAACAATTCTCTTAAACCTGGAAAAATCCCACATCACCAGAATTTTTCCAGTTACAGTATCCTGTACTGGGGAAAGTTTTCTGGAATTTTCCAGAAATTGCACATTATTTCATCCTTGGAATTTGCTTCCAGACCCTGGGAAAATATTGGAGTGTTATAAGAATTTTATCTCCTCAGAATTTCCTGCCTGCTCCCCACCCACACAAAAAAAAATTGAGCTAGTTTCTGGAATTTTCCCAGAATTGTTCAGAATTAGCATACACATTACAGTATTTCATCCTTGGAATTTGCTCTGGTATTTTATTCATTAAAAATATTTATCTTCAATCTTCATTATAAAAAAAAAGGTTCTAAAGTAAAGTATTATAAAACATGAAAAAGCATCATACAGAATTTAACAATTTATTTAACCATTTTGTTAACATTATGCAATATTTATCCTCATAAGTTATTTCTATAACTAAATTTCTGAAAGGTTACAGAAATGTATATCAATTTCTGGATTTTTGAAGAACATGATGCCAAATAAAAAATAAAAAAGCATTATTGTACAAATAAAAAATTATCACCAATCCATCTCTTAAGCTGAAGGAATGAAAGCAGGGGCTTAAAAGGAAAAGAGAAGAGAAAGATGAGTATGAAGTAGATAAAAAAAGATTACAGTAAACCCTCGATAACTCGGCACATATGGGGCTCTAGCGTTGCCGAGTTATCCCAAATGCCGACTTATTGAGCCACTTACCCCCTCCTACAAAAATACAATTAAAAATTCTCAACCCATGTACAGTGAACCCTCACTTTACGCGGTCAATTGAACCCACGGCGGCCCGCGTAAAGTGAGAAACGCGTAAAGTGAACAACATAACATATGGGATTAATTGAAATAGAGACCGGGCCGACCCCCAAACTCCACTTTTTCAGACACAATACCTACGTTGTAGTAAAAATAACTTCTTAATTTTATGATGGTATGCACACACAATTAATAATTAAGAGAAATATCAATAATATTAGGTTTTTTAACACTTACATTAGTAGAAAAGATGGCTGGGCACACGGGGATGGGGGAGGTTGGTTCCGAGGCAGAGGGCAGATTATTGGCCCTCACCTGTATCACTTGTATCAATTGTATCACTATCCACCACAGAGGCTTGCAGGGCCTCTTTGTCAAACCATTCAAAGTCCATATAAGTCCATATCCTCACTATCATTATCTCTATCACTGACTTGGGCTGGCTGTGGTGGGTGGCGGGTGAAGACCTCGGTAATGTTTTGATGACTGGGCGACCTTGTGCGCACCCTGCTCGCGCCGCTCTCAGCGTAAAAGGGTACACACACCGCGGAAAGTGAGCATTCCGTGTTCGGCAGGGTACCGCGTAAACGCGTAAAGTGGGACCGCGTAAAGCGAGGGCTGACTGTATGTGTACAATGAAAGACAAAAGTCGTGTCGTGAAATTTGGTGAAAACATATGCCGAAGGGCTAAACTTTTGGTGCGCTCTGCCTTGTGGTAGGGGGCTCTCATAATGTTTCACGAGTTGTATTTAATCTTCGGACAAAATTGCAACACGACTTTTGTCTTTAATTGTACATGCAATTACTAAATGTAAAAAGGTAACTTATCAGCACTGCAGGTAAAGAATGTAGCATCATAGTAGGAGACACAGATGCATGGTAGGTGACACAGACGCTGGTAGGTGATGCAGAGGACCACATATGCCGAGATTTTCCCAGATAATTTTATATATATCCGCATTTCCAGAGTTATACTAATACATTCTGAGACCGTATCCATGCTGAGTTATATGAAATTCTAAGTTATCGAGGGTTTACTGTAAATGGAAGAGGGAATATGTAAGGTAGGAAAAGATTATTTGGAAGAAGAAAAATAAAGAGGGTTGAAGGAAAGGTAAAAGATTATGAGAAGAAAAAAAAGGAAAGGCACAGACTTTAAGCTTGAAGAGAGATGAGGAGGATAAGCACAAAGATGAAAACCAAATTAGAAAGATGGTTTACAAATGGAAAGCCGTATGGAAAATAATTAAGGAAATGTCAAAGAAGCAAGGCAAAAAAATTTAGAAGTCGTGGTAAACATAAAAAGATGGGAAAGGGAATGTCATCAAGGAAGGGGTAGATAACAACTTAAAAGAAACTCCATCAATCTTTTGGGTTAAGAGAGCATGTTTTAACTAACAACTGTCACTTATCTCAACTGAATTAAGAGAGCTTGTTTAGACAGTTATGATAGAAGAATCAGCTATATCTCACATACATTCCCTGCATAATTATGTCATTGTGACACTACAAAGGAGCATTAATTGTATTAATTATTTCTAAGATATGTGTATAACATTTAATAACACAATGAGAAGGCTTACCTAAGCACAAAAATCTAACATATGACTTACTCAAATAAAGTAAGTATAAAAATTATACAATAGTGACTTTTGAGACTCAAATAATGAGTATGATATAGTGAATATATATACTGTATTTATATAATAAGTTTATACAAAAGAATATAAAGTACCCATTAACTTACTAATATGACCAGCAAAAGACAGGGATGTACAACCCGATTCCAAAATTATTAACATGAAATTGACAAAAAGTTGCGAAAAATCTATGATACATAAAGATAAAAGAAGGCATGTTGTGAAGAATTCATTATCAAGTATAAGAAACACAATCTATTATTTGTTCTGGTTAACATTACATGCCACATCTCATGTGTTAACTGTATGTGACCACTGAGGGGTTGAGCTGCCTCATTTGGTAAGGTTTTAAATGATAGGATAAAGTTCTAACTGATGTTTGCTCTTTCTAAAGTAATTGTAATTTATAAGAGTAAACATTTTTGAGGATATCCAAATACCAAACTTTAGTATAACAGCCATTGACATGAGGATCTATCTCTCTCTCTATCATAAATGCCAATGATAGTGGTTTGCCTTTTTTGACACATCAACTGCAATACATATGCTAACTTATCTTCCTTTATACAGAATTGGGTTTCTTGTCAGATGAACTTTTACAATTCACATTGATTAACAAGCATTTACCTCAACTGTTCAACAACTCTTAATCAAGTCTGAATAAATTTAGCAATCTGCACCATTACATTCTCCATACCAGGCACACCTCATTTAGTGATCATCCATGATACAACCTGATAATATACAATTACATTATTCTATTCACATTTACATTACAAGAGTACTAAGATGCACATGTGATATTAGACAAAATCCTCATGCATTATTATTATTTTCTAAACTGATAAAAGTATTTGTTGGCGAGATGCATATTTTAAGGCTCAAATCTAAATTTCACAATCAGTCCTTATCACTGCTAATATTTCTTCAGAGTTTAAAGAACAGCATTTAATAAAAAAAATAAAATAAATACAAAATTCCATAATATGTTGGAATAAAAAGAAAAAAAATTAAAATACAACAATTATGAGCAGTGGTGAGAAACTCTTAAATTACAGCAAAACTATCCGTCAGCATTTAGAAGAGTCATTTACCTATTCACTGTGCTTGTAGAGGACCCAATTACCCAACTTGGATCAGGTAAGAGTATCACCCTGCTCAATATTTTCTGGCTTATCACAATAATACAACAGAGCAACTATGTACACAGTACTAGATATCTGTTGCAAGGTCTGCACATCAGCAAGAAGCCAGGAAATAGCAGTAATATTGTGCAATGATACACAAGACAGCAAAATTACTCAATTATACATTGTGATACAAATTTATCCCATATGTGTCACTAAAAAGATTGTTTTTGCATATTTAGGGGAAATGAAATGAGTTAATAATACTGATTCATAACAATGTCAAAATAAATTATTTGTATTATTGCAGTTCAATTACAACAAAATAAAAGAACATTTCATAGCATATGATACAACCATATTAATTTTATCTGTTGAATCAAAGCCTTATATCTGATGAAACGAATCAAAACATTATAGCAAAGGAATTACAAGTTACTATTCAATATCAAGACTCTTCAGAACAATAAAGTAAGAAAAAAAAAGTGTTCGCAGACACCAGGCACCATCACTGGTGCACAGCTTGCTTCCTGCAACCTATGCTCTTTTCAAACATATACTGTATATACAAACACTCACATTTTTCATTCACACCACTATTTCTGCATCAAGAAATTCTACAAAATAAATACTAAATGACACAAAGAAGCCTAGGGATGAGCATTTCATGGCCTCTCACACTGGGCCACACAGGTTATTGTTTTGATCCCTCAGCATTTGGAATTATTGCACACTGGCATTATTAATACATAAAATATCCAATCAGTCAATGAAACTTTGTTACTATAAAATCAAAGCAATGAAAGGTAAATTAATCAAAGCTGAAAGTCATTTTAGTACTCTTCTAACCCAAATTCTTCAGATCAAAAAGATTAATTAATAATGCACACTCTAAACATACCATTTCACATGGTAATCAACCTTATTTGACTGACTGGATAAATACATAACAGCCTGAAAGATAAGGTAATATATGCTATATTACTACAGCATATTATATTTACATCACATTTGGAATGTTGCTTTTGTAAAATAAAGACGTTCATGATTCATGCTCAAAAAAGAAAAAAAAATATTATTCAATAGCTCATAAACATTGGACCTATAAAAATAAGGATATTTGTTAACCTTGATTAATACAGCTGATCTCAGCTACTGACAAGTTAACAATTATGGTCTATTCAATGTCAGTACAATGGTCTAGGCAGTTAAGGGGATATGGTTCTTGGAATTCTGTAAGTTTTTGCCCTCCAGCAGCTACTGGCCAATCACCAAGAGAAAGAAAAAATAAGGAAGACTAGAACAGGAGTCATACAAAAATATGCTAGAATTGGCTCTGTAATCAATAGGAGTGACAGTTGCATCTAGAAACACCAATTCTATTAAGTACACTTACTAATAATGAGCTCATTGCTCACATACACCAACCAACAATGCTTAACATGACTTGGACTTCTCTTTGCTCTGGGCAAAACCATCTATCTGTACAGATTTGTGACCTTTAAAACAATATGATTCTATGTATAACCACAGGGTTAACTTTTGTATTTTCAACTTTTAATATGGTTGACCTATCAAATGACTCTATGTAACTCTATTATTATTACTCCAATATACCAATATGTATATACATATATTAATAACCAAGCTCTGAGTGTGAAGCCCCTAACACCGAACTTGTACTTATAGCAGCCCCTCATTGTACTCTGGACTGTCAAGAGTGATGGGCCGTGACCGTGAAGTCTCCAGCTTGGGTAATGTTGGAGAAATCGGTGCTGAGTAAGTTTTGGCTTGTGAGGTGAATTCCTGCGTGAAACTAAAGTCCTGAAGTGTGGTGGACAGGTCCTGTGAGGACATGTCCAAAGGTGAAGAGAAGTTCTGTGAAGTTGTGAGGTCCATTGAGTTGGAAAATTCTCTTGGAGAGCTTCTTGGAGTGGAGGAATGTTCTCTTGGGGAAGACAGAGAATCATCTCCATCAACATGGATCATGATCTTATTAGGATCCTTAGAACCAGTGGAGATGAATTTGAGTTCCTCAACAGGAGGAGACTTTGGGACTTGAGTTTTAGGTGTTAATGTTTCTGTGTTCCCTGAGTATGGTACAAAGATTCTCACAGTATCAGGTGTCTCTGTTGCCTTTGGAGTGGCAGGCTCAGATAGTAGGGCCTCTTTGTCCTGCAATGTGGTCTGACTAACAGACAGACAGGACGGTCGTGGAGTGGAGGGGCTGTGGGATGGGCTGCCCAATATACCGTTATGCACAATCTCACCTTCACTCTGGATTGATCGTGTATCACCATGTACATCACCATTAGTCTGATGTGGGAGTGACTGTGATGGTGAATGACTATTAGAGTGTCTGAACTTCTCTGTTGGTGACCTTGGTGATCGTACCGATTGTACAGAGCGGGTATCTGGAGAGATGAGTGAACGGCCGGATTGTATGGAAGCTGCATCTATATCCCCACGTCTGGCCAACGTAACAGAGGAAAGTGTGGATAGATCCGCAGCTGAGGTAAGAGATGTGTTGGCAAGGGAGGCTCGGGAACCTCCAACTCCACCTAGGCTGCTTACTTCATCAATGCTGCACTCCAGTGAATACCTTGACCCTGTAGCCACAGCCATCACATGATCAGAACATTTATGTGCACATGATTGGATTATCATATATAATTTAATACAATGAAAATCAAGGTATGATAAACAATAAAAAAAAAAAAAAAGTATAACCTCAGAAAACCAGAAATCAGATTTCCTCACGTCTCAGAAAAGTGGCCCCTTCAAAAGTATTAATAGCAAAAATATCTATTTGGCACCCAATGTAGTAAACAACACACTGGTTTGAATGTCCAGCTGCCATTGACATTTTATTTTCCCATGACTGATGTAAGCCGTCCTCAATGGGTTTGTGTGTGACAAAGCTTTCTAATTTTGTGGACTTGTATTACATAAAAATTTAAAAAAATTACCAAAGAATTACACCAAAGGAAGTAAAATTGTCAAATTTTCAATCAGGAGAAACATCCACTATTCCCCAATCCTCTGTAGTCACACAAAACATTTATTGGTTTGCAACTGTGAGAGTTGGTTCCTATGAAACAATCTACAGTATTTAATTTACTTTAACAAACACTGAAAATTTCAGATGCTCAAAAATCTGAATACAGTAATATCTCCGTTAGCTGGAATCCCTCAAACCAAGAAATCTTTGATTGCTAGAATTCAAATTTTCTGAGGGGCACATTTTCCTGAAATTCCGAGAAAATTTCCAGGGATGGGGGTTGTTTTTCCGGGTTCAAGAGATGATGTAATGGGCAATTTCTGGAACTTCCGAGAAAATTTTTCCGATACCCAGAAAATTCTGGGGAAATCTCTCATTCCCGGAAGTACTCTGCACCGATTGTTCCGGCTAATGGAGACATCACTATATTATTAACTCGTAAAATTTTAATAATTTAGATGAATAAACAGATATGTTTTAGTCATCATATACTTTGCTGGATAATAATTTAAAAATGAGTTCATTGTGAACTGCATACAGTATTGCATAAATGTTAAACAGAGATAAATTAAAACAAATGCCAATGTTATAATGAGCACTAAGAAGTCAATCACCTTCTTGCCAAAATAATAAATTTATGGAAGTATGGCCAAGAAATGATAAGGTACATGGCCTCAGTGTAATGTTTCAAGAGCTTCATCATCAAAATACTTAGTGGTTTTAAAGGGAGTGGGGAGCAGAGTATGTGACCTTGAATAAGCTTAAAAAATCACAAATCTGGGATACTATTCATCTTAAGAGTTCTGGATTTCTGTGGTCATACTGTAATGTTCTAGAAATAATAATGCAGTAAGGAAAATTTAAACTATAATGAATGAATGATGAAATTGTGAAACAAAATAACTGGAAACAGTGTAATTGAAGATTTTTTTAAATAATAATATTTTATATGTGGATGGATGTTATAAATTTATTGCATTAATAAACAAAATAAAACTTTAAAAGAAAATAAAGACAAAATATATCTTACAGAACATTATACTTACATTATATTCACGTGAAAATAAATTTCCACATTTTTACTTAACAACTGTACATACATGCATTTAATTATCTAAACAAATTATTTACCGAAAACAATTACTGTATATAAAACATAACCAAATTCTCATGATAAAATATTCACACATGCCTATGCTAAGATAGTAATCAATATATCCCTATTTGATTACATAATAAATATAATTTAGTCCACTCTGCAAAGTTCAAGTCTCCTGATTATATCCACATACTTCAAACAAATACACTATTGTAATAACATTTGGTAATGCAAGCTCATTCCAAGAACTCCCAACTAAAGTTGCATATAAAAGTAAAGGAACATATCTTTCCATGCCCTACAGTTTTGAATATACAGTATTACTGTAATAACAGAAGTAAAGGAGACATTGATGTGTCATCAACATCATAGTCTAAACAGACATTGTGTATTAGTACCTGTAATCACTTCGTGCAGTTTAAATGAAAATTTCCATTATGATGAGATATAAATCTCCTTATGATATATTACCTGGTTTGTGTTTCCAAGAAATATATTTTTTGAAAAGTAAATATTGAACAAATATAATTTTATTTTCTTGGATAGGGGGGTAATTTCACATGTGCAAATTTCTCCCCTTAAGTTGTGTGATCCAGATCACATAATTTTCACTGAACAGTAATTAAAAACCAAATGGGTATATCTTAAAAACAGAAGCTGCACAGTATAACCACATACTGCATATGATTGGCTTACACACAATATGGGAAGCAATGACAGCTAAATATATACAAGTGCCTTTGAAGACAAAAGTAAAAGCCTTTTAATACTGTCCTTGCTAAAACAAACTAAGATGCTGCTCTAGTATTAGACAAATTGTTATTCCAAAAAATTAATATGAGGAAATCAATAGAAGCTGAAAAAAAATATTGGCATAGTTAAATGAATATAAGCTTAGAAATCCTTCAAACAAAACTCATACTGTCTATTAAAAAAATCCCCCAGGGACCCTACCAAGAAGCTTACAATAATGGTATTGTACTTAGCTGTGAAAGCATATTTCAGGAAGTCCAACCTAGAGTCTACAATACTGCAGAGCCTGACAGAAAACTATCCTCCTCCATTCCTTCCAACTCAAACCCTGAGAAGGAGAAAGGGCCATTCAAACCCAATGGAGGAGAGGAAATCCTATTCTGATTTACTGCTGAGGGAGCTAATCACTAAGTATTCTTCCTAAACCTTTTCAGGCTCCTGAAACCAATTATCATTCAGGGAAGGATCTACAGTCTAACTCTAAAATAGGACTCACCCCAACATGTACACTAATGCCCCCCCCACCCCAAAAGGCCTTAACAAACTGGAGGTGGCATCAAAGTCTCCTCTGTAAAGTTGAGTAATATTATCTAAAATCCTGTAACAAATCTGACAGTACTTTGGACGAAATGAGTTCAAAGCACATCAATGATCATGGACACAACTTGTGGCTGCAAATCACTTGAAAAAAACACTAAGTCACCTAAAACCATTTAACTAAAAATCTCAGTGACTAAGATATCAATACAGTATTCCATTTTGACAATGTAAACTCAGTGAGAAATCAAACAACCCAAATTCATTCATGTTGCAAAAGGAATAAACTAACAGCCTATTTGATTTACTGAAAACAATATAACTTTGAGAAAACTGTCCTTGACCTACATTTTCCCTTCTTGGTGCACTGCCTGTGGAAAGGGCCTTTGAGTGAACCATATAGTAAATAGTATGGATTGTTTGGTTAAAATGCTTTTTACTGGAGAGCATAACTCAATCTTGTGGTGATGGGTCATATTAATGATTATATCACACTCATCATAGCTACTCCATGCCAATTTTCATTCGCGTTTCCATAAACAATTCGTTGCCTAACATTCTCATGTAATAATCCAACTGAAAAATTAGTCCCGAAAAGGATTTTCTTGTGCTCCACTGCAAAACATAATAATAATAATAGTTGCCCCTTATGTTTGAGGGCTGGCCCTAGGTCCACCTTGGTGTGAATTTATATGAGAACCTGTAATGTATACAGGTTAAAATATTGTGCAAAGGTGTGAATTTGTTTAAAGTGTAGATGTTGTCACCAACACAACAACCACACCATAAGTTAATGAGCTACATGACCCAGTGTCAAGGAATACTAAAATCCAAAAAGATCGGATAATTTGCCAACTGTACTGGCTCACCATTACCCTGGAATGTGATCCTCAAATCGATTAACATCCAGGTTCCCCATTACTGCTAGATATACGCAGGCAAATGGCATAAAGAAACTTGACCATAGTTTCACCCTACCCTGGGATCAAACCCAATGATCACTCACTTGTGAGGCAAGCATGCTGACCATTACACCATAGATTAATAGAAATAATAGTTGGTCTTTTGTTTCTCAAAAGTGCAAGTTCTTCATCTGTGAAGACCTATGACCAACTTTGATTTAGGCATTCTCCTCTTTCTCTTGGGACAATACAGGTAGTGTATACAGTATATGTTATATATAGTTTCTTTAAAATATTTGCAAGAGTTAAGCTCCAAACAGGAAAAAGTTTATGCACCTCCAGATACGCTGACACACAATTAGATGGATAAATAAACAGACTCATAAGTCATAACTTTCTCAGCCATATTTTCAAATTGAGAAAATAAAAAAAATAAATTACCCTCTTCACTTAGCCCATCATTATATTAACTCTTACGCTGGCCGCTCGTGCGGTCCAAATCTCACCCATAGACCAGCCGATGACACTATCTGCATCATCCAAAATGCGTAGACTTTTCATTTAATTTATTTTTAATTTATCAGCCACAGGTATAATTATGCAAATTTCTTTTTTATTGACATAAAAAGATAAACTATTATATCTGATTAAGTGATAAAATAACAATATAGTTGTATAAATAATATGGGATGGCTGAAAATGAGTGTGGAAAGATAATATCTTACACACCGGATCCGCACGCGGGTGGTCTAGCCAGTGTGAGTGCCGAAGGTCACGGGAGACATCTAGCTCCCTTCAGCCCGCGAAGTGACACAAATAGTGTCATTGGCCAGTTCCAGAGAAAATTATACTTCATTAAGGGATGGAAAAAATGTCTGAAGCATGCTTGTTTTCTCTTGTATAGGTGTTGTCACTAACAGCAATATCTCCCACCTCAGTTCCTCTCATCCCATTGTGAAAAACTCTTAAATGACATAATTATTGGCACATGATGCACATATACAGTAATGACTAGCACATTCACATATGCTGCTGTATAACTTCTCATACCCAGTGTAAGCTTGATATCAACAATTCAAGTTTCTGTTTTTAAGATACAGTTTGATTTTTCCTTGATATTGAAAAGGCTCCTATGATCAGGCCAATAAGTGATGAAGACTGGATATAATTAGGAAACCAACTCTGCACCATCATATACTGTACCTACATTTCTTCCTAAGTTGATAATTGTTGTAGAAAATTAATACTGAAAAGATATAAATTAGTATTCTTTTGTTACAGTTGAATTGATGATATGTCTTACCATTACAGTCAAGTTATTTGAAAAATATGAAGACTGTTCTACTAAATGCATTAAGGCTTTATCACAACAATCTTTGAGCACTTAGAAAATATTTGACACAATAATCTAAATTACAGGTGATATACTTACACTGTACTTTCATAAGGAAATGCTCACTTAATTTTTAAAATCAACTACCCCTACTCAAAACAACAAATGTTAGACAAATGAGCACATAACACTCCTATATAAAAAGGAATTAGTTGAAATGCCATCTGTCAACTCTATTTCACCCCTACCTTAACATGATACAACAGATGCACTAACTTAGGAAGCTTTCAGCATCTTCATACCTTTTAGATACCTCCTATAACATGCAAGGGATGCAGATGATCTATTCCATGAGGCCAGACCTACAAAGCATGTCTTAAGATGCCTACAAGTGTGTGTACACTTCCAAATTAATAACAATAAGCAGGGAGTTGTTTAAAACAGTAACTAAAGCAGTAATGAAATCAAGAAGCAATCCTAAGCTTTGTACTTCTGGAAGTATAGTACTATACAGTACTAGAAAACATCATATAATATATATATATAAATATATATGTATGTATGTATGTATGTATGTATGTATGTAATACTGTAATAATAATAAAACTAAACGGTTTATTAATAGAGATGAAGTCGGTGGCTGAAAATATACAGACTTACATTTGATTTAGACATAATGATATAATATGCATTGAATACATCATTTACAGGGCTGTACAGTACATAAATCAGGAGTTGTTTATTATTTTAACAATATATATATATATATATATATATATATATATATATATATATATATATATATATATATATATATATATATATATATATATATATATATAACTGACTTCTAGAACGCCTGAACCTGGCAGCTTGACTGAGAGCGTAACGCTGGACCACCAGGATACTAAGCAGTCTAGACTTTCTGTTATATTTCACACACTTCAACAAGCTTATGGCGCCGTGAACCTCAAGTGGGACTACCCGGTATCGTAGGTGGTCAAATAGCGTTTTTACCAAATCGGCAAACACGAGGATCCATATATATTTCATTAGCCCAATAAACAAGTGAAATTTCATACAATCAACACTCAACCGCCAGGATTACCTGACCTGAGCACATGACTGTGACCGGTCACAGTCATGTATATATATATATATATATATATATATATATATATATATATATATATATATATATATATATATATATATATATATATATATATATATATATATATATATATTACAGTATATATACACACACACACACACACACACACACACAGCTCCTCCCCGACTTACGACGGGGCTAAGGACCCAAATCAAGGTTGTAAGTCGAAAATGCTTAAATAATACATAGAAAATCTAAAATGGGTGTCTCTTTTTCTTCTCAGCACTACAAAACTTTCACTTTTAAGCTTGACAGCCATTTTAAAGTGAAGTACACATGAAAAATTTTGTCTGTGTACTGACATTGGGACTCGAAAATACGTAATTTGACAAAATTTTGGTACGACTGAGGCAGGTCGTAAGTGCGGGTTGGTCGTAAGTCAAGTAGGTCGTAAGTAAGAGTGTGTGTGTGTGTGTGTGTGTGTGTGTGTGTGTGTGTGTGTGTGCGTGTGTGTGTAAGGAGGAACAGAAACCAGCTAAAAAATATACATATTACCTAAGAAATGCCATTCATGAAAACACACAGCAAATTAGTTAACAAAACAAATTCTAGTAGAAATCAAAGAAAAATCAGCTATAAAATGCAGCAATGCAGGATAACAAAAATACACACAAAATGAGCGAAACGTCAAGACCAGGAGGGTGTACTAGGCAACCTACGGATACATGTGACACAGCAGACGTAACAATTATCACACGACACTTGTAGTTTTGCAGTCCTTGGGATTCAGGGGCATAAATATTGGGAAAACTTAAATTACCTTTCTTTCCTATGAGATGCCAAGTAGGGAGGGTATAGAGAATTCAGTTTCAAATATATAATAAGTAAGTGATTTTCAAATGAGATATAATAATTATAATATATTAATAAAATGTGTAACTACTTTTTTCTTTTTAACATGATACTCTCAAAGATCGTGATCTAACCGACAGATGTCTATGGCACCCACCTAAGACTACAGCTGAACATATAATTCAACAGAAAATAAATACAGGTAGTAAGAGAAACACACAATACCTTTATAAGCATGGAACTAAAAGCATTCTGGCCATGCTGCAGCACAGTTGCCTTATTTTAAATTGTTCAATGACTCGAACTATCATCAGTGCTTCAATCAGATGAGAGGCCACCAAGCAAAGCTATAATCTACAAGAACCATCTGAAGACAACATCCACCCTCTCTCCTGACCAATAGATTGGACAGAAAGATATAAACTCATCAGAGCAAAACTATCATAACACATGCACATCATCCATCCACATACACCATCTGTCCCAAGTGGCATGAATTCCTATTGAAAACGTTGAAAACTGAACACACACACAAACCCATACTCTGACAAACATCTCTATATTCCCATGCCCAGGGAAGAGCAGACAATAAAGGTGAAGAAGAATGGTTATCCTCATTAGATCTGATTAGCTCTTTCTTTGTAATAGAATTTATCATATTTGACTTTTGAAGTTTTTCTTCTTGGGGTAATTTTTACATGCATAATGCAGCAAAAAAGAGGAGTGATGTAAAACTATGGCAATATAACAGATGAAGATATGACACAAAAACTCAGATCCTGTAATTGTTGATATATAAAAATTATGCAAAACAGAATGGTCCAGGATAGAACCAAGAAACAAAATAGAGTACACTAAGATATTTATGTTTCCAAACATTGATGAAACAACCTTTTCTTAGACCATCATGTAAGTATAGTTTGGGTGGCCATTAGGTGAATAAAGGTACAATTGATCATATATACAGAGGAGTGAAGAAACTCATTATTTGCAAAACCAGAAATACAATCCAGTGCAAATGCTTCATGTAAGATTCAAGTTTCAAAATGTGATGCAGAAACTGAACTTTCTTTTATATAAACAATACAAGGGCAAATTAACCAGTGTTGTACTGCATTATCTTCCCCATCTTGGTCACTGTTTTATGACCATTTTCCACACATTCATGAGATAGCCATGATTACTCTACCTGATGGCATGGTGTCCCATTTGCCGTCAGATAAATTTGAAGCAAGTTTTATAGATTGACGCACTTCCAATCACAAACCTACTTTTACAGAGTGGGAACTAGGCTTTATAGTGGGATTTCCAAGTTTCCTCTTAGCTGGTAAGACAGGGTTGCAACTTAGTGTGAAGCAAAGATAAAAATTACTAAAATGTTCGTAATTTGTTAATTACTGTACTGCAGAGTACATTTTACTGTTGATTTTGTTTTCGAAAGAAAGGAAGCAAAACTGATTATGATACAAAAATACTGCAGCCAAGACGATATCATTCACAAAGAATTTGTTTCCTCATACAGTACATCATTTTCCAAGAGAGTAAACTTTACAAAAAATATACAGTACGTATCTGAATTATCAGAGCAGTACAGTACCTAAAGACCGGGGAATACATTCTAGGACAAATGACCTAAGGTGTGAATACATTTACAAACTGACTTGAGAAGTGAATGCATTAACAACAAAGCAAAGGGTTAGTGTGAAGTGTAATGCAAGATTTTTTCTCTCACAAAAAAGCACAGCATCATACCAAAGCATGAGTTATAACCTGAAGAAAGTTAGTCAAAATGTCAAGGATAAAAAAAGTTTCGTCCATGGATAAAAATATCATCCTGAAACATCACAGTGACCATGTACGGTACTCTAATAACAAGGGAGGTGTGCTCCATGATGAACCAAATCAATTAATGCACTGTTGAGATAGGGGATAAATTCTCTAAATGGCCACCATGGTACACCATTAATACAAAGAATTACAGCACACTTTATTATGCAAAATGGTTAAAGTACTGTCAAGTTATTGTACAGAAATAATGACCTCTCTTACAAAAATAGAACTAGTTCCACATGCAGTGACAATGGTAGAGCACTGCCTTTTAATAGCGTAGTGCATCATACTGTATAAGGTAAATGTAGAATTCTTGACAAAATATGTTCGCTTTAGATGCAACCACAATAAAGTATACCATAAAATTCTAAAGTCTTTGAATTCCAAATCTGCAACAAATCAGATTAAATGCAAAAAAGTTTCCCTGAAAAGAATGACCACTCAAAAAGAAAAACAATCTCAACCTATTCAGATACTATCTAGAGATGAACAAAAACAAAAGAGGGAGAACCAATTCATAAAGCATCTCTGACTGATATATGTTTAACTTTAGCTAAAAAAATTTATGAACTAGCCATGGATAAACTGGGGAAGGCAACCCTTTATATCTTATCTAAATTTGGGTAAAAATTGATGTAGATCCTTAAATATTCCTCAATTATCCAGTCATAAGAACTAAAAGCCAACATAGTAGAGAAACAAAGTCCATACCATTGATCACCATAATGCTCAGTGGGTGGTTGTCAATCTGAATGAAGCTCTGATACCATGTCTATCCATTAGATTATTTTGTGATGTGGTGGGAAGGCAGCTGTGCATGCCCTTTGTCTCATGTTCTCTTAGTCCACATATGCAAATAGTACAAATTTCCTCTTATGCCAGTCCTTTATATGAGGTCTGCTCAAAATGTTCCAGGGCAGAATTATTTTTTGGAAAGCTTAAGGTCATATAGTTAATGAAATTTATAACCAAGCAGTGACTCCAGTGGCCCTGCCAATTAAAGTACCTCTGGTACTTTTCTTTCAAGATGGCATTACATTCCCACACGGCATTTCCCTTGATCTGTGGTACATACTGAAATCTCTTTTCTTTTAAGGTCTTTTAATTTTAAGAACTTAAGACAACTAGACCCCAGTTACATTTATGCAAGCTATTAATGATAATGTCTGGTATTGTATGTTTTCTTAGAAACCATTACAAAAAATGACTAAATTTGTGATTAATGATAATTTGTTGAAAAGTTTAAAATTTAGGTGTGTGTGTGTGTGTGTGTGAATAAGTTGGGTGTGTTGATGTATCTGACAAAATGTGGTTGTCCAATGAACCATTTGAATTGGGATATGTTCCTGAATTACATTTATAAATTTATTCTAGTACACGTAGTTATTTTTGTGGCCTAACTATTCTTAGAAAATTTTCTAGGCAGATAAAATTGGAAAAAATTTTAACATGGGGAGTTTAAAATATAGCAAAACTGCTTTTCTACTTTTCTATCAGTCATCCTAAGAACATGTTATGTCCTGATTTCCAAATAATAAGTGATAATTGATGATTTAATTTAATTTGTATTTGATTAAATGTTGCTATTTCCTCTCCTGTATAAGTTGCAGCATGCTGCATAATGTCTGACAAATTAAACAAGATCCATGCTAGTGGCTCTGCCAAGCAGAAAAAGAGCGCAGAGCTTGAGAGCAAAGTTGTCAAAAGTCACGTATTTTGGGGGGTAAAAGTACAGTCACCTGAAAGACAAGACAGTGACATTGAAACTGAGGCTACTGCCAGCAATGATACAACTCATACCAGCACCAATACACTACCCCGGACTTTGTCATTACATATAATTTGGAAAGGGGGCATAAGGGGTTAAAATTAATTTTGCACAATGGCCCTTAAGTGGAGTATGGCCACAACTGCAAATATTAAGTCTCACTCGATGATCAAATGATTCAGGACTCTCTTGACCAATAACTAAATCATACTGAATTTCTAGTTAAAAGGAATCACACTGTGAAACAATTACAAGCTATGGACAGATCACATATGTACACATATAAACTGTACACATACACTGAATTATTGTAAACAATGAAGAAAGCTGCAAAATATTATACAGTACTTTGTTAATAATAAATTATGATAGTCAACAGTGTCCTTTTTTTAAGCTTTCACTGTTATACAGTATAAAGGAAACATTGTGAAATATATCTACTTTACATAAATTGCCAAAAGCATGATAAATTTGAAGCCTTGAATGCTCAATCATCATTTCACTTATATCCTGGACTGTAAGGGCATGTACTAGGTACAGTATATATGTAATACCAGTACAGTAATATATATCCTTACAGAATTATTTAGAAGATAATGTGACTGAGAATTCGTTGCAAATGATGTGCTTAAGTACGTGATCATGCTTGTACTGTAGCCTGAAGACAAACATTATTCAATAGCTTGATGACTCAGGTTCACAATTATAAAATGTACAATAAAAACTGCTCCAGATTTGCCGATCTTATTTCTGGAGAGCATTACGATTAATCTATACAACAATATTACCAGTAGGAATATCTCAATAATATATACTGTAATTGTGTATCTGAGGTTCATCACAAAAAATTAAGCTCTGAAGTCAACTAAAAAAATGATAAACTCTTTGACTAACCGCGGTCAACAGAGAGATGAGACCCATTGAGCCCAATAGTTTCTGTCCGCTTCATCAATTTCTCGGTAATCATGCGCTCCTCATCTGTGAAATCCCGACGAATTCCAGATTCCTTCTCAATTGTAGGTTCTATAAACATTCCTGTTGAGTTAGAGAAGCAATGAATCAGTAATAAGAGCATGATCCAAGCAAAAAAAAAAAAAAAAAAAAAAAAAAAAAAAAAAATATATATATATATATATATATATATATATATATATATATATATATATATATATATATATATATATATATATATATATATATATATATATATATATATATATATATATATATATATATATATATTGATTGATAAAATCACACAGGAAAAGGGAAACAACGGAGCACCTTAGCTTTCGTCTTTATGCAAGACATCTTCAGAGGCAACTGAAGATGTGATTTTATCAAGATTTATCTTATCCACATTTTCATTGTGGATCTATATGAATATTATATATATATATATATATATATATATATATATATATATATATATATATATATATATATATATATATATATATATATATATATATATATATATATATATATATATATATATATATATACACACACACACACACACACAGTAATATCTCCGTTAACCAGAACAATTGGTACAGAGCACTTCCGGGAATGGGAGATTTCAGGGTAACAAAACGACTCTCAAAGCCAGAAAAATCCCTCATCCCTGGAATTTTCCGGGTAACGGAAAAATTTTCTTGGAAGTTCCAGAAATTGTGAATTACATCATCTTTTCATCTCTTGAACTCAGAAAAATATTCCCATCCCCAGAATTTTCTGGAATTTTTCCGGGTATCGGAAAAATTTTCTCGGAATTTCCGGAACATGTGCCTGATTTTCATCTCTCAAACCTGGAGAAAAACTCCCCCATCCCTGGAAATTTCCATACTGGGAAAATTTTCTCAGAATTTCCCAGAAAATTTCAATTCTGGCTATTGGAGAGTTCCGGGTTTGAGGGATATGGCTAACGGAGATATTACTGATACTTCTGTGCAATTTACGCCAATTAATTATTCTCAACAGTACAGGAGGTAGAACGTCCGCCTATTCCCACAACCGTTTTTTTTAAGTTGATTTTTTCTCAATTTATCCGCGGTGGGGGTTACTGCCAGCAGCACCCTAACCCGGGGCTTAAGAGCTAAGGATGTTTTGTCTTTATCAAAGTTAATAAATTGTATGATAAACTAAACTAATACTGACAATACTGAAAATAAACCAGGAATCTTAACTGGTGAGGAACATCTTTACTACTGAAATAATAGCTGTAGAACTGTGTGACCCAACACAAGGTCAGTCCCAGAATATTATGGATCAGATAAAAATGAAGTAGCTATGAAATAAAATCCTGTGACACATGGGAGGAGGAAAGAGAGATGCTTTAGGAACTAAGAATCACTGAGAAAGATCAAAACAACCCAATTTTTCCCACAAAATAACCTGGTTTATAGTAAGCCAGCTAAGAGTCTTCTCAAGTCTAATACACAATATTCAAATGGAAAATGAAGAGCGAGACCTAATCTTTACTTGCTATTATTTTACTTTTTTCCAACATTTATCTTTTACATAAATTTTTAAATTTCTGCAATTTCCAAGAATTATTGATGAAAAACTCACTTGACATGCATCAACTTAGTACCTAACTCTTTCAGCCCCTATAAATATCACAAAATAAACTGTGTTAGATTTTTGAGACCATTATTCACAACTACTACTTCTACGCCAACCTAAATCAATAGTTGTCACAAGTTTTGCTATAAAACAAAAAAGGAATCTTGTCAAGAGACCTAGTACTTCTACTTACCAAAAGGTTGCTGTGGTAATTCCCCATCTGGTGGTGCTCCAGGATGATCTAATTTGGCTTTCTTTAACTCATCCATTGACTTTTCCAAACTCTCTATCACATAGTCATCTTCATAACCAAAATTTTTCTCCAACCTGCAACAATAAGAAGAAATGTAATACCTGTATGAAATATCTTGACCATGGAAACAGGTTATCTGTTCTGAGTTTGATACAGTCCCTTTTCCTCTAGTCCTAAGATGAGGGTGAGTAACCTCACTGCCTTGTAGTTGATCACTGATATGAAAAAAGGAACAAGAAGAGTGGGTATGAGAGAGATTCTAAAATGGAAAGATATGAAAAGTTGCAAGGAAATCATTAGATGACATATAGTGATAGTAATGGAAGATTTGAATGCAAGAGTTGATGATAAGTAACAAAGCATTATGGAAAACTATAGTCCCAAAAATTAATGGAAATAGAGACATTAAAAACAAAAATTGAGAGAGAAGAGATATAGTGGACAGAAGAATTAAATATAAACAGATTCATGTGAATGTACTTCATGGTGTGACAAACACAGTTTCTGACCATTACTCCTGTACTTGGTAGAAACATGATTAATTGTAAATGGGACTTCAGGTTGAAAGAAATTCTAAGCAGTGAGAAACTGATCAGCAGGAAAAAAGTAGCAAAAATATTTCAAGAAATTATCAAGACAAGAAAGATACAAATAAGAAGAATGGAAATGGTTCAAGAGTGCAGTCAGAGAAAGTGGAGCTTAAGTGTGTGAGTACAAGGAAATTGTATGGAAAACAAGAAAGAATGGTTAAACGATAGATTGGCTGCACTCATTAAAGAAAAGAGGGGGCATCTGAACACCAGCTGCAAGGAGTGACATAAGATAGGTGGAGTACTGTACAGAGAGATTAGAAGGAAAGTAAAGAGTGGTGAAAGAACAGAAAAGTGGAAGATTAAAAGTAGGAAAGGATGTCACAAAGTTTAAAAGAAAAAGAAGCCATTCTGGATTAACAAAATAGGGAGAGAAACCTAAGAGAACAAATGAAAGTGACAGTTCGTGTAAAATGATATCAGCCATCAATGAGAATGCTGGATAAGAACATAGGTGACCATATTTAATAGTAGAATTTATATTAAACTGAAATACTAACTTTTTCTGCAGATAGTCTAAAATCTGGTCCATATCTAGACGGGCTATTTGACGACGATGTAGCTTGAGGACAGTATAGGCAAAGGCAATTAGGAGGTGCTCTCCTACCATCAAAAAGATGTCCCACAGCCGCAGGGTTAAAGTGAATGGAACCTGTGGGCAAGATGGAAAAACCATTAGTGGCCATTTACACATCACTTCTCTACCTGTACTGTGTAATTTTCATGTTCATTTCTCATACTGAGCATGCAACTAGAAATGACTCATGTCAATACCATGTGCATGTGTGTGTGTGTGTGTGCGTGTGTGTGCGCGCGCTATTGGGTTAGTGTACTAGATGAACAAGGGTATAAGACACACCAAAACTAATCCAAATATATATATATATATATATATATATATATATATATATATATATATATATAGTATATATATATATATATATATATATATATATATATATATATATATATATATATATATATATATATATATATATATATATATATATATATATATATATACTGTATATATATATATATAATATATATACAGTATATTATACTGTACAGTATACTGTGTGTACATAATAAAGTATATCATAGATTAATTTTGGATTTTGAAGGGGACCCACCCTATCAAGAAAACACTGAAAGAACCACTTGAGGGTGTAGAGTCCAGAATCTATGCAATTCCTTTCCAAGTGCTTTTTAAGCTTGGGGAGGAATTTTTCAAGTATTTTGTCATGGTGCTGTTGATATCGCAAAAGTTTTGGAAAGCCAGGTATGAAGAAGCCTGAAAAGACAAAAATAATAGTACATCAAAATAAATTCATGACAATACATACTGATTTCAGAGTTAAAAATATAATAAGTAAAACAGTACTAAAGCAGCATATAATATAAAAGTTGGAATACTCTGGTCTGAGTGAATAATAAACATAAAACACCCTGCAACATTGTTGCTACATTTGGTGAGCAGCTACAGAAATGAAGAGTTGGAATATGAAATCCCACTCTACACTCAAGGGGAAGATACAAATGACATGCATGATAAAAGCCAATAAAATAGTGAACAAGGGAATAAGTGAATTTGAATAAAAAAAATTTAAATAATTAATTAGAGCAACATTGCAAAATACTAATTATTATATAAACATTATCAAGATATTAGGTTCATGAGTCAACCTGTAGTTCAATGCAAAGAGTGATTTTTTAAAAAATAGGTGAAGTCTAGTTCCACCAAAGGCTAACAGGCCTAGACCTGACAATCATACAGTGTCCCAGACTGTGTAATATGACTTGTGGAGTACCTCAGATTTATGCCTAAGCTAAATGGCATAACCCCAATACCTTTTCAAAAGGGCACAGCACTAATCAAACCTCATTTATCCAACCTATTCTTAACCTGCTGTGTACAGTGTCCTCTCTGTGCTGAATAAAATCATCTGACATTAACCAAATAAAATATCAATAGTGGCATCCCTGTAGTGAAGGGCTTAAGAGTCACTTGAAGAGTTTACAGACGTTTAATCATGAAGATCAAAGGTACGAACATATAATTAGAGAAATCATCTTAAAATTTACTTTTCATAACAAAACTTTCCATGAAACAACGTGGCATGGCAGATCATGCATATTGTGCTTCAATCAAAGTTATTAGTTTTTACACTTATGCATTAATATTACTGGGTATTCTATGTTTAAATTAATTTTAGTCATCCAATACACTTGACCATCAAACATCCAGCTCAAGGAGCATCAAAACACCAATCCAAATCCATTCCTTCACAAATCTTGAATTTGAAAATTAGCAGATAGGTTTATGTATAAAAATCATATGCTTCACATCATATCTGTATAAAAGGCCCATAATAAGAAACAACTGGGCGTTCTTGCACAGAAAACAGCAGCCCTGTAACAAGAAAAAAAAAAGAAAAAGAAAAAAGACCCTGAAATCCCTTTTTATAATAAAGCATTGATCAGGAGACTTATGTACAGTACTGTGTCAATAAGCTTGAAGGCAGATGCCCCAGCAGACCCAGGACATATCAACGTACAAGTGGAAGCACAGTACATTATAGCCTTACCTCACAAGTGTGACTAAGTTTATATAGTAATTGTATTCTGGATATACAGTTAAGTGAAAAATTTGAAAGAGGAGATTGAGCCTAAAATCCTATTCTATAAACAAGTTATGACAGAGCTTCTTTGTATAATTAACAACTCCAGAGGTCATAAGACCAGGGACCCAGCATGTGACTAGGATTTAAAACCAAATAAATATGATTAATAGATTGTCAAAATATCAAATACTAATCACAAATAATCAAACTGTCTTGTCAGTATGATATTCTCTTATATGCACAACAGAAATTATTAACAAGAAAAATAATATAAAAGTTAAGACACTAAATACAATTTATATTTCTTAATTAAACATCAAAATCCTTATCTTATTGAGCTCACCGTGCATAGAATATTTAGGCGAGGACATAAGGGCAGAGAGCGCCCAAAAAGCATCCTCTTCATTCAGGTACATGAGTAACAAAGCAGCAATCTGGGACATTCCTTGGCAGTAACCCACTTCTTGGTTGTACATAGAGTAGGCAACTGAAAAAGAATAATAATAATAATAATAATAATAATAATAATAATAATAATAATAATAATAATAATAATAATAATAATAATAATAATAATAATAATAATAATAATAGTACCAATCTAGGCAGCATCAACCTAACACTTCACTAGTGATATACAGTACAGTATTTCAATGCATTTCAGTTGTTCCTCAGATCTGGCATAAACTATATATTAAAACTGATGATACGTAACAATAGGGGTCAGACAATTGTACAGTAGTTATTACATCTATTTACCAAGATGTTCTCTTTACAAAGACTGAAGGTAGTTGAAGCAAAAATTTTTAAACTGTTAAGAGGTTGTATGATATGTAAATTAGAAAATAATATAATGTAAATACTCAAATATAGTTCAAGTTTTTATGATAAAATTTTTAAGCAAAAAGTAAGTCGAACTGTATATGCATAGTATCATTGAGGGGTTAAAATTCATGCATTTCCACGGGTCAGTTACGGTGAACAATAGCTACCTGGGCCATGCTCGCGGTAAGCTAACCTTACCGAGCTGTGAGGTGCTATGGTTATTTTACAACTCATAATTTTGAGTAAATATTCGTACCCTGTACGAATACCCTGTAAACATTTCTTTGTGCATGAGTTAGGAGACTGAGCTGGGGAAGTGGGAGGGAGCTGAGGGGAGAGGGTCCAGTTGTTGTCGAGTTGGCAGAGGCAGAGTCCCAGCCCAGGTAGGCTGTATTGCTATGGGCACTGGCGAGTGTTGAGATGGTCAAGTAGCCAGCATCTATGCAAATGGCGGTTGTGTTAAACTTTCATTTAGTTTTCCTTAATGGTTTTAACTGCATTTTTTTAACCACAATTTCTACAGTTTAGAAGAGTCAACATTCAGATGATCAATTAATTAACCAAGCACCAACTCATTTATTAGTACAACTAGCAAAGGTTATCTGTAAGAGATACTTTAGTTCTCACCAAGAACATGGAAGAGCTGCTGTTGCTTCTCATCATATCTCTTACGAAACATAGTATGGTCCCTATATGTTCTATTTACATCCAAGTCAATCTGTCGGACATCTGTAGACCACTTGCATCCAAGTCTCTTCATTTCCTGTTCATTAAAATAAAAAAGCATTATACATTTATATATATACTGTAGTTCCCATACATAACATCATTTCTACCTGAGACAACAAAAGAAATAGATTACATATCAAACTCATGAAATTAATTTTTCTAATTCACTATTAACATGAAATCTTCAACAAAGGGATTAGTGAATGCAATATTACAAAATAAGTGTAATAACGACACAACTACTGTTGGACAACAATCACAGCAATAGTTTCAAAAAATTACCAAAAACTATATTATTAACTTATATGTTTAATAATTCATTCCTCCCAGAGCTTGAATGTAACAGCACTAAGAATGTTGCACAAACCTCTCAACATGATCAAACTTCTAAATGTTAAAACTTTGATTTAACTCTTAGACACATCTGATAATGAATTCTATATATTGCTTTGGCCCTCATGTGATTGAAGTCATCACTGCTTGTTTACTTATCACGTAAGCAAAGCACAGAATACTTGTTTAGCCAAATAAGTACCTGTAAAGTATTAAAGTACAGGAGGTCCCCGACTTACGAACAACCACCGATACAAATGGGGTCTAACTTGAAATTTACAGTATTTTATTTACATGATGACTTATTTTTTATTTTCATTTTCTGTATTTTGTCATTCAATTTCTTCTTTTGTCTTAAATTAAGTGATTTTAGATGTATATAAGGACTTAGACTATGATATAGTGGGATTTTAAATATTGTTATGTAAGTACGGTATGCACACAGCATGTGTTCCGACTTACGTACAAATCCGACTTATGAACATCCTCAAGAACAGAACCTGTTTATAACCTGGGGACCCCCTGTAGTGTTTACCTGTTTAGCCACTACATAAGTGAGGAACTTAAGTATTTGGCCATCACTTAAGTGAAACAATGACATCTTGCTTAACTGTAACTGAAGCAGTTTATACCAGTTAGCTTTAAGTGAAATACTCATTACTTGCTTTGCCAAAACATACCGTAAGTGAATATTCATTACTTGTTTACCAATCACATACGTAAAGAAATAACTATTTGTTTACCTTTCACATAAAACACAGTCACAAATTAATCAGCCGTCTCATACCGGGTAAGTGAAGCAGGTCCAGCACAGTACTGTTGCTTATATATCATAGGAGTGAAGCAAGTCACTACTGTACTTGTTAAGGCTTAACACAAGTACAGTGACCCCTCGTTTAACGAAATTTCGGTTAACGAACTGCCTTCCATAAGGATCTTCAATTCGGTTAACGAATTTCTTACGAACCGACCTCAACATGTTTTCGCTTGCACTGACCGGGCAACCAGCTTTAGTATCAGTCCGCCAATGCATTAATCGGTTCTAGGGCTTAAATTCCTTACTATTTTAGTAAATATCAAGAAGTTTATACTATTCAATAATTTTAAAAGTTTAATATTCAATTTTTTAGTCATTTTAACAATTATTGAACATAATTGAAGGTAAAGTGACTAGTTTAATGCGCGGCATCCAGCCTCTTAACACAGCAAACAGGCGTTAGTCTCTCTCTGTTTTCACTGGAGGTAACATCTTGCTTGAGAGTCTCTTCAACTAAATGCTTTTTTCTGTGTTTCTAAGCAAATTATTGGTCATTTTGAAATATATTTTACATATTGACAATATATAATGCAGTGCAGTGTTGATTTAAAGAAAATAATCTTGAAATACACCAAGAGAACTAAAATTTTATGGATGAAATGGTGCCATAGGGTGACTTCTCTTCCACCCCAATGCCTTCTCTTCTCCCTTCTCCTCCACCCCCATTCTAATCCCCATCATCATCATCCAGGAGCCTTCTACATACACACCTCAAAGTAAGTGAACTTTTCTACCATTTTTGTTGAATTTAGGCAATTTTCGGTGAGCTGGAACCAATTACCCAAAAACCCATTGAAACAATGGTTTCGGTTAACGAACGACCTTCTGGAACGGATTGAGTTCGTTAACCGAGGGGTCACTGTACTGCAGTCAATAAATGTTTTAGCCAAAACATAAAAGAAGCAATTACACAATCATCACCCTGAACAGAAAAGAGAGAAACAAACCAGACAGTCACTAAAAGTGGAGATCACATGCTCATGCTGACAACAAAAAATATGAGCGCTGCCACGCAGTCACCTGGTGCACTACTGTACCAAACTATATTCTATGGTGATGCCACATTGCCGCAAACATGTACTTCAACGATTATCAATCAGTATTGGTGTTGCTACTTTCATGTGTTTTTTGTTTACCTTACAGAGAGAGGACATCACTAACTCTCACACTGTGCTCTGTTTTGGTGACTGTGAAGTGATTTTGGCTATGTTTTTTGTGACTGTAAAGTGCTTTGTCTCTTGTTGTCAACATGTGAGCAGTGGTGGCTGCTATCATTGATCTTATGTTATCATTGTTTGCTTCATGTTTGTGACAAGTGCTTTAGCTCTGTTTTATGACTGTGAAGTAAGCAGTGTTCTTGTTTAATTGTTTTATGTATATTATTAGTGTATGATTTTTGTTTAAGGTGATGATACATGCTGGTGTTGGACTGGCTGGGAATGTATTCCATCAAACCCCATGTTATAATGGTCCCAATCTACAATATTTCAGCTAGCAATGGGTTTTCAGGAACCTAACTCCATTGTATAAAAGGGGAATACCAGTACAGTGTACCGGTAACCTGTTACAAGTACTTAAAAAATGCGACCTTCTTAAATAACAGCAATTTCCTATACAGTCTCTCCTTGACTTACGAAATATGTGACTTACAACAACCCAGACTTACGATGTTCATTTACGTTATATTACAGTAAAATATTTTTCATTATTTTCGCGTCCAGAAGTCTGGTCATAATGTCTAACGACCCTGTACGACAACTTTGGCTGGCACCCTGCCGCGTGGTGTACAGCATCCACGTAGTATCCCGCTCAGTTTGTGTGTTAAAAAGTAAAAGTTTTACAATTATTACAGTAGGGTTGGGATGTATAGCGAGATAGGGTCCAAGAATGTTCGCTATGTACTAAATCGTGATATATAATTACATGTAATCAATGGGGAAAATAGGGTTAGGTTCTGGAGGCCAATAAAAGTGACTAAACTTAACATAAACTGGCACAGACTAAAGTTAGCAGAATATAAATTGCACTGCTGGAATCCTTGCAAGACAGCGAATAATTTGAATATAGACATCAAATATTTTACACAAGAGGTAATTTTTTTAGTCTTTTAGAGTATACTGTACTGTACTGTACTGTACATTTAGGTACTGTACAGTTTTTCAACTCGTATTTTGGGGGCAATTTAGGGGATTTTTAGGAGTTTCTGATTTCATACGGTTTTTGGTTTTATGTGAGATCCCAGGAACACAACCCAGAGCAAGTTGTGAGTCTTCTGTAAATAAAATTATCACTATATATAGGAAAATGTCGATAATTTTGGAAGCAGCATATAATTTTTGTTTTATATATATACCTGTAAAGTCTCTATATATCCCGACCCTAATGTACTACGTATTATTTTCGTCGGTTCGACTTACGACCTGGTAGTCGGAACGGAACCCAGTCATAAGTGGAGGAGAGACTGCACTGTATCTGGCTCAAGAGCTGGTCCCATGGTTGCCACATGTATGAGTTTCAACCTGTATTAGTATGTTCTCATTTGTATTATTATTAATACTATTATCAATACCCCAATGAAGCCCTCATATACTATATAAGAAATGCCAGAAACACTGTTGGGAATGCCTCTCCATACCTAGAATGGCATTAAAGACCCTTTTAACATAAACTTGATTAACACTCACTTATTCATGAACACATCCTGAGCTAAGTGAGGTATCAGTGTACAGTATGTCATTCCCCTGACATTGGATACTAAATTAATATCCATTCATAAACATTACCATATGGAAATCACATTCAGACTTAGCACAGTACACAATATTTAATATACAATACAGTATTTTCTCCATACAGTACAGTACTTCCTCCATACAGTACAGTACTTTCTCCATTCCTGTAACCCACATGGATCCCATATCTACAGCATGTGTAAAAAATGCAAAGTAATAGTTCATACATGTACAAGAGCAAGATAATTAGCAACAAATTACAGTAATTTTAGTCAGTAGCTTTGTACTTGAAAATATATAAAGTCTAACCACAAAACAGAAGCAAACTTTATCAGCTATCCTTACCTCATATTTTCCTCTTTGTTCTTCTTTTATTTGTTCCAAGAGAAGTAATTTTGCCCAAACTACACCCCGAAACCTATCTGGAATGCCTTTGTATATTCTTTTGATGAATTTGTCTTTGTCCCAGTATTTATCCCAGCTTTTGATCATCTTCAACCACTTTGGGATCCGGGAAAGCTCAATTTCCAATCTTTTTTCCTCTTCCTTTGAGCGAGACTGGGGTAATCTTGTGTCACTGGTAAAAGTATTGCAAGACATAAATTGAGGCTATTTCAATAATAAAATAACTTAATAAATACATTCATGATTTAACAGAGATGAATGATCTTTTTTGTAGTGAATGAAAAGGAGAATGTCCCATTCCAGATTTTATTTATTTTTTAATGAGACTAAAACAAAAACATTGTTCAGAAAATCCACTACAGTAGTATACAATATTCAATTGTATTCATATGAACTATTGTAGCAAAAATCTATACCAAACCAAAAATGCATTCAATGTACTGTACAGTAGATTCATTCAACAAGACTCACTGTATAAAGCCGTATCTGTCTGTGGAATGATAAACCTCGAATTCTGGGTCTTCCCATGGGTCTATGATAGCTCCTTCTTCGCGGCCGAGTTCGTATCGTCCAACAATAGTTGCACGTTCTTCCCGTGCCCGGATGAGCAGCTCCTCCTCGCTCAATCCTGCAATATAATCATTTCTATAATAAAAAAAAATACCGACAGTTAAAAATACACACTGTATTGATAATTGTATATAAACACTCACACATACCCGGTACATATAACATACTGAACCTTCATCAGCAAGGCTTGAACTCAGATTTACAGCATGTTAACTCTCTTAAATGTAAGGTGCATGAAATCTGTGAAGGCCAAAGAACTTCAAACTTTCATCCCTATAGTACAAGAAAAATCTGAAGAGTAAGTTTATATGCAAAATAATTCTTTTCATATTACAGTAAATATAATCGATCTAAGTGTTTTTTTATGATTAAAAGCCTGTTAATATATTGTACAGGATAATTTTTTTTAAATTACTGTATAACTCCCACTTATTCAATTTTATAAATCTAATATACTGTACAGTCTGTACCTCTATTATTTGCCAAACAAAATTCTGTTCAAAGACATATAATGCAAACCTAATCTGTCAAGAGAAACTATTAATTGTAAAAATGAAATTTATAATCTAACTTCTACTGACAGCAAACTATTTTCTTCTTAACCTCTAGGAGAAAATAGTATGTGGTTTCTGCTCTAGTTATGAACAGAGAAAAAGGCTTTAACCATTTCACAGAGACCTTTACAGCTCCTGAGGTCTCTTATACAGTGAATCTAACTGCTAATTGACTAGACATTTTATAATCTGTCTACTAAACTAACAAGAAATTAAACACATTCAGCGTATGTACACATTTATCATGTGTATATTTTAGTAAAGTGTATGTACAACTATACCTATGCAGAATTCAAAATAAAAAAGGCAGTATCATGCATAATTAATAAACAGCATTTTGAACACTTAAAACTCTCTCACAAGTAAGTATGTTTACACTGGTCAGGTCCACCTCAGTTAAGTTTTTAAAAATAAAAATGAAGGGTCAAAACACAATATCCAATTTTATTGCTTTAGGGAACAAACACAATGTCCTAGGAGATCCACACCATCAAAACACTGCCTGCCAGAGCCTATCAATACCTGAGGGCTCTGACAATCTTTGCAGTGGGATTCATCTTCCAGAAAAACAGCTCACTGTGCTGCAAAACAGCTCCTCACCCAGCAAATCCAGGGTCATATCATTATTTCAAATGCCCAACCACTGACAAGGCTCTGTGCTTCAGTCCTCTCAGTTCCTGCCAATTTTGAACAATTAAAGAAAGAAAGAAAGAAAGGGAGGAAACTTGGATACTAGTTTCTTCCACTCACTAACAAAAACCAGACTCACAAGTAAATACAGTCCAGTATTTTAATTTGTATTACCATTTTTTTATACTGAACTAAGGTTTATATGTGTGCAGATGCACATAATGCTTTTCACCTTTCCCATATGTAAAGCATTAGGGGAAAACATCTTGTGTACCAGAGCATCTGGGGTTTGTTGTGTAAAGACAATTGCTAGGATTTCTGAAAATTAAATACCAGATACTTATGTGCAGCATAAAGCAGAGACTGTCATTTTGCAGTAACACATAGCTACTCAGTGGTATTTGTGTGTACTGTAATATAAAGATACACAAATAAATGCCAGAATACATAAAATGTAAAAACTCATAATAAGTGTTTTCTTATGAGGTACTGAACGAGATTAAAGGTATTTGATTGATCATTAACAGGTCACCACTATGCATTGTATTTCACATTTATTTAAAAAATCTGGTTAATTGTTTGGCCTTCTCAATTGAAAAAGGAAGCCAAAAATAGGCACCCCATCACTTCTTAAGCCATTAATATACCACTGTGTCCAGCTCTGTTGACCCTGCTTCATGCAATGATTTATGCTTGGCCATGCTCTTGTTTATTTCACTGCCAGCATAGAACTAATTTCTTTTCATGCTGCCTCTTGATATCATAAACTTGTGTTCCCAACATCATGCTGTTCATTGTGTACTGAAACACCTTAGCCTAGTTTCTTTAATATTTCAGCTTTCTGCCTAATATTATGAGTTATGTGCTTCTATTGCTATTCAAAGCATCACTAACCCATGGTCTTTTTGGGAACCTATTGTTTAGAATGGCCGAATTCAAGAAACAAATTACAGTCACAGTCACGGAGAACATTATGATGCAAGACAACAACTGCTTGGGTGAAGGGAGTCCAAAGGGTTTATTGCAGCTAAACTCCCCCCAAAAATGCTCAAATCTTGATGCACACTTTAAATCTGAAACTGTGCAGATTTTTTAATTTTGGATTTTTAAGTTTTGGCTATAATGGCTCCTCCAACATCTTTAAGTTCTTCTACAAGTGAAGAAGCCAAAAATTATATTAATACAGTACAGTACTACACTAGAAACTAAATTGGAGATATTGAGAAGTCTTGAAAGAGTTTAGCATACATACTGGAATTATATTCATGCACTATGATTATTCAGTACACTAACCCCAGGAACTGATCACAGTGTTATTAGCAGCCTTTTATTTTATTCAATTGTTACATTCTGGGAGTGACAAAATTTAAATTTAGTTCCAGCAATAAGTTGGATCCTGGGACCAGGGCTTCACCCCTTAGCCTTGTCTGGTTATACAGTTACCCGAGACTTACATTAAGTTACAAAAATTAAGCAATGAGGAGGCCAGCAAGATTTTGTAAGGACGGTGAACATATTTTAAGCATCATTAACATCTATATGGCTGAATTTGGGGGAATAAATTCATCTACTATGCAGGCATCATGTTATGCTGAAGTAACTGCTCTCTATTGGCAATGCTTGACTGGTAGTAAGAAGCCCGGCATAAAAATTTAAACATAACAAGAACAGAATCACTTCTTAATTCATATGAATGATGCATGAACACACACTGCCTTCAATTTCTTTTTATCATTTGGGCTGCAAAACTCTAAGCAATGAAAAACATAAAATTAATTCCCACATACTGTACTGTATAATGAAGCTTACAAGATGACCTGGATGATGAAAGAAATTCTCAAAGAGTGGTTTGATATCATTTTGTACGGAGATGAAGAACAAATTTTCAATACTTTAATGTATTTAGTCAATATCTTATACCTGTATACTCTTATGTTTCTTAAGTTTTAAGATGACCCACTACACGGCAGCAATTACCTCAAAAAATTATTATCTACAAGATGCCAGTGTACTGTAGATACTATTAATAAAAATTCCATTAAATTTGAAACTACTACTTCAAAAGAAAATATCCTTTACAAGATTTGATGCTACACATTTTAATGACAAAAAGGTCAAGGCTGAAATGTTCAAATGATCAAACTGGACATTTTCAAATGTGAAGGTACAGTATACTAACATAACATTAGGTTACACTCATTCTCCTCTAACTTAGCTGCTGAGTTATCTTAATGACTCCCAGGTGTATGCAAGTTGCATAAAAATTAGTTATACAGTACAATCAATTATAGTACAGGTACTGTATGATATAAATAATTTCAAGTTTGGATGCCAATGTGGAGTTACCAATTACACTATAGCATATTTCCTCAAGACCATAAACATGCAACACCCACGTGACATCATACACAACTTATCACACTAATTCAATTGAGGCAGAGTTATGGTGTTGGAAATCTTGACATTGAAAGAATTTATTTAACAAAACAAAATGAACTGAACCTGATCAGCAGATTTACAAAAGAACTTTGAAGAATTGTTTTAACTCATATGTTTACTCTATCTGGCTAACTTCACTTTTGGGTTAACATGCACAAGGAACTCTGGGGAATGAAGCAATACAACCTTCACTTCTTATTACTGGAGAACTGAGTTGGATCAACTTCTACCGTCAAATAATATCACCATTACAAGTTCCAATGTACAGGGGTAAACTCAATAATCTGACACCTGGCATATAACCCTTGCTCATATCCTAAACTTGGTAGATTCCGACTGGGCACTTTTCATAAAAATTGGCAAAAGCAAATTTCCTTTTCAAAAGATTACCAGATTTTTCATCTCTGCATTTTCCTAAAAGATGATATAATGCTTATGCACATACAGTAACAGATACTGCATGTATTGATGGAGATATACATTTACTGTATAATTAAAGAATAAAATACATAAACATGTCCTGTAAAACATTGTTATGCAATTTACTGTACTACTGTACATAAAAAGGTTATTTTCATTTTCTTAACTACTGTGACAACTCTTCATTTCCACTTCCAAAATAAGATGCATAGAATAACTGATATCTAATTATACATAGGAAAAAGATAAAGGTTTGTGTTTTGCAAGCTGTGCACTTTTGATATCACTTACTTGGCCTTTGGAAAGCATCATGATAATAGCCGAGAGCAACACTCTCCAGCACCCCAAGTGGATGTGACACAATTAGCTGCCAAACAGCCACCCATAAATGTTTATACCAATTTAAGATTTTTAAAGTCATTTGCAAGTATTGATAAAAAAATATATATATACAGTATATGATTGTTCTACAATACTGTACAGTACATCAGGTACTCTAGTACAGGAATTAATAAAAACAATCTTTTTGTTTGTTTGTACTCGTCCTTGGAAGGTTGACATGAGTCTAAAACCAAACAGGCACCAAAAGAGCCAAAAATGAATTCTTAGTGAATTTACTAAAGTAGATAAAAAAAAATTATGACATCAACTGATCACCTCACCATAACTAATGGAGCAGTGACAGTAAAATAATCCTGGAGTCTTCCCAGTTTTCTTGGAAATTCTGGATTAATGAGAAGAGTTTACAAAAGAAAAATTAGCTAGTTTTCAAGAAGAGCCAGGTTTTTTAAATACCAGATTATTGAGTTTATGCAATTAATGGAAATGTCCTAATACTGAAGTAATAAAATATGCGCAACGTTTAAATGAAAGGTCACTTATACAGAGAAACATTCATCAAAGTAGACGTATTTCACATATATATACACCGTACAGGCAGACTATGATTTACGAGAGGGTTACCTCTCTGAAAAACCACTCGCAAGTAAATTTTTCATAAATCAATGCATATTTTCCTATTGATTCTCATTAGATTATTAGATATGATCTCTACGAGAAAAAACAAACCCCCCTCAAGCCCTAATTCATCATCTTTGATTTACATGGCACAAACACTGTGGTCACAGACACTTGAGCTATGACCGACACTTCAAGGAGTCTTGGTTCCTCCCGGTTGTGCTTTCACAAAGCCCTCAAATACAAAAGTAATAAAACTGAGTTTAACAGAGCTGAAAAGAAACATAAAGTGCTAAGTGTAAAAAAAATAAAAGTGGATATTCTATGAAAACTGAAGCAAAGACAATATATGAGCAAGGTGCCTAGATAAAGTGTTTTACGAATATTTTAAGCAACGAAATGTCTGCAAAGAGGCGTAAAATATTACGTACGCCAGCTAGCATTCCCGTCCGGCCGCTCCCACCCTCCTACCAGCCAGCCAGCTACACATCTGACTCGGCTCAGCTGACGCTCCGCTCCTCGTGCGTTGTCAGCGTTCTCCATACCTTCAAACATCTCTCTTCATTTCCAAATTCCACACTTTCTCTTACAATTCTAGACCTTTATTGTACATAATTAGCAAATAAAATTCAAATACAGAATGATTTTCTTTTATCAGTACTGTATCTAATTTTCCACATACAGTATTACATGAGAGAAAATTAGGAGAAATTGTACAGTCAGCTAACTGGCTCAGTGACTGTGTGTGGGGCAGTGAGAGTGAAAATTCACTTGTCTTCAAGTGAAAGAGGAGTAAGTTATACATTGATTGTAGGAGAATGATGACACACTGAAAGCTTATTTGAAGACTTAGTAACACTGCAAGTGGTAGAGAATAATGAAAAAATTTAGTGAAATAAATAAGCATAGTACTGTACAGTACTATGCATTATTTTACCATATAATCATAATTAAATTTTGTCCTCATAATTTCAGGGTTTTTTACTCGCAAATCAAATTGTGGGACAATTTTTCTTCCGAAATAGCAAATTTTCATAAATCAAATCTGCATTAATTGGGGTCTGCCTGTATACAGCATTTCATTTTCTTTTAAAAAATGATAAGAGCATGTCTACCTATTATCAGATGTTTAATGACAAATTTTGATAACTGGACTTTGTTCAATTAAGTTCTCACTTCCTTAGGGTTAAGAAAATCTGTGGAAAAGTCGTCAACTTCCATCTTTGTGAAGTGAGAGAGTTTAGCAGCATAATTTACAATCCTAGATATTCAAATAACAGCTGTGAAGGAAAATGGAGAGTTGATCCCAAAATCCTGTAAACCAAGACTGGATCAAGTAACTCTGTATGTCAGCAAGTCAGTAGGTCAAAATCCCTGGCCCCAGAGCCTTGACTTATACAACCCAGAAACCCTGCATCTGTAAAAGTCCAGTAAAATCAGAGAATTAGAGATGCAATCTCTCATAGATCAACTGGTCAACTGCAGCCTCTATACACAGTACAGTATAGGGGTTATCCAGGGAGAACCAATTGTATTAGCTGACAGCAGAGAGCCTACACCACCATAGTACCGAGCATGTGTTCATGTGATTCTATACGAGATGTTCAAGCAACCTTACTTTCCAGCTCAATCCAGCATCCTTAAGCAGGGGGGCAAGATCTGAATCACTCAATCCATACTCATGATAAAATGAGGTTTTAGGATCAATCCTTCATTTATAACTAACACATTAGATCTGGTGACTCATATATGCTCAAGTCAGTTGGTACTGATTGGAAGGATTGAGACAAATTAAAAGAAACAGCAAAACTTATATCCTTCATCCCAGTCAGCAGATTCAAAAGCATCAAATGTTCCCAGGTGTCATGGAGACCCAATCAAAGGGATCACTACTGTGTGAAAGGGTAGATCATACTTTGAAGGGATTAGGTTACATAACTTTAGAAGATAACCTAAAGTGCTCCCACTGAATGGCCAAGCTCCTCTAAATCATTTCAGTGCTGTATGCTCAACAAAGCGCATAAAACAACTTAAGCAAGAAACCTTATAAGTGCATTTTCATGTTAGAATCCCTGAAGCAGGGATATCTCATAAGATATTCAGAGTGGAACATTCCTGGAATTTCACACCAAATACACTCCTCCTCAGTAACAGGATCACCTCTAACTAGCCTTGGGCAAACACCTAACCTGGTACACATACATCTTATAAAAAATAAGCTAATCTATAAACAGCCTCAGTGCACTGACCCCATAGCAAGTCTAGTATCAAACTCTCCACTAAGTCGTCAAGCAAACACACTGTAAAGTGTTTGTATGAATAAAAGTAAAACCTAAGGCTGTGTGGCTGACAATGCACCCTCTTTTTAAGTGCCAAAAAATATAAAGAACACTTCAATTTCTCTGAAGTCAAAGCAGGAATTAAATATCCACACGTTACAACAGGTGACCGAAATCTGAAGAGGTCAATCCAGATTGAGTGTTCTGTAGTCAACGTAAATAAACAAATTAAATATATCAGTGTACGCATCTTGTTATGCCCAAGAGCAAAACACTAAAGTCTTCTCCGTTTCTAGAATGCCTTTGTACCAAGTGGTTGCCCTTTGGGAGCCTGGTATGAATGATATCTGTATTTTCAAAGTTATTAAATTTTTAGTCGCCTAGACTTGCTGACTACAGAGTTTTTTCATCCTCATGTAATGATGTAAAATTGTTTGAGAAGTTAAAATAATCATCTTAAAAGGGTGACAGCAACTAGTCAGAAGGCACATGTGGTAATCAGGTAGTCACAAACACAAACCAGTTGACTGAGTTTATCTGATCTTAGGAGTCAATCTCTGAGGATGTCATAATAACAACTGTATATGGGGCACAATTAGCAATAATGCAAAAGATTATTTTTCACTTTTATAACAACTTTCTCCTATGGGAAAAGTAAAGTCTTCTGAACAGTGAATTCAATAAGGTTAATGGAGAATTTAGTACAGGTATAGGCCCTCAAATCCAGAACACTTGGGACCAAGACAACTGTTTTGAACATCATCCAGTTTTCTCAATCTTAGGTCATCCATGTTACCATCAACCCACCAGTGGAATATATCAAGTTTTGATTCCACACACACTATTACAAATGCGGTTGAATTTTGTTTTACTTCTTAAATAACAAAATAAGGAAAATATCGCTGTATGCATACTGTACTTTAAATAAAATAAAAAATATATTAGATATCGTTTTTTTAGAAGTACCCTATACTGTACTGTACAGGGCTGCAGCGGTAGGCCTACATCACACTGTATCTTGGGTTTGTTTATGCCTGACTCCCAGAAGCTCATGTGTCTAGCGAGACATTTTCAGTAAATAGAGAGTTTATAAACAAATATTTTCTAATTGAATAAACTACCCAATACAGTACGTACCTTGATTTTCTTTATCTATATTTATTTGTATTACAGTAATAAAATATCCTTTATGTTTTCATATACTGTACAGTCTCTCCTGGACTTATGACAACCTGGACATACGACGGCCATAGTCGTATAAAATATTTTTCAAATTACGTATTTTCGAGTCCCGACGTTAGTGATCGCGCTGTGTACTGACAAAATTTTCATTTGTAATTCCCTTTAAAATGGCTGGCAAGCGTAACAGTGAGAGTTCTCGTGGTGCTGAGAAGAAAAAGAGACACCCATTTTAGAATTTCTATGTATTGTATTATTTTTGCCTTTTCGACTTACGACCAGGTCGTCGAGATGGAACCCAGTCGTAAGTCGATGAGAGACTGTACTGTGCCTTTAAAAAAATAATATTGATCAAATTAAACCAAAGACTTGAGGTAACTTATGCCAGACACTGCCTGTTCTCACACAGGCCATGTGAGAAAAAGGAAGAAAATTTAACCTAACCCAGGGAAGGAAATAACCGACTTTCGAGGCTTTCTCGTTTTCTGAGATCCGGTTTCGAGGGTCTGTACCTGTAGTCTAAACTTGCATCTGACTTTTCTGACAAATAATCTCAAGGGATTTGGGATACTTTCTTTTTATCCAATCATCTTTGAGGAACACTTAATAATTAGGGTGGGAAATTCTTCTTGGCTTAGATGGCAGGAAATCAATTATCATGGTCTACAGTATTAACATTCAGTTGCTTCAATCATGAAACTCTGCCATTCTTTCAGTACTAAAATGTGCAGTCTGTTCATACTCTCATAAAACTTAAACTCTCTATGGAAATCACACTTTAAAACTACTTCCTCCTTATCAGTTAAAATGTTATCCCATTATAATCACCTCTTAAAAAAAATTGAATATCTCGTAGAATATCAACTGGACTTCTCCCTTACCAAACAATTCATGCATTTGGAGATTCTTCAGGGAAATAATAATTTAAAGATGACCAACCATAAAACCACTGTGTTAATTCAGAAGGACAGTATTTGCTTGTAAAACTACTGTATATACTACTGTATCCCTCTTTGAGACAATTAGATACATTTGTTTGAAGATTAACTATGATGCCTGGTTGTGTATAACTATTACTGGAAAAGAGGCATTCTCATGAAATAAAAGGAAGATTTGTATACTGTATAGACGACCATGTTCCCATAGGTATTTAGTTAATAGCCAATTGAGGTATTAAGTGTTTCATATACTGTACATGCTAATGATCCTCTTTTAAAGGTGCACATTATAATTATATCTTTCACTAAGAGCATATAACTTCATCAGAGGGCTATCATAATAAAACTACTCATTAAGAAATGCATAAATTATTAGCAATCTCAATTATTCAAATTACAAAACAAATTTTCATATTCCAACATAAAAGTACCTCAAACTTTAAATTTAAAATCAATTTAGGCAGTCAGAATATGCACTACGTATTTATCTTTCCATGAGGACAGGAACACAACACAAAATACTGTACAATACAACATTCCATCTTTATCAGACAACTAATGGAAACACAAGCAAAACAACCAACTGTACACAACATGTGCATGTCCATGATTAATACCTGAAATGAAAGGCATAAACAGCAGTAACGGTGTATAAAGTAAAGCACTTTAAGGGTTGGTGGATAAAATAAACTTTAAGGGGATATGTTCACAATAAGACTTTTCAAGGAAGTAAATGGAAGCAGGGACAGAGAGATAAAAGTTTACCCATGAGAGACCGGGAGTCTGGGTTCAGCATCTTCCGAATGTCCTGATTTCTGCGAGCTAGGGGGAGGTGAAGTTATTATTCAACCATTTATGAAGGGTATAAAATTCTCTTCCTTTACATGCAAATACTTTTTTTTATATTGGTATATCTTATCCCTTAGGCCCCGGGTGACGTTCCAGAACGTCCTCCTATTTTCCCGCCATTTTTTTTATTTATTTAATTTTTTTTTAAGTTTATTTTTTTCTTGATTTATCCCCGCGGGGGTACTGTCAGCAGCACCCTAACCCGGGGCTTAAGGGTAAAATGCCATCTGCAAACTGCAGGAAATCCTTAAAGATAATTAACATATGCTGAACAATGATGGATTCTTAGATAATTATATAAAAGATTATTTTACTCAAGCTTTAGTTTATTCTTAAGTATAAGCAGCATTAATGGGTACATATTTAGACTATTCTGCACATGACATAGATGGTGATAACAGAGGAATTTGAAGAAAAAAATAACTTGCACAACAGGATATTCTGATGATTAAAAATCAATAAAGTACAGTATTTCCCGTACCTTTTGTAAAGTTGTGTCATAAAATCCCTTATAAAAGGTTTACCATATATTGCAAAAGGTATTAATACAATATATATAATAAATATTTATGCAAAAATGGGTCATGTCAACAAGACCACTCGAAACTAAAAAAAAAAAAAACATTAATAATATAATATATATATATATATATATATATATATATATATATATATATATATATATATATATATATATATATATATATATATATATATATATATATATATATATATATATATATATATATATATATATACACACACACACACACACAGTGGGGTATGCTATAACGAACGGATTCTACTACGAATATTCCTATAACGAACGGTTTTACCTATAAAATTGAGAATGCTATAACGAACGCAACTCCTACAACGAACACGGATGAATACGGGACTATTTCGTCTGGCACATGAATATTGTTGTACCACGGCTCACAGCAAGAGCGTCAGGCGCCATATTGGTTCATTGTGTAGTCAGTGCACCACTGAACTTGTTGAAATTTCGTCTTTTGATGTGGAAATTCGTGTTTTTTTATAACTATTTTGTTATACAAGTGTACAATTGTAACAATGAATCGTCAAAGGCGAGTGAGAAAGCTAATAACCCTTGAAACTAAGAAAGAAATTATAAATAAACAGACAAAGTGCCTGTAAGACAGTCACCAAAGAGGGCTAGGAAGGATGACTCCTCTCCTTCCACCTCTTCTCCATAATTCTCTCCTCCCCCTCCTCCTCTGCCTCCTGTCCTGCATGCTAACAACACTAAGGTAAGATAAAGTACCGTATTTTTTACAATTTCCACGTAAATTTTTCAGTGTTAAGCGGTTGTATTTGGGGCCCTGGAACGGATTATTCCTATAACGGACGAGGTTCTAGAACCAATTAGATTCGTTATAGCATACCCCACTGTATATATATAGTATAGTCTTCATTACGTGGTCAATTGAACCCGTGGAGGTCCACGTAAAAAGAGAAACGCGTAAACGAAATAACAGAACATATGGGACTAATTGAAATAGAGACTGGGCCGACCCCCAAACTCCATTTTTTCCGACATAATACGTACGTTGTAGTAAAAATAACATCTTAACTTTATGATGGTATGCACACAATTAATATTTAAGAGAAATATCAATAATATTAGGTTTTTTAACACTTACGTTAGTAGAAAAGAGGGCTGGGCACACGGGGATGGGGGGTTGGTTCCGAGGCAGAGGGCAGATTATTGGCCCTCACCTGTATCACTTGTATCAATTGTATCACTATCCACCACAGAGGCTGGCAGGGCCTCTGTGTCAAACCCCTCAAAGTCCATATCCTCACTACCACTATCACTGACTTGGGCTGGCTGTGGTGAGTGGCGGGTGAAGAACTCGGTAATGTTTTGTTGACTGGGCGGCCTTGTGCGCACCCTGCCCGCGCCGCTTCCCGCGTATATGATGGAATGAGCCGTGTAAATAAAAATCGTCAGTCTGGCAAGGTGCCGTGTAAATGACCAAACGCGTAAACCACATCCGTGTAAACCGAGACTATACTGTGTGTGTATATATATATATATATATATATATATATATATATATATATATATATATATATATATATATATATATATATATATATATATATATATATATATATATATATATATATATATATATATATATATATATATATATATATATATATATATATATATATATATGTATATATATACATATATATATATATTTATTTATATGCAGTACTGTACATTAAAAGACTAAATTGATACAATATGGAAAGGTCATGCATAAATAAAAAAATATTTAAAATTAATAATTAATTTGGACACATCACAAAGTGACCAAAATGACCAGGTACAAAGTGAGAGTCAGTAAACACCGAGAGATTGTAAATTTAATAAAACAAGGAGGTAGCTTGGTCACTGACTGGCCTGTAGTGGAGTAGTGTGCATGGCAGTCACATAATGAAGAGGTGTGAGGTGTAGTCAGGTAATATTGCCCAGGAATGTTGTGAGGTCTCTAAATGCTGGGTGTAAATGTGCTCCAAGAAGACGTCAGGTGGTCTAATGGTGATGTGCAGGGAGAAAGTGAAGTAGAACAGAACTGCCCCCTATAAGATGGGTGGCGAGAGATGAGTTGGGGTAAGGCCACTGTGATCAAGTCCATGCTACTGTTGTTTAAATACTCACAGCAGTAGAAGTATGCAATTTGTATGGCAGTGTGGGTAGTGAGTGATATAAGGTTGCAGTAGGGATGGTGGCATAAAGTTGTGATATGAGTGTAGTACAGCACTGTAGTATCTTAAGGCTAGTGTTTTAAATTGGTGGACCTCTACACTATCATGGCACCAAAGCAAGTTGTGGTCCATCACACCCACCTAATGCTCAGGACACCTTGGCCATACCACCACCACTATACCTGTATCTTTTAGGTATTCAAACACTATCTCCAAAGTAATTACAAGGTAAAATTACTTATCTACAGTGTCAATTACATTATTGAAGATATTCTAATGGCACATGAAGGAGTAATGACCTCAAATTCATTAATATATTTCAATTTGGACTTGCAAAGGAATCAAAGTGTCAGCTATGACTTTACCTTGGAATGTTGGTGTGCTGTTTACATACCCTTGGCTTTCTCCTGGTGTGCTTATGATATGTGTATGTTATTAATATGTAGGGGGCTGACTGTGAAAGACACCAGTGATACAAATGGGAAATTCTAAGATACATTTATTCTTTTTAACATCCACAAATGGTAAATTTACAAAAGGTATGGGAACTAGTAGACTTGATACATTTTTCCACCCAGCATGAAATTGAAAAAAAAAAATGAAATGACAAAAACATGTTATTTTCAAAAGCCAGGGTTGACAGAGAAATAGAGTGTATTAGCAAGTACTGTATTCATTTTGTAGTCATAAGAGCTTTTGTAGACGAGATGTAAACGAAGACAAACAATAAGATACAAATGATAGCCAATGAAAATGTATACATAAAAAGTTTGTAGAATCCCAAATAGTTCAATAGAGTTTTCTGAAGGGCCTACCCTGATGTTAGATAAAGTGTTCAATATATTGTATCATCAAAATAGTGCTCTTCTTCTTAAATTCACTAAATTTTTTAGATGTACTGAATTTGTACCCAATTACCTTCAATAATTATCATTACATTTATTTAGTTTTGAAAAGCAAAAAAGAATTTTAACATTTCAAGGCATGCATCAAGCCTTATAGGTTTCCACATTATGTATTTCTATAATGGTATTAGAGTTTACGTACAAGTATTAAGGGTACAGAATAACCTTAAATATAGATACTGTATACTGTATTGCACTAAAGTACAGGGTACTTCTAAGTCCTAGTCTTAACTTATATTAATTCACAAAATAAGCATGTTATCCATACCAGCATCCATGTTGCTTGTCATTCATTTGAGTCATCAACCAGAGTATCTCTTTGCACCCATCACATCAGCACCTGAAAAAATGATCAACAACATCATATTAATGCACAGAGTACAGTACGTGATAAGTCGTACAGTACTGTATTTACATAAAAACAAAATGAGTGGATTATGGTAAGAATTCTCACAAGCATATCTATAATATTATTATTAAGTCTAAATCATCATCCATCCAGAATCAATTTCAAGTAAACACTCGAGTGACTATTCATCGATGACAACTTAAAATGGAAGAACGATCCTGACTGACATTTCCTTTTATGCCCAAGTCTGGATCAAGCAAGTTAAACAAAGATCAGAGTACATGTATTGTAGTGTGAGAAAATAAAATAAACACGAGTATTTCCAAAACCAGAACAAGTTACACGAGGTAGCAAAAAAAAAACGGGCATATACCTACGTTAATAATCAAGACTTCAATATACCGAAAAACTTGATAATCTGGACTTCAATAAACCAACAACACAATAACCTGGACTAACTGAAAGATTCAATTATGTGGAATTCATTAAACCAAACAACTCAATGATCCAGACCATTAGAGCCTTAACTAGCCAATGAGCTTTTCTCCTCAGTCCTCAATTGTTTACCTTTTGTGTTTGATGAGGTAAACAGTACAGTATATGTTAGGTTAAGTGGTTCTCTCTGATGAATCATATAATGTAGCCGTCATTTGTAACTTATTCCTGTCTGAGAAAGTCATGTCATCAATGAAGACCACTTCCCTGGGTAGATGTAGATTTAGTGTTCAGGGTTAAAAACATCACCACAAAAAAATATGACAGAAATTGCAAATTATTGTCAATATGGTAATACACTGGTACAACGACTCATGATAATCAGCAACTTGATGATAATTTTCTATACAACAGAAGAAAATATCTTTCTTACTTTTAGATCTAGAATATCCCAAAGAAATTGAGGAATTAAATCTTTCTCACTTTTTGTTTGTCTCTAATTTTTATTATGACTAAATACAGTCCCTGCATACATGAACACCATGTTTAAGATTCTTTGGTTGACAAATGCTTCTCAGAGACTGACAGAATGCCGAGTGACAAAATGCTTCAGTGACCCTTCCATACCTTACACATCCATAACCAAACCTACCTAACATAAATCACCTTACCAAACCTAACCAAAAACAATATAGTTTCATAGTAGGGTAGATAGGTTGGGTAGTTTTGGCTAGCTCATCTTATCTTGCAACAAATATAATGTAATGTAATAAAGTCAACATGGCAATGCTAAGAGCTGGTGCTTGCAGAATAATTACCAGGAAATCTTCCTTATGTTGCTGAGTCAGTACGACTGTCAACTTTTGAGATATTCTTGACAAAAATTCTACAGAAAACTTGTCTAAAGTTCCTGGTTAGCCTATATTTGTCAGTTCCAATTGTTCTTCCCTTATATAAGAATATTTTTCAAGGAATGTTCACTTAACGGTAATTCATTATTCATATAGTATATAAAAAATATTCACAATATTTATTCCATAGTCTTGTCCACAGATACAATGTAAGATTCTACAATATAGAATTTACATATTTTGTGTGCACTGATTGTGATTTAATATAAATCATCTCCAGGAACAATCAGATAAAGTTTCATGTCATATAAAAGACCAATTAATAAGCGCCCACCTTTCACCAACAGATTTATACACTTGTGTGACCAAGTTTACATCCAATGATTCTTCCAAAGGCTATAAATAAGATATACACCAACCAAACTCACCCCAGAGGCAAGCTTCCTTTAATCACTGACGATAACAACGGAAACGCCCACAACATTCATCACCAATTGTATTAATCATAAAATTTTCTCTCACCGTGGCGTCAACTTCTCCAGTGTTAATTACAAGACTAGATCATGATCACACCACATCAACAGAGACCAATCATCTTACTCACCCTATAAACTGGAATTAATTATTATGACCCTGGGTAACTCCATCAGTCATAAAATAAAGAGATTCCGTACCGCATATTGGTCAATGTTTAACACTCTTGTGTACATGTAGCTGCTGCCATCTGTGGCCAATCACAACACGGCTAGTTTGGTGGTTCTATATAGTAAACAACCATTGATATATATTGATTCATTGATGTTTTACCTTATAAATTGAAGTAAAATAATTCTAATTAGTGGTTTTCCTTTCGTTTTTTAACTTTAATTTGTTTTGGGAGGCAGATAGGGGGTCACAATATGCATCCATTCTGAGTCTCATAATCATTCTTAAAACTTTATACAAAGAAAAGTTAACAACACCGCCCCTTTGAAATCTTTCAGTTAATATACACAGATTGAAAATGTTTTCTTCATGGTCTTATTTCTTTATTGGGCGAACTCAGATATACATTTTTTTTACCGCGCATTTTCTGTGATATGAATTGAAAGAAGAGGTGATGAGCAGCACATTGTAGTAGTATCACTTTATCTTATCTCGTACAATCATAGAATATCTCGCGAAGGAATATCACCATGAGATAATATCGCCTACTTGGCTCAGTTGCTGGTTACTGATGTACAGGACTGGAGTTTTCGACTTATGGATGAGTAGAAAAAAATAACCAAACACCATCATTATTCATTAACTTTAACTCACTAGGAGGCTTCAAAATGTAGGTTGGATAGATTTATGGATGATTGAAGCCCGCTACAGTTTCATCCATTTTTATATTAATATATACGAAAGACAAGAGGATAATTTTATGTACTTTGCACCGTGGTCGTACTACCAATAAGTTCTAAACCTCTATGTGATTATTTATCTGTTACGTTTTACTATTTACAGTATATCTAAAGTGTTATGCTAGGGCTTCAGCAACTATGGGAGGGGAGTTGAAACTAAGTAAATAACGGTAAGGTGACCCACATAGTAGTTACTGGTTAGATACAGGCTGATCAATGGCCAGAGACCTCATGCCCTACTTATCGTTTGTATTGCTCAGTCAATTGCTGGCATGATCCAAGTTTATAATCCATAACGATGGGTTGTATGCAAAAGCAACCATTCGAAAAACACATACAAAGAACGTGTGACACTTATTCAAACTAGACAAACACTGAACTCCCCCACCCCACCTAAAGAAAATAACTTGCAACTTAATTTTATACTTATTGATAACTGAAGCTTATCCTCCATAAGTACTGTAGTTGTATTTTGCAAGTAAATTTTAGCAGTGAAATGCAATAATGGTCATACGACGTGACAAAATAAATCCTGGAATAATGGTATGTACAGTACAAGAGCATAACATAATGGAAGAGTAATATAATGTTCCGCACTGTGTCGCCGTGTTACCGTGAAGGGGACTAAAGGTTTGGGGCCCAATTAGTGTGGGGCTAATTGGGAAATGGGTTAATTGACTTGCATTCGACAAAAGGGTTCTGCACACACACTGCCCTGAAAACAGTCCCAGCGAATATTCTAGTCCTATAAAACTACTATTTCACTTCACTAATATTACAGATTCAGATATAAAAAACATACTTGTTAAAAATCCAACAGCTACACAACTCGGAACTGTTGAAGAATTTAATTAAGACGATTCAAAACATTAAAAAATCCCTGGTAGTTTTTTGTTGTTGTTGTTGTTTCATCCAAACTGATATTCTACTTTATTTACGGTGCTGGATAAATTACTCGAATATATTACTGTTCCTGTGGCACACATGGCACTGATTATTCTGATTTGTGATGTACCATTAACGAGTGTGGCCAATTTTGTGACAAATAATTCATTCTGTGGCAGCCTATCCTCTTTCATTCTCTCCTCCGCACGCTTCCCCTTCTCATGCCAAAAAACTACCACACTAAGTCGTTATTTCTTTGAGGTACGGTATCTGAATGCTCTAAGCTACACCACTGATAACAATTATGTATTAATTTAATACATATTTTGTACAGATTTCAATGGCATGCATGAAAGTAATATACTGTACAGACTCGTGCTTTTGAGTAAATTATCATTATATTACCACTCGGTGACATCTCAATGAAATCCCTAATTTACCTGCTGAAATATAACATGATAGGCTAGCCTAGTGTAGAGTAGCATAATCTAGCAACCTAACCTAATCTAACCTAACCTAACCTTACCTAACCTTATGATAGGCTTGATTAGATTAGCTTCTTACCTCTATTCAGAGCCCTAAACATTTTTTTTTTATAAATTTCAATACTTTCTACCTTTTCTCCAAGACATTATTTATATTTTGAAACCAGAACGCTAATCTACGTCAGATTAATGTGTTTTTATTATAAAAAAATGTAGTTCATCAAAACGAAAAGAACCAAACTATGAAACACTGATTATTATATATGTATTTTATTCATTTTTCATTCATAACAGCTTTTGTCTCTTTGTGTACAACTCATTCAGGGCGTCGCAATTTTTTACGACGAACCATCAATTCACACGACGCAATTTTTATTTCAGATACAATAAATTAGTAGCGGCATGGTTGCAGTGTGTGGGATGGAGATGACAACGCCCACCCACCACAACCTCAGTTCAAGGCCGTTGGGGACGAAGAACTTGGGGGAGTGTAGTGGGTGGCGGAGGAGAGGTGAGGGGGAGAAGAGGATATACTTGTGAAGGTCACCTCATCCTCATCACTACTTCCAGCTCGCAGACCCTGGGGAGCAGTGTGTGAAGTAGTTAATGAATATATTAAGGATCCTTTGTTAAACATGTCATGGGGATGCCAGAAAGTGTAACCTAACCACGAATGACTAATAATATTGTTTTAGCTGAACTTGACGTCGTTAATCCCTTTCTTTTTCAGTTCAGGCAGCCCTCATATTATCGACTGATATGCAAAGTGTTATCCGAAGTAATTTCAACGCCATTCTGGCCGCCACGATAGCAACCCTTTTGAGTTAATAAATTTTATTCATAAATATTTATTTTCTTAAAATTACGAAATGGCTATTGTTATGAAACGTTATCGCCTTGATGGTTAAAGTTAGGTTCGGTTAGTTAGATTACATTAAGTTAACTTTCTCTTCTGCCATACCAATAGCTTACTAATCCCTGAGGTTCCACGGTATTGCACAATGAATACCTGTAATAACTGTATCTACAGTACTCTCCACTCAGTTATAACAGTGAACAATCTACTATATAACAACAAGAGTAATTAAACTCAGATACTAAAAACCTGAGAACACGAACTCAAAACAATTATATTCGTACACAACAAATGCGTCAGTGTTTACAATTACAATATTTAATATAGTACTGTAGTCATTTTGATATACTGAAGGCAAGTGCAAGTGAGATTAATGGGCTAATTTGCTTTTAAAAACAACTTGCTGGGGTTACCAGATGTTCACCATAATTGCTAAACTCATCAACAAACCCTCCCCCTCCCCAAAACTCTCACAGTTAGTCTACCCGGGAAGCTAATGACATAATATGAAGCGGTAGGGTACAAATTCTCCGATTTTTTACAGCAAATTTCCCGCTGCAAGAGAGACAAAAGCCTCTTCTGAAACACGCGCTTCATTGCAACACACAACATACTTTAGTTACATAAATTCAGTAAAATCGCCCTACAAATTCACATTGACTCTGCAAGTATGTAGACAGTGCAAGTATACGATGTACAGTACATAATGCAAGAACCGTATACAAACAATGTACTGTACATAATCAGTGCAGGTGTCATTGGTAAACAGTAAATTGATCATTGCAAGAATAATCCAACAGTCCTGGATACCTTAAGAGCATTTCCAGCAGGGTCCTTTACTTAAGCTGGAAGACTAATCAATAACTATAACCACCAACTTTGTGTCGGAACTAACATGAAACAATTCTGTGCGTTCATGCTCTCTCACATTCCAGTTAGATGGAAAAGGTTAAGATGTATGAACCGCTGGAAATTCACGGGTTCATTATTTTCAACGGCGGTGGATATGATCAACAGCGGTGGGTATGTTCAGCGGCGGTGGGTATGTTCAACGGCGGTGGATATGTTCAACAATGGTGGGTATGATCAACAGTGGTGGATATGATCAACAGCGGTGGGTATGTTCAGCGGCGGTGGGTATGTTCAGCGGCGGTGGATATGTTCAACAATGGTGGGTATGATCAACAGTGGTGGGTATGATCAACAGCGGTGGGTATGTTCAGCGGCGGTGGGTATGTTCAGCGGCGGTGGATATGTTCAACAATGGTGGGTATGATCAACAGTGGTGGGTATGATCAACAGCGGTGGGTATGTTCAACAGTAGTGGGTATATTCAACAGTGGTGGGTATGATCAACAGCGGTGGTTATTATGTAGGGTTTTCACAATTATATCATGTAGGTGTTGGAGTCACAGTGTTAAAGAGAAAAAATACGTGTAAGTGACGTCCAGTTTATGATGGATATGACCATAAGGACAGCAACTACACCCGCGTCAACAACCACAAGCACGTCAACAACCACATGTACGTCAAACATACACGTCAACAACCACACGCACGTCAACCACACGCATGTCAACAACCACACGCACGTTGACAAACTACACGCAATGTCATCAACAACCACACGCACGTCAACAACCATGGTGCATGTGCTAACAACCACACGCACGCCGTACAATAACCATATCGCACGTCAACCACAGGCATAAAAGCAACAACTACACGCACGTCAACAACCACGCGCACGTCAACAAACCATTTCTAATGTCAACCACACGCACGTCACAACCACGCACGTTGACAACCGCAGTGCTGTTAACAACCAATGCACGCCAACAACCATATACGTCAAATCCACACGCGTCAACACAACCACACGCACGTTGACAACCACAGGCATGCAGCACAACCATACGGACGTCAACCACAGGCATGTTAATCAACCACACGCACGTCAACCACAGGCGCATCAACCACACGCATCGTCAACCGCAGGCATGCGTTAACAACCACACGTACGTCAACAACCACACGCATGTCAACAAACGGTTATCGCGCACGTCACCACACGCATGTCAATGAAACGCCACACGCATGTCAACAACCACACGCACGTTAGCA